ACTGCTCTCTGAGATGGAAGGATTGGTGGAAGGATGGTTCAGGCTTGTTGGAGATAAGGGTGTAGAGGAGACCAAGTGTGGGGATACCACAAGTGGTAAAAAGGATAAGTGATAAAGAAGGGATCAAGTGTGGGAATACCACAAAGGATCAGTGAGGAGTGAGTTGAGGAAGGAGTTGTTGAGGTGAATTAAAGGAGTGGATTGAGTTTTGAATTGCAAGCATGAGTTATCTGAGCAGGAGGGCAGGCTGCCTTTATAGACAGACTGCTGGCTCCTGGAATGTTCTAGATACATTGGCATTTGTAATCATTTGTAATCATTTGTCAGCATTTGTCAGCAACTGGAAGATTCTGTGTTGTTCCATGGGATTCCATGGGGTTCCATGAGGTTCCATGGGATTCCATGAGGTTCCATGAGGTTCCATGATGTTCCATGAGGTGTGACTGGGTGGATTGTTATTGGCTGCAAGCCATGTCAGGATGACATTTTGATAGTATCTGCAATATCATAACCAGATCAATTTGCCTTATAAAACACATGTAAACTCAAGTTCAAGCCTCAATTATCGTTGACTATATGATTATCGTTGAGGTGGGAGGCCCGTGCTTTGCACGGGCAGTCTCGTTGAGACTTTTGTTAAGAACCGATAAGGGCCCGAGTATAGTGGGTTCTTGGCAAAAGTGTCCAACTTGCTCGGTGTCCGACTTGTTGGAAGGTGGTTTCCACGGGTGCATATTATCCAATTGGGCTAGTCTGTTTACCTAGTTAGCTGCGTCCCTCGACGTCTGATAACCACAACAAGACATACACCCAACTTTACTTTCAATACGACTCGCCCGTGGGGTACGTTATTGAAACATTTACTATTTGCAGAAAGGGGACTGAAGCAGGAGGATTTGGTGTATAGTGGTTACCATATGAATTAGCGTTGTTACATACCTTGGTCGTATAGCTCAGAGGCTCGCCCCAACCACGGATAATATACAACTTTTATCCAACACTAGCTACTTGATGTCGACGCACTGTACATATACACCCCGACTTCTTGAAGCTCATGTAGAACCGTTTCTCCGGAATTGTACGAGACTCAGTAGTCTCCAGCATTTTGAATCATGGGCAAGTCCGCGAGCGTATGTTGCGATTCGTGCCTTAAGCAAAGCTCGTAGACACTATTCGATTGGTTCTTGGGGATGAGCAGAGGTACAGAAAGCCGTAGGGGTTTGACAGTCACCTAAGCAAGGCTCGGGTGGTCAGGGGTAGACTATCCGGGCGAGGCGGTAGTAGCCTTCGTAATAGTCAGTTAGTCGTCTAGTCAAAGACCGTGGCGACTGGTTGCAATGAGTAGTACAAAGTATACTGTCTGGCTCGAGAGCAAGTGAGATTCCAATAACAAAGTTGATTGACGAGGTTGAACACGATGCCATAAGGGCAGCGTGTCTACTTGTTATATACTTTAGCAGGAGGACTTGCTCAGATCGCTCGGTATCAAGTATACTGCTCGTAACAAGTATACTGACGCGGCCTAACTGCTCGAGTTGCTTGACCGAGATTGATGATCATACTGAGTATCGCCGACGCGGCCTCACTGCTCGGGTCGATCGATAATACAGTTCCTCGGCTCCTCTCGTATCGTTGCGTAGTCCTGTTCGTTCAGTGTTGTTGTGCGAGTTGCTCCTTGATCGTAACAGCGTAGTCGGGGGGTCCATGAGAGACGGACTTCTGCAGTACTCAAGGTCCATGGGGAGCCCACTGTTAGTATATGACCAGTGAAGCGTCGTTGCCTGAGGCAAAGTATCTTCGGAAACGGGGCGCGCGATCCCACTTCTTCCATGATGGCGTATAGCTCGTCAGAAGAGAGTATGCTCAGTCAGGATAACATGTCAAAAGTGACAGTCTCAGCCTCAGAGAAGCAACGCGGTCTGAGCGTCTTGCGGTTATGCTGCATATGTCGTTGTAGTAGGCTGGAGACCCAGAGATCAGGTCCGCTGCGATGGCGGCAGAAACAAGTATTGAACGCTATGGGCCTCAATATACATACTCAGCATAGAGTCTAGCATGGGTAAGGAGAACGCTCAAATACGGCGCATTATGCAATACCACTCGCAAATCGACAGTAAGGCAAACTCCGGAGAGCTGGACCTCATACTGGAGGTAGCTATAGATTTCGTCTCGGATCTCGCATGGCAGGGTGAGTAGGCAGGGACCTTGAGCAGGCATCATTGCGGTGGATGGCACCTATATTACTACGTCAGCGAGCGACGAGAACCTATGCTGTCAAACTATACCTGACCCCGCTGTGCTTCGGTGTATCGTGCACGGTGAAATGATGTTGTGGTCGGTTAGGGCGAGAACGCGGGTAGCTCGAGTACAGATACTTTCCTGCAACAAGAGGAAAGAGTAAGTCGAGGTTAAGGCACGAACAGAGGTGGCAAAACACATTGCTCATTATATCTCAATTGCATCTATCGCAATGTACAGTGTAAGGTATCTCGAAACAAGCGCTCAATAACAAAGACAGAAAGTGCAGCTCAAACATTAGTCGTGACCTAGCGACCACCAACCTGGCCCTTAGGAATAGGTCTGACCCACGCCAAGCAAATGTTGAGCGCAATGATCATGCAACCCATGATCCAGAAAACACGCGCATACTGACCAGGGTGGTAGCGGAAGATAATAGCGAAGATGATACCACCGAAGTTACCCGTCGCACCAACAATACCGGACAAGATACCGTTGGCGTGAGGGTGGATGTGAGGCACCAGCGCGAAGTTAGCGCCGTTGCCAGCCTCCATAAAGATAGCCATCAGCGCAACAAGACCAATCATAGTATCAAGATTGTGGGGGTTGAGCTTGCCAATGACGATGAGAAAGATACCACTCATGACACCGACGAAGTGGATCCAGAACTTCTTCGCCCACAGGCTGCCGTTGGTGTACTTGTAAATTAGGTCACCAATAAAGCCACCGAGCGGGCGGGTGACAACGTTGAGGAGGCCAAACATGGCTGCCCACCGACCAGACTGGGTCTGGCCGAGGGAGGGGAAGTTCTTGAGGTAGTAGGAGCCGAGGATGGAGTTGATAGCGAGCTCACCGCCGAAGGAGCAGAAGTATCCGGCGCACAGCATGATAGTCTGTGGGGAGACCAAGACCTTCATGGCTTCTTTGAAGGTTGGCTTCACGACAACTTCGTGCTGAACTTCGTCAAGGATCTGGCCATCGTCAGAGGTGGAAGCAGACTCGATGTCGCGCACAGGTCCCTTCTTCTTCTCATCCGAGGAGCTGATGGATCCAGAGGTTGCTTCAGGCTTGTCCATAATACCGCCAGTGGTGGCAACGACATTGGCTTGGTGAGTACCGCGGACAACTACAGCACCTCGGTCGGCCCAGGAGCCGGTGGGTGTGTCATCGGTAAGGAGCAGAAGACCGGTCGCTGTGAGGGCGATGAGGATGAAAGGAACGATGAAGGATACGCGCCATGCCACGTGAGAAGACAGGCCACGCTCAAGACGGAGAGAATCGTAAATGGCAGGCATGACGAAGCTGTCTGTGGTTAGCCATGCAAGACAAGCTGTAGTGTGGAGTGCTTACTAAGTGATACCACCACCAGAATTGCCCCATCCGCCGACAAGCGCGTTGGCAGTTCCGACAATGTTCCTGTCGTAGAACCCGGTGGTCCAAACCTGGCAAGGAACAAAGGTGCCGCCGAGGATACCGACGAAGAAACGAATGAAGTACAAACCCATAGCGTTCTTCGCAGTACCTGCAAGCGCAGTGGGGATCGCACCCATGAAGAGCAGGGCAGCAAAGGTCTTGCGCGGGCCAATGCTATCGCACATAGGACCGGCGATAGCTCGCACGAGCAGTGTCGCAGTCAGTGCAATGATGTTGGAGTTGGCAACCTCATTTTGAGACAGGTGCATGTCCTTCTTGATACTGATGCTTAGCTGCAGCAGTATTAGTCGTACAGTTGATTGGGTGAGATTGTGGGTCATCATACTAGAGGCGGAAACGCGTACCTGGGACTAGTCAGTATGATGTGGGAGCTAAATTGGGATGTGGAGAGATCTTACCATGACCAGAACGCAATGAAGAATCCGAGGTAACTGAAGAAGAATACACGGCCATATTTGTCGACAGGGTTGAAGATAGGAATCGACTTCGCTTTCTTGTTGTAGGGGTTGATCTCTGGCGCTGACCAGAGCTGCCTCAGTTGAAAGCCCATTGTGTAGGATGCTTCGCAGGAGATCTGGGGTATCTGTGTGGAGAGACTGGGGTGTATGCGGGGCCCTGCTGTAGAGAGGAGCTGCTGGATGCCTACAGATAAGACATGAAGATACGGCACGAGAAGTTATATATCGGGCATCACAGACATCGAATTCACTACTTCCGCGGTCGAACACCGTGACGCACGCCTTTCCTAATCCAAGACTGAGATGCACATCATCCACGGTGCCAAGGGTGATAATTAAGCTCCTGGCCTGGAATTGAAGGCTTTGGCGTTCTCGTTATCTACGTTAGCGTCCAACACGCTTACGACCAGGACTGCGGGAGCAGGCACATGTCGACCGCAGCTTCGGTGCGTCTCCGATCAGCGCTGTGGCACCGTCTAGCACTCAAAGACATTTCGGTAGAGCTTCGTAAAGCATGGATGAACGGTCAAAATATTGAAGTTGACGGTGTAACATTGATGCGGAGGAATGTGATTCGCTGAAACCACGCTTGACGTGGGATGGTGGAGATCTGGAAGTTCTCTGACGGGCGTTCTCTTATCTCTGGCTATCTCTTGGCACCACGTTCCTACCGCTTTCAGACAACCTTATCAGAGCCGCAGCAGATAATAAGAATTGTAGCTTTTCCGCGGTCGTTCTGACAAGTCGACTGTGTCTACGGGCTGATACAACTGATAATTGTTGTGGCTCGGACCTGCCAGCTTGTGGCGTTGCAGTAGATCTGAAGAGGCCCCAGACTGAGAATCGGCATTCGGAAGGAAAGCTGAGATTGAAAGATACGCGCGACATTAAGTCTTCTTTTTCTGCTTCGTAGTGCGAGCTGATCGTCGTGCAAGAGGTGGTGAGCTGTTCCCGTGTGGTCAATCACCGACCGATACGCACCAACTTTGTGTAGCACGACGCTGATAACAACCACGACAGTTGCACAGATCTCATCGTAATCTCAGATGCCCCAGAATCTTACTCCGGAGTTGTCGCGAGTCTCTGAGATCGCTCGTGTAGTCTGGAGTAATGTGCCTTGCGAGCTGTTCATAGGCCAATCAGGCATATCGACAGTGCTTTATCTCGCAGCAACATTGTAGGCTAACACTCCTTGCCCCATGGCTCTTTAATTGCTGGTGTGAATCTCTCTGTGGTGGTTGTGTATATCAATTCGATAACCTCTGGGCTACCGTCATGGTGCTTGCCCATGCAACTGTTATCGAAGCGTTTTCGCGTGTCGAGTACATCGCGAAGTCGCCTTGTCTGCTGGAACGCGCCCCACTATCAAATCAACTATTGACAAGCTAATCCGCGGCGATAGCCTTTTGTGGCTGTCGAAGTGTGTCGTCGGCGTGCGACCTGCGATGGTCCAGACATGTGAGCGTGGGCATGTCGCGACATCGGACTCCAAGTATCGGAGAAACAGCAACGAAGTACCTTCACCGCAGGAAGTCTTCATTGGTATCAGGAGAGCTCAAGCTCAAGGATGCATGGCGCAGGATGTTGGGCTTCGAAGCTGCTCTTGGCGGTGGGTACCTGATTAGAGTCGAAGGAAAGCCGGATAGTCCGAGGAGGTGCTGACAACAGAGCGATCATGCTCGATAGTACTGGTGTTGGGACTTCGCAGGGCCACACAAAAATTTCGATTCTGACTGGGAAGGCCCTCGCTATCTTTCGCGGGCTGTGGAAAGTCGCTGCACCGAGAGCATAGTGACCACAAGCAGCTCTTGACTTACCCCTTAGATTTTGCAGATGGATCATGGTGTTGTATCGTTGCATTCGAGCACACGGTTGAGGGTCTGGTAAGACAGGTTGAGTGTTGTGGGTTAAAATCTGCCCTCCTTCCGTTCTTGCCCTGCGCGTCAGTGCAGCAAAAACTTTATCACCTCCTTCCGATGGCAACCTGACGGCTCAGCTTTCAGCCAGTTGCACCAAGACATAACATCGTCGCCATGTCTTCTACCGTCGCTTCAGAGAGTACCAGCTCAGTACTCCCTCTCCCTCGCCCCCGCAAACGCTCTTACCACGCCCACCCCGTAACACGCCGCCCCACACACAACCAATACATGCATAAGCTGATGACTGCTCCCGCACAAATCGAACGTCCTCGGATACCACCTCTCCGGAAACCTCACCGCATACAACACCGCCCCTGACGCATGACAGCACCCCAAACTCACATACAACCCCAAACTCATCGTCCTGTCATGCTCCCTCATACCGTGGAGTAATACGCCATGCACAATTGGCGCGAAGCTTGCGAGCCCGAGGAGACAGTACACGGCTGTGCGTACCCGATGACCTGTGGGATTCGAGAAGACGGTGTGGAGGGTGGCGATCGCGCAGAGGAGGGCAAAGAAGATGGCGAGGGGTTGGTAGAGGGCGCGCAAATGGGGGCTCGCAGTAGAAGCCGAAGTGCGTGCTGGAGAGTGTAGTACCGAGGAGGGGGGCGACGATGGAGAGGTAGTCGGCCTGGCACGTTGTGCAACGCACGGTTTCGCTGTGGTCGAGGGAGATGTGGTATCTGCAGCGGTCAGCTTGACTTTGAAGTAGGTATGGTAACAACATCTCTTTCTCGAGCAGGCAAAACCGGTTGGGACGAAGCACACAAATGGCCACACAAGCCAGCCTGAGCTCTGCTGGAGCAACTGGTAACAAGAGCTAATGCTGGATCGCACCGAAAAGAGAAGTCGAATACTTACACACTGCTCACAGCAAAGCACACCACGCACCCCCCAAAATACACCAACACGGATCCTACATCTGCTTGATCCACCTCTTCCCTTTCAGCATACTTCCACAAAACACAACTCTGGCAACTCCGAAGATAACCGACCAAGGATATGCGCCCAGATGTTCACCGTCTCATTATGCCATCTCCAAGTACTTTGGATCGATGCAATGTGGGAAGGACTTGCGCGCCGATGCCCGGTTAGGATGTAGGCGTTGTTACGCTGCCAGGCGGAGGTCATCCCAGTCTAACAATCTGTGTAAACCTGCTTTTCCATCTCTTTTTACTGTGACTGTGATGTCTTCGAGGTGTGGTGTCTTCTCCGCATCCCGTGATGATGCTGTGCCAAGCACCTCCGCTTCGTCTGTTTCGATGCGCGATCGCGTTCCCGACCGCAAGGCTGCTGGCGTCCCGAGTTTCTGTCCGGCTTGGCTCTGCTGTTCCATTGTCAACGCCTGTGATGTCATCTTGAAGCTCTCAAAGGTGCAAACGATTGCAAACACCAAATATTGGAACGAATTATTCAGAATCGCTGCAAATCCACTTTTTACATGTTTATGCACAACAAGGTTATCCTCCTGACATTGCCCGTACGCAGCCCTGCTGTATTTATTGCGCCCGAGTGACAGCGTTTGAGTGATTAGTTTAACATCCTATTTGTGACGGCGTTTGAAATCAACTTTCGGCAACCTGTTCCGCGACTGTTCTCCGTGGAGGACGTATCCCAGTTGTCACTGCTTGTCAGGTGTCCAACCTGAGGTGTTTTATTCAAGCGCACGAATCATTGTGAAAGGATCATCCCGTTGCCTGCGTAGATCTCACGGATGCATTGTCAAATCTGAGCTTCTTGGTCGCGATGCGAGATGAAATGGGATATTCTTGACCATTCTTACAACAACTTGCTCGTAGCTGGAATAGCAATGGTCAGGACTTTTCCACAGAGGGTCGTGGTATCAAAAATAGTGTCTTTTGATTTTCGTTGGCACTACACTACCACAGTATTTTTTCCTACATCAGTACTTCATCATGCCAGACCATCCATCTGGCCTTCAGAGATCCCCGACCGCACATCTGAGTGGATGCCGAGCTCCACCATAACAATAACAAGTAGTTGCAAAAACCATCGGATCACCTCGACGATGGCTACCTATTCAAAAGCGCGTGTTGAAAGACTGGAAAATCGTAGGGACAAAGACAAGGAGGGAAGTACATCGGCGGAGCACATTGCCGCACTATAGGTGATTGTTGTAGGCTCGAGGTTCGAAAGTGCCGTCGATATGCTACAGGAGCTTCGATGGGCGTACAAAGGAGAGGCTGAACAAGACTTCGACCTTCTTACGACGACAAGGCGGGAAGTGTGTCTAGAAGTCTGGGAAGAGGTGTCCATGCCTATTGGGACATTTTAGCACATGTTCGATATCATAAGGAGGTTTCGCCACGCACGGGTCGTCACCAGCCTGACCATACGCCTCCGTCTCTTCGGGGTACTTGTCGAACTGGCTGGCATCGCCGACGCCAGCGCGGACAGGTGGTACGTAGGGTGCGTCAATGTCCTTTTTCTGCAGCCTGTCCCACGTTACCTCTGCGAACCAGGGATGGTTCATTACGTCCTTGCTGCCGCCATGCAGGTTGCCAAGTCGCTTGGTGAGGTCCGGGGTGATGAGCTTCTGGAGCAGGTCGTGCGCGTCCGGGTGGATGTATGGCGGATATTTCACTCGCGATTTGAGGATGTTTTCATAGATCTTCATGGGGGAGCCGCCGTCCCAGAAGGGCGTGAAGCCGCAGAGCATTTCGAAGATAAGGATGCCGAGCGACCACCTAGACGAGTTAGCACGGACAGGATGCAGCAGGCAATCAAAACCTACCAGTCGACCGACTTGTTGTAGCCCTTGGAGGCCACGACCTCAGGCGCGAGGTAGTCGGGCGTACCGCAGAGGGTCCATGTGATGTCCGGCACCTCCTTGGCAAAGCCGAAGTCGGTGATCTTGAGGTGGCCGTGGCGGTCGAGCAGCAGGTTCTCGGGCTTCAGGTCGCGGTAGATGATGTTGTGCGAGTGCAGGTAGTCGAGGGCCAGGGTGACCTCGGCGGCGTAGAACTTGGCGACGGGGTTGGGGAAGCGCTGGGACTTTCGCAGCAGACTAAACAGCTCACCGCCTTCGACAAAGTCCATGACCATGTACAGGTTCTTCGAGTCCTGGAAGGTGCCCCACAGGGTGATGAGGAACGGGTGCTTGACCTGCTGCAGCATGCGGCGCTCGTCGTTGGTGTGCTCGACCTGCTTCATCTTGACGACCTGGGCCTTCTTCAGCACCTTGACGGCATAGAAGCGCTGGTTGTGCTTGCTCTGCACGAGATGCACGCGCCCAAAGGAGCCGGTGCCGAGGGTGCGCTGGATGGTGAAGTCGGTCAGCGAGTACTTGCCCTTGGTGACGCGGGTCTGGTTGAGGGGCTGCGTCTGGAACTGTACGCCGCCGTTTTTAGTGGCATTGTTGCTGGCATGCTGCTGCTGCGGGATGCTGTTGGTCGGGTGTATCAGGTTCTGTATACTGGCGACGTTGTGCGAGGGCTGCTGCGGGTTGCTGTGCGGGCTCGCGACGGGGTGCGGGCTGTAGGCGGGGTTCATCGAGTCGGTCGGCTTGTGCGGCGCGGCCGAGGGCGCATTGGACTGCTGCTGTGCCTGCTGCTGTGCCTGTTGCTGCTGGTGCTGCTGCGTGGCCGACTGTTGCTGACTAATGGCGTGGCTGTGGGCGCTGTCGTTGGTGCGCGTCTTGGTCATGTGGAAGGAGCCCGAGGTGCGGTTCTTGGAGGTGGTTGGGGTGATGGACGAGCCCGACGACGTTTCTTTGATGGGCGACGTCGGCGAATCGAGGTCCTTGGAGCCGCCCGAGTCCTTCGTCCGCTTCTTCTTGAGAAATCCGAGGGTAGGCATAATACGGGCGGGAGGAGGTCGTGAAATTCGAGGCCCTGCCCTGGGGAGGCGTGCCCTGGGGAGAGGGAGCTGCTGCTGCTGCTGCTGCTGCTGCTGCTGGGCGCGGTGCCGCGTCGGGCGTCTTCAGTGGGCGGAGGTGCGGAGTGCGCGGGTGCAGCAGGGGGATCAGAGCAATTAGGGCGCGAGGCAGGATTATTGCGCGTGCATAGGCGGCGATAGCGATGTCGTAGGAGTGCAACGGATGGGGAGTCTGGGAGAGAGAGCGTTGCACTGGCCGTGAGGGGTTGGCGTGGTTGAGGCTTCGCGGGGGAAGCAGCGATTCAACGAGTGAGCTGCACAGGGTCGTCACGCAGCACGGCGGGCCCTGTCTGCATGCTACGGGCCAGAGGGTGTGCAGCAGCGACAATTGTTTGATGGATGCTCGATGCAAGCTTCCTGCGTGTTTCAATTGCCCATCAATGCCCTCTACAGTCGCTCCTCGAGCTCTGCAAGGCTGCACCACAGCTACCCTCGACAGCTCAGTGCAGCTCGGCGGAAGCCCGCATTAGGGCGTGCAATAATTCGTGCCCGAATTAAGCTGAGATGAGGTAATCCCTCCCCACCATTCATCCCCCCATACAACATGCATACAAATCGATGAATAGTGAGGTTTAGGAGGTCACATTGGGTCAGTTTGATGCAATTTTCAAGATGCATCTATTAGGATAGGTGCTGAGGCTTGTACACAGATATTTTGTGGTGTTATAGGAGTCACCAGACCTTGCTACGTGTGAGGGCTCGGCTCGGTCCCACCTGAGCTACACCAACCAAAAAGGTACAGTAACCCAATAGATATGGGTACTGGGAACCGAACAGTATATACCCGTGACACTACGGATCTTTTCTCCACCATTTTACAGAGCTGTCTACATCTATCAGGTATATCAATGATCCTTCTCCTGATCTGTTTCATTGTGATCTTATCCCAAGCACAAAGAAGGAGTCTTTTTAGCATTCTTTAGGTTCCATCCCAAGGTCTCTGTAATGGGCTAGACCCATGTGGACCCACCTATGGGTGTGGGCTAGGCTTAGAGCTGAGGAGCAGCGCAGTCATGCTTTTCCACCAGTATAAAATATCAACTATGCAAGATGAATCTGTTGATTCAACTTGCACATGCCTTTTGGCATAGGTGTAACAATGCAGAGCCCCATTGTGCCAAATGGCCAAAAAGTACATCAATATCAGCACAACTGCTGATATTGGGCTCTGCATCTAATATATAGGCATAGTGCAAGGCACCTCCTTACAATACAGCAGGACAGCCATGAAGGTGGCCAGCGCCCTGCTGTATGACACCAGTACAACTCACGTGGTTGCGCTAGCCGTTGGTAAGGCTTAGCGTCCCATGGGACATGGGATAAGCGAGTCTGGGATTCTGTCCCATGGGATTCTGGAATTCTGTGGTAATCCATGTTACGATCCTACGTCCCACGATAGGACGACAAGCAATAAGTAACCGCCAACCAAACACGGAGGCCTGGGGGAAGGCGCAGCAAGGCAAGGCCGCCCGGCCAGCGCCTAGGGGATTGCTCTCAGCCGAGCTGACACACGTGACAGAGCTCGTCAACGAGCAAGGTCACGTGAGTGCTCGTCAACGAGCATGACGTGATGCTCGTCAACGAGCATGGTACGATGCTCGTTGACGAACCGCAATCCATCCGGATTGGCCAGGACCGACTCTGCTCGTCAACGAGCAGATCTGGTGGACTGTATATATATGTGTAGGAACACAACCCTTATGGTTCATGTTCAACCTCGTCAATTAAGTTTGTCATTGGATCTCAACCAACCTTCGAGCTAGACAGATTGCCTGTACTACTCATCGTTACCCCAAGCCGTCGTTAGGTGTTTCACCCAGGCGACTTACCCCTACTGTTCTAGAGCCAGAGTTCATCCTCGAGAACCAATCGAATAGTGCTTACGAGCTTTGCTTAAAGTACGACTTCAACACATGAGTTATCTGAGCAGGAGGGCAGGCTGCCTTTATAGACAGACTGCTGGCTCCTGGAATGTTCTATATACATTGGCATTTGTAATCATTTGTAATCATTTGTCAGCAACCAGAAGATTCTGTGTTGTTCTATGGGATTCCATGATGTTCCATGGGATTCCATGATGTTCCATGGGATTCCATGATGTTCCATGAGGTTCCATGGGATTCCATGATGTTCCATGAGGTTCCATGAGGTTCCATGAGGTTCCATGAGGTTCCATGAGGTGTGACTGGGTGGATTATTATTGGCTGCAAGCCATGTCAGGATGACAGCACACAACAACCATGCAACTCGTGAGCACCTAGAACGAGTTGCCCGCAACCAGAGAGGACTCAGTGAGCCTGACTTTGATCGACAACCCATTAGGCTCCCAAGCCCTCGCCCACAATACGACCTGGACCACCAGAATCCTCACCATGAAAGGATAGACTGGACCTACTGCGCATACGACCCTTGTACGATACACTACCAGGAGAAGGTTGATGCGGGATGGTTTCCTTCACCACGCACCACCTGTTTACAGCCTTGGTACAAGTGCACCAACGACGTATGCGAGATACACCTGATTGACAAGCGGTCTAAACTCCACTTTCTGGGTACTGAGGACCCACAAGCGGTAGTACAGATGCAGCTAGTTGTCAACGGATCATGCTTCAACCCATCATGCTTCAACCCACGATGGCAGAACTGCTTGAATCCCGCCTGTGAAGCTCACCAAGCGAGCAAGGACCAGAATGGATTTGACAATGAGGAGACTTTTTTTAGGCCAGCGCCCACAGCCTCCAGAACGCAGTTCCTTAATGTGCTGGGCACCGACTCACTAATTAAGATACCCGTTAGTATCAACGGAAGGCGATTCACGGCAATGATAGACTCTGGAGCTGAAGGGAGCTTCATATCACGCAAAGCAGCCAAGCAAGCGAGGCTTTGGCTACGACGTAAGACAATAGGACACGTCCTTCGAGTTGCCAACGGACAACTCATGCCAGGAGAATTCGCAATCACCCACGAAGCCGATACACCGTTATGTATCGAAGACCACCAGGAAGAGGTGACCCTTGACGTCTTTGGAATAGCTACCCACGATGTCATACTAGGGCTTCCGTTCCATGAGGTTCCATGAGGTTCCATGAGGAGTGGCTGGGTGGATTATTATTGGCTACAAGCCATGTCAGGATGACACTGACCTCCTTAGTGTGGTGTTGGGCGGGGTTGATTATCTCATCTCAACTTAGTTCAGGCACGAATTATTCCACGCCCTAATGCCCGTGGCGCCGTGGTTGCGTCATGGTCCCAGCTCCTCTGGCGCGCCTACACCAGAACTATTTGCCCGCGAGCACATCCGCCGATCCAGGCGGTCGAGACCCCTCCATGCAGCATCCCCATTATCGGCAACCAGAAATATCCTCAGTGTACATGTACAGTCCGTTTCATCATAATTCCAGCACCCCAGGGTATATATGCCTCATAGCTCATCATTGACACCGCCAGCCGCGAGTCCCGCCAGTACTAACGGCGAGTAGTACTCGAGGTCTAGCCCACACACCTCCATGCGCTGCTGGCGAAACCGCTCGTACAGCTTGCTCCACGCTTCCTGTGCCTGTTCGTTCTGCGGCCGCAGCTTTACACGCGTTGAGTAAGGGATGTCGTACTCTGGGCCGGGTATTTCTGGGTCGGACAGACGCACGAATGTTGTTGACTGCTCGAATGCAGTTGCATTGAAGCTGTTGCTCGCTGTGCGCAGATCTTGCGACTCGTAGACAACGTTGCCCATCGACAGTGACCACTCGGAGATCAACGACCCAGGTACTGTGAACGCCTCCCGGAAGAGATCGAGATCTGATGTTGGCTTTGTGGAGCGCATCGCCTTGAGCTGCTGGAAGCTTGCTTGTGTTGGGTGGATCATCAACAGCGACATCGACATATCGTTCCTCTCTGGTGTCGCTGGGTATGCAGCCATGGGCTCCGACTTCGAGAACGCCAGCAGTGAGTCCAACGACGATGCATCGAGCAGGACTCCGGGTCCTTGCAGGTAGATGAGGCGCTCGTAGTCGACCAACGAGTACAAGCTGGCCAGCGAGTAGGACGAAGGCAACGTGCCGTCTGCACCGTCGAGTATAGGCTCCATGGGTATCAACGTAACTCCATACCGCCTCGCTGCAGTCCCCAGCAACCTCCTCGTAGTCGACATCTCCGCACTGTATCCATTATCCTCCGCCTCCTGCAGCCACAACTTGGGGAACAACAGCACCCTCCTCGCTGGGCTCTTCATTCTGTGCAAGTCTGACAACAGCATCACTGCACTGCACAACTCGACATGCTCCCTCACAACCTGCACATACCCCAGTCTGCTCCAGTCCAGCTCCTGCCCATTCACGTACTGTGCCATCGTATCCTCCACCTGTGGCCTTTCGCCCACGGGTCTAGCCCATTTCTCATCGAGCGTTGGCGGCTCAATTTGCTTTGGGACAGGTAGCGCTTTCGGTACGCGCGGTTTTATTGCGGCTTGGAGATTGTGGACGTAGCGCTGTTGCAGGACGTAGCCGGAGAGGAAGAGCGCGAACGTGAATGCGAAGACTACATTACATCAGCATGCGCTTCAAGGCCGACAGCTACTTCGAGAGATTGCGCATACCAATGATAGCGGACAGGATGACAGACACCTGCCCGCTCGTGAGCAGTAACCTGCCCATCCTTCTTCTAGCTTTCAAAGCAGAGAAGCAAAAGGATGTCAGGATGTCTAATGTCTAAATTTTCCGTGGACGCTGCAAAGCAAGGGCAGAAGCAGTAGAGATACAGTTCAAAGAAATGCAACGCTCAGGCAAGCAAGCATCTATCGTAGACGCGTGTGAGGTTGCCATGTGGGCCAGACGCTCATAGGGCAGACTGTTGACAGCCCCTGTTGTGAGGGGCAACAATCGACAAGCCCGTGTGCAAGGATGCCTAGCTCGAAATTGTTCGCGACGCAATGCGACGAGCTCACTCACCAATTACACCGACAAGCCCACCAAAATCACTCTTGATACCTACGCCACAACGTCCCCCTCGCACATCCTCGCAACTTTGAGCATGCAATAAATTCCCCGCCCTTTCCCCCGCTCCCTTGCCACCATGCCAAAACCGACCTACGACCGCGCCGACGCCTCCGCGCTCCTCGACGATCGCGGCTACAGTGGCGCCCTAATCCGTGGTCAAAACCCGGCGTTGCTCTTTGAAAAAGGCGTCCGCGAGCGCATCACAGAATCCTACTACTGGAAAGAGCAGTGCTTCGGTCTCAACGCGGCAACACTCTGCGACCGCGCCGTCGAGTTGAAGTTCATCGGTGGCACATCAGGCATAACAGGGCGGCCGACGCCGTTTTTGTGCTTGGCGTTCAAGATGCTGCAGCTTGTGCCGGAGAGGGATGTTGTGCTGGAGATGCTCAACTTCTCTGGCGACGATGAAGAACAAGTCGAGGAGGATAAGAAAATGGAAAATGGGAGCGCCAACGGTGATGCAGAGGAGAAGAAGCGCGATCTGAATGCTGAGGGCAAACTGGGCACATTCAAGTACCTTCGCTGCTTGGCTGCGTTCTACATCAGGCTTGCGTGGGACCCGGTCGAGATCTACACTACGCTCGAGCCGCTGCTCACGGATTATCGAAAGATCAAGAGGAGGTTGAAGGAGAACTTCAGTCTTACCTACGTCGACCAATTTATAGACGACCTGCTCACGAAGGAGCGCATCTGTGCGACCAGTCTGTGGAAATTGCCGAGCAGAGCGAATCTGGAAGACCTGGACATGCTGGAGCCGAGGGAAAGTCCGTTAAGCGACGAGGTGGATCTATTGGATGAGGAAGACGAGAAGACAAGGGAGAGGGAGAGGGAGAGGGAAGGTAGTGTAGGGAGTGACAGGAGTGGGAGGAGCTACAGGAGTCGAAGTTACGACAGCAGAAATCGCAGTCGGAGCTATGACAGCAGAGACAGGAGCAGGAGTCGAAGCAGAAGCAGGAGCTATGACAGCAGGGATCGGCGGCGCAGTCGGAGTCCTGGGGAGAGGAGTGATGGAGTGCGCAGTAGGAGTCGGACGAGGAGTAGGAGCGGAAGTCGAGAGAGGGATTGAGGTAATCGAAGCAACGAACGAATCCAAGTACAGCTGTATCCATTTCTTCACGACTCCGCCACCTGCGCCACTATATCCTTGGCTGTTGTCCCACAACAACCCGACCGAACGTGGTGCCATCTTGCGAGCGTTGGTGGCTGTGGACAGGGGTTCTCACCGGTTCGCAGTTGCCTCGTAGGATCGCTAAGCGGCCGCCCACGTCAGCAAGCTCAAACACAAAAGCTTGAGCATTCCGCAGACGACTTATCTCACGATACGGCTTTTCAATTCGCTTTGTACGTCTGTTAAGAGGGAATGCGCAATGACTTCACCGCTTTTGGCTTTACCACGCGAGATACGCGACACCATATACGCTCGCCTCAATCGAGACGTTGCCGTCAAAGACAAATATAAGCTTTCTCACAACCACATCTTTGTCAGGATCAAGGGTGCACCTTTGCCACAGCTGCTACTTGTCAACTGGCAGCTGCACAACGAATACAAAGAGGCGATCAGTTACTCAGCACACATTGCAATAGACACACTAGGTATGGCATCAGTAGCGAGTGTACTGAATGATGCGACTAATGCGGTGGTTGCAGAGCCCTTTTGTTTCCACCACCTCGACGCTCGACTGCAGCACATCCTCGCAAATCAAGTTCGTAGCATCACTCTGATGATCGACTGGTGCGTCAGATCTGCCGAGCAAGAGAAACGCCTCTCCAACAATACCAACTTGTTCTGGCGCATGTTCCAAGAACTCGCACACGAAATTGTACATCCTCAGGTGACTACCCTGAAGATCGCGTATCTCGACTCCATGGGTGGTGGTGTCTCATTCGAAATGCTCGATATGATCGAAAGGATCATCCTGGACATGCGACAAGAGCGAGGAGGTAGATATTTCACATCACCTCCCATAAAGTTGGAGGGCCTTCGGCTTGTGCAAAGTATAGAAGCTTATCAACTGGAGGCAAGTAATGAATGCACGGTTGCAGTCGATACGATCAGCTTTGAGCCGGTAAGGGTTGGGTTTTGGGTTTACTCCGCGATGGGATGTAAGCTTGATGAGCGGTCGTTGTGGACAGTTGATGATCAAGGTCAAATAGCACCGTCAGCAACAGAAGAGTTGGGACGTTGGAAGGACGGTAAGTACCAGGCTGGCGTGCAGGCAGGACAAAATTTGAGAGGCATATTGGAACGAAAGAGGGTGGAAGCGATCTTAGGTGCTACAGACTACGCGTTTGTTTGTAAAGCGTCAGATTGCCATAAGTGTCTGGCCGCTGACGAAGGAGACGTTGAGCCTACATCAACAGGCTCATGTGCTACGGGTATGCGTAACATGGTTCGAGGATACTTCCGAGGCGAGAACGTGTCAGAGACCAAGCACACACGACCACTCACCGGCCATGTTGATACACTCCGTCCTAAACAATTTGACGCTCCCCGTGACATGGAGCCTGGATGGTGATGACTGTGTAAATGGCCAAAGGATAGACAGTAGCACACGCAATGAACAAGTCAATTGGTCTACCACTTCCTCAGACTACAGTGGTGCGAAGGCTTCCAGTTTTTTGATCCCCTGTCGGAGGTAAGACGCTTTTCCAACGCCTAATATCCGAGTGACTGACAGTACACTGGCTGCCTCCAGCCTTGGATCTCTGTCACCCAGATTTTGTTCATGTTCTCGTGAGCATCGACTGAGTCGGTCTTCTCCACTGATATGGTCAGAACTCCACCAATCGTGGCGCTGCCACTCACTCTACTGTCGATTCGCCAGGCAGGCCTTTCATAAATACCATCATCGACACACTCAATACTTGAAGCAGTATATCCTCTTCGCTCAAATGCGGGTTTCAATTGCATTGCCTCCAACTCTCCTTACCTTACTTGCCCCGCGAGATACGAGACCAGATCTACACATTCCTCAGCAGGACTATCAGATACAGAGATGCAAATGTTTGCGCAACCCTTTCGCATGGGATTAGGGTCACGATCACGGATGTACCTCTCGTCGGTGTACTTCTGATTCACCCGCGAATATATGACGAATACAAAGATGCAACACAATTCAAAGTGTGGTCAGCGCAGATCACTCAGAAACCATGATGACGCTCATCTTCTAGACACCTTTGCAGGGGTGTATCTCGAACAGTTGGAATGCCGCCTCCAACATCATCGCCCCATCAATATTACGGTTATCATCAACGACTACACCATGCTCGATTTTGAGGGACGCGAGGAGCAGTTCTAGGGACTGTTCGGCTACATGACCAGCATTTGCACCCACTCGAACCCTTCGCTCTCAACACCTAGACTGGCTGTCCAGGATAGAGGTCGTCCGATCGGTGATGGCAGTTTGATGGCGTTGTTCAGTCCTACGAGTCCGGCGGCAGAAGATCTGATGTCAGATGTACCAGAAACCCCGTTTTTGGTTGATCTACTCGAAAGCCATGGCTGATCATCGGCGCGTCTTTGGCTAAGACGGCACGCGGAAGCGTACCGTTATTTGGCACGTCTGCTGAGCCGCGGATGGCTGTCATCGAAGTCGCGTGCTTCGTATGGGGTTGCGAATCTGAGATTCATCGCACGATGCGGACATCCGACGAGATGAACAAAATTTGGCCTTCTGGCCCTTACGCATATCCAGCAAGGGATTTGGATGGTCGTGGTGCATCTGCTTGACCCTGTGTGCAGCATGTGCAAGGGCGGACGGAGACGCGAACAATGCAGCGGTGAGGAAAGACAGCACTATCTGAAAGAGCGTCTTGTCTACCGTCAGGCATCATTGCAGAAAAGGCTAGCTATAGGACAGATACATTGTAGTCCTGAAAGACTGTATCAGGTTGCAGATAGTCTGCAGACTGGCACTGAGTACCTCCCGTAAACTCGGGCATAGACTCTGACGGTTAAGCAAACTGCTCCTCCAGATATACCTTTACCGAAACCTACAGTTGCGCACGATCGAGCGCATGGGAGTTTCGCAAGTTTTTGTCAAGCTGACCAGCGTACCCTATCGTATATCGTTGTAGCGGCGTGGGCCGCTGTAGAATACTGATAGCTACGGTAAACGATAATGTAGGACTATCGGGTCGATGGAATACTGCGCTGAGTTGCTATCTAGTGAGGAGAAGACGACTATATACTGACTCTGGAACGTGCTAATCCAGAACAGTCTAAGTAAGGGTAATAGGGTCTCGTATGGACCGACTAGTACCGCAACAATCGTGTGCACCCACAACTGAATGCCGAATACCGAGAGTCTGGCCCCATCAACAACGTATCAGCCCTCATCTTCAATCGTAACCATGGGGAAGACAAGAAGTACTGGCGCACGGATGTAAGATCAATCCTCTGAGAAGACATCGCGCTCACTCACGTCAAAAGTGTTGCTTTGCATTTCTCGACAAACCCAGACATGGAAGGCGCGGATCCGATCGACCTCCTGAATGCTCTAGCACTAAAGGCAGAAGGCCTTCGCACTATCCGAATCGCAGAATACGCGGTCGTTCTCGTCTTTCACGATGAGCCTCTTCCCAAGCACGCGAAATGGATCACAGGCGACAAGATCTGTGGAAGGCTTGAGATGTTGATTGATTCTTTTAGCTATTGGCTGGAATCGATCGGGACTATATAGTAGAAGGCAATAGCAGTGAAGGGTGGGAAGCAAACTGAACTAACCAAATGAGCTGGACAGTCACTGCAGCGGACCGCTAGCAAACACAATCAGTGCAGTGGACCCGCTAGCAAACAGATGGCAATCAGTGGATACCTTCACCCCTCCGACAAGATCTCTCCATTTCCGAACGTCTTCGCTTCACTGCCCCTGGTCTAACGTGCGAACTGTCGATGGAGCGCTACCCAGCTGGTTTCGAAGCCTAGGTTTCGTCCCGTCGCCTCTGGAATTGGACTCGCATGGCGCCTGTCACGTACTGTAGAGGAGCATGTTTCGCACCAGTGCCGAACTCATCTCTACAGTACACACCGATTGGGAAAGGATCTCTTGACGTCATGTACAGCGATCAGCCTCGAGGTTATATCAAATGGAGGGAACAGCTGTTCAAAGAGTATAAGGTTAAGATAAGCCGAAGAGCGAGCGGGTGATTGCATGGAAGGACGAAGACTGCACCAAGAAAGGTGACGACGGGTCACTTCAAAGCGTACAGGGATGCGTAATGTTTGGAAGGCGTGGGTCCAGGATAGAAACCAGAGAGATAGCCGTTCTTCGCCACTCTTCGTTGCCTTCTCCTCGACTGCGGGTGGCGCCAGATCCTCCCCACCTGCTCACGCTGCCCCACGAAATACGCGCCAAGATCTACAGCTACCTTCATCGAGAGAAAAAGTGCCGCGACAGAACCCTCAGGAAGAATCATTCCTTTCGCTTGCGCTGGACAACGCCCCGTATTACTGGAGACGTCCTCGAGGCTGATGACTCCTTATACCAATATATGTGCTATAGAACTGAAACGTTGGATCTGATGACGCCAGAAGTGCGGTGCATGTTCGAGAAGCTCCCCAATGTGCTTACGAAGTGGAAGGAAGAGCGCGGGGCGGAAGAAATAGCGCATCAGGATGGAAATCGAAGCAGCCTGTTTCGGCTTGTCAAACTGCAAGAATTTAGAACCAAGTACCTTGGCATTAGAAACAGCAGATTATCAGATCACGCCTGTCTCTCTAGTCTGTGTGTCACCTTCACTAACACCCTGGAACGTCTGCGCTTCGTCGATCGAGCTTTATCGTTACAAAATTCTTCTCCCGCCCTCTCAACTCCTTTTACCACCCTCAAGCTTATACCGATCACGTCCATCCTACTGCGAAGAAAGTATCGCCTGTCCCATCTTGTTTATTGACGACGCCGTGTGACATCCGGGACAACATCTACAAGTACCTGTCTCACAAAGTCACTCGTCGATTCCCGTTGGAGACGATTCCTAGTCGCAATGTTACAGCTCTAGAAATAAGGCTGGACAACGCACCCATCCCGAACGTACTGCTTACGCACTCTCGACTCCACGACGAATACGCAGAAGCTTCATGTTTCCGGAGTCTGCGTGCGACTGTGTGCTATCATATGAGTGTCCGAGTCCCTAGGCACGGCACAAACAGCAGTATGGAATCACCAAACCAAGCACTAGCGAAGAGAGCTCTCGCTTGTGTGCGCTGCCTTACAGCCTTCTTTCCAGAATATTCTGAAGACTCAGCCTCTTTCTGAGATATGCAATCGATTTTGGCGGTATTGCTGCCTTGGATTGAATCTTTCATCGGCGAGAATCAGTTACTCGACAGCTTTGGAGAATTTTCCGTGCAAACAGTTGAGTGAGCTGGAGACCGTAACTCTATCGGCGATTGGCAACCATCTTGGAAGGGACAACCGGATGAGGTAGTTCCTCCGCCACCCGTGAGCCTTGCCCGACTCTCACTCTATCAAAGTGTACAGGGTAAGGTATCATGTTCGAATTATGTTGGCAGGAACGTCTTGGCAAACGAGTCGGACCGGGGTTATGGGGGTATCCTGTACACTAAAATATAGATGGAGGCCTGGCTGTTCATCAGCAGCAGGACCAAGAACCGTGCGATGACTGCCGAGGAGGCCTTCGAGTAAGTGTTCGCACTCGATCTTCCAGCATACGTCCGCGCATTCATGATGGAGCCAGAAGCAGCTAAAGCAAAGTTGCTGCTATCGACTCCACCACTGGGAGGATGCTTGTGGATTCTAAGCTAGGGGATAGGCGAAGATTGTGCCAGCAGAATAGTTCTCGTGATGAAGATCGAGGAGTTAGGAGATCTGGGCGGTTTTGGGTAGTTTTGTGAAAGATTCCATGAACACAGCATTGGCGATGTTCACCTACCGGCCCGGCAGTGACTTCAAGATCACGTTTGTCAGTTGGCAGCACCTCCACCGTCCGATGCTACTCCTTGGTGATACAAATTTCATGCACGCTCTGTTCCCCTTGCAGTACCACGACCACGAAATAACACCTAGCTTCAACTGCCCCGTCAGCGCCAAGTTAAATACAAGGCTAGAACCGTACGATATCAACATGTGCACCTACCGAGTCCTACTTTGCGACCGCTGCTTCAAGCCTATCGGCCGCAAGAAGACCGGCTACTGCGTTAAGCTTCAGCGTCGCTACGGCCGCTGAGGTAACCAGCACCCCGTCCGCGCAGTGCCAGGCTGGAGCTGTGGTCGCTCCGAGATTGACCAGCGTGAGGCCTCTAAGGTGGCTCCTGGTGGTGCTGTCTGCGATAAGTGCCACCGCAAGGAGGAGGAAGGAGGAGGAGCAAGGAGGAGGAGCAAGGAGGAGAAGCGCCGTGAACACGATAGGCTCCGGAAGAAGCGGGACAGGGTGTACCGGTATTAAAGGATGACGGAAGGAGTGAGACGATCATGGGAACCGAAGAAGGAATTTGAAACTGGTGATTAATGTGTACCGATTGGGGTGTCCTAGACCCGAGGGTCGGAGAAAGTCAGTCAGAGAAATGGAGAGAAGATTCAAAACAAGAGTATAGAAGTTCGACGTAGGTTGTGAACCGACTTGAATCCCTACGACACCATCACGCCGTATTATCAGATTTGCAGCTCCACGTGTGTTCACTACGGTGAAGTGGTGATAGGTTGCGAGTGGAGGATCTGGCTTCGTTATGCTAGAAGTACTGATCTTTGGTGTGGTATAAGAGATGTGTTGAGCGGGATTCTGTCTGGCTCCTACATGTCTATATGTTTTATGTACGACCTGTTCGCAGCAGTTCGACACGCTTAAGTGCCCAAACACGGACCACTATCGGGTAGAAAGGGCTCAAGAGCAGTGGAGATCGGCCGTCGAGCCACCCTTGCACGGCCCGCAGACCAGGATCAAGGACCTGGGGAAGTGGTTCCTCCTCCGTAATCTTCATTATGGACCTCTCCAAAGGGTTTTTGGACGTCAAAGCTGCGAAAAGTCTGTCGAAGGGAGGTTTGTTCGCGGACTTGGGCAGCAGCCAGCTTTCGACATTGATGCCTATGTCGTGCGTCGCATTCGGAAATGAAGGTGGTACGGCTGCCATGGCTTTTCGAACTCAGTCTCTGCCGGAGGATCAAAAATGTAGCGAGGTGAATAAATAAAGCATCAGACTGCTACTACGCGCCGACTCTTGAAAGCACCGATTGCGAATGTAGGTCCTGTGGAGACGTGACGGTGGAACGCGACCATCGTGCGGTCTTTCACGCTAGTGAGCCCCACTTTCCTCCCATCTCCTCTTGCGGTCCTTCCTTTTTGACTTCCGGTGATCCGGTCGCCAGTCATGCCATGCTCCTAGGACCTTCGTCTCAAATGTTTGTAGTGTAGTATTATTGCCGATTCTGCAAAGTCATCAGATATGACGACTCAGAACTGCGGTGCGAAATCTCTGTTGGATGGAAGTGGCTCTCCGGTGATATACGGCAGGAGCATTTGGGTTGTTTAGCGTTTTGATTGGGACTAGGGCCAATAGCTTGTATGGGCGGTCTCTGACCCAGGTTTCTTGAACAGACACAAGAAACATAATCAATCGAGATCGTATTTCAATAATCTCAAGTGTCGGCGCATATGAAACTATGTACATTTGCTCAATGTTTATCGAGAACTATCTAAATCGTCCGTGAAAAGTTAAATCGTAGCTTGTTAAAGGTATCGCAGCGGCAATCTATGCTGCGATACTGACAGGCTTGATGCCAACCTCTGTAAGCTTTGTCGCTTCCGGCTCCTTGAGCTCAACTTCCACCGGGTCGATGGTGTCTGTCAAACCCATGTACTTCAGACTCGCAGTCCAGCCTAAGTCCTTGCCGAAGTAGTTCTGCATGACCTCGACACCATATTTGATGCCATTCTTCGGATCGTAGGTCAAGCACTGCTTGCCGACCGCAATACCAATGACGGCATCCCAAGATGGAAGTTCTGTCTGTCCGTGGCGGTCAGACTCTGGTGCTGTTTCAGGGAGTTCGGAATTCAAAATCGAGGAGTAGATGTTTTGTGCAGCTGCTTGACCCATGACTGTTGCGCTACCAGCGCGCTTGATGCCCGACCATTGGATGACGTCGCCGACACCGAAGTGAGATGTGTGGTTAGGAATGGTGTCCTTGAACATGAGGCTGTTGTGGACCTTGATCTCTTTGTCTTCATTCAAGCAGGCTTCGGGGAGGATGTCTGTGGTTGGCATGCCCTTTCTTGTTGAATCGATGACGAAGTCTGCTGTGATCTTCTCGCCGTTCGCCAGGGTAACTTCAAACTTGCCATTTGACAGCTCCTCGATCTTAGCTCTATTGCCAAGAACAACATCGACACCCTCCTCCTTCAGCATAGTCCCTACACGGTCCTTGAGCTCTGAAGGTAACGGTTCTGATGACAAAACTTGGTCGCGAGAGTGTACGAGCGTGACCCCAATTTTGGGATAGTACTGCTTGATCTCACCAGCGAACTCAATTCCAACGGCGCCAGCGCCGATGATGACCACTCGTCGTCCCTCGTGCTTTGATTCATCACCGCCAGTAATCTTCTCGATGAAGCTCTTTCCATCTCTTAGGTACTCCTCGTAGCTGCCAGATTTTGGCACAGCAGGCCAGTGCCTCTTTAATCCTGTGGCTACAATAAGGTAGTCGTACGCTTGCTGCTGAGTCTTGCCGCTGCGGTCAGACCATTCAGCAACCTTGGCCTCTGGGTTGATGCTCTTTACCGAGCCGTGCTTGAAGGTCAAGTTTGGTTGCTTCAGTTCATTCAGATGTGAGAAGCGCTTCCACATGTGACTTGTGTACTCCGATGCCACATGCGCAAGTGGAGCTCCCACCGAGTGAACTGCAAAATACCCCTGTCAGTACAAGATCTGCCGCGGGAAAAAGTCAAGGACAACGACTTGTCGAAGCCTCGGTTAGTGGGGCTAAGAAATTAATGACGCACAGTATCCATCGCGCTCGTCAATAACGGTGACTTCGACCCCTCGCCTGCTCTTTGCTCCCTTAAAGTCTGGTCCTGGGTACACGGGCTGTCTTGCCTTGCCGTTGGAGTACTCGAGAAGGTTGACAATCGCTGAGATGCCTCCGTACGCGCAGCCAACAACAAGCACACGGTTTGGTGACGACAGCGACATACCGCCAATAGCATCTGTAAGGTTCGGCATTCTCATGGTAGGAAAAATTCAATCTGATAACAAGTGTGAGGGATAGAAGGCGGGATGGAGGAAGGATGCAGAGGAGACGATCTGATAAGATTAAAAGAGTTGGATTTTCTCGGGGTTTTATCGCGTAGCACCATCCAGACCGCTCTCCACCGGTATCGGTCACGGGCTGTTCGGAAGCAGTCGGCCCACAGATTGCGTTTCGGCAGCGCAAGCATCCATTTCGTTGTTTGACGGTACGGGTTGGTGGACTGGAGATGCGATTGGTGCACATGAGCTGGGTTATCAGATCCCGCTGCAGAATTTTTATCAGATGCTCACTAGCGTGCATGGCCGCGTGTGAGCCCCACAGCAAATGAGGGCCTGACAGCACCTCCTCCACACAACGATCACGACTGAATCGGCCAAGAAGGTCGTACATGTACTGGCGGCAACCTTCTTTAGACGTTGTGTCTGCAGCTGCCCTGCATGAACTGTAAGGGTGAAGCTCGATCCAGCACATGCATCTGTTGACCCAGTACCTGCTCCTTCGAGCCTTAGGCGTTCCCTCTGTGACTCCGTCGACCACGGAATGTACAAAAGGGACAATACACAGCCACGCGCCGGTGGTAAGTGTCTACTTGAAATCGGGTATCTTTGCTCTCTTTCCGTGGTCAGAACTTTGCAGTAGTAGTACACATTCCCACTACGCCAGCTGGACCATACATACTTACGACTTGGTCCAGTTCTCTTCACTCTCAAATTCACAGTGAACACTATGACAGTCGAATTGCTTGGGTGCCACATCGACGTGCAAGAGCACATATAGACTTCTGAGATGCCTGGATCATTAACAAATCTCGGAAACAATACCAACAAATGTGGGAGCCCGCTCGCTCACACTTGGTAGTCTTACTAAGGTGAGTTGAACATACTAATCACACGCCGCCGCCAAGTCGCGTACTTGGTAAGCACCTCGCGCTATGCTCAGCAGTTAGAGCGTATGATTGGTGCGGAGTGCCTGTACGAGCAATGCGAACAATGTTTACTCATCTACACAGCGGAGTTCCGCTGCCAATGTTGCACTCTGTTCGTATGTTCCTGCTGCCTGAAGCCTTCATGCTATGAGCAGCCAAGCACATTCTGTTCCTGATGTTTCGTGTTCAGCTGCTTACGCAACGACATTGTGTTCATCAAAGCAGCAACCTGCTTAAATATGCCCCTAGCGATGGTAGGAAGACACAAGATGCAAGCTTCAGGCGGCACACCCAACTCATTCCAGCTCGAACACTCAATTACTCTGTATCACATTTTAGAAACTCTATACTATGTCTCAGAAGCTCATTACTGTCTTTGGCGCGACAGGTGCGCAAGGCTCTTCGGTCCTCCGCAGTCTAGCTGCCAACGTATCAAAGCCTTTCGCACTACGTGGGACTACACGCAATCCTTCGAGCGACTCAGCACAGCGACTCTCTGCTCTCGGTGTCGAGATCGTAAAAGCCGACGGGTGGGACAAAGAGTCCATAGTCGCTGCCTTCCAAGGCTCATGGGGTGCCTTCGTCAACACCAACAGTGACGATCCCGTGTTCGAAGATCCTCAATTCACGAAGACAGAAGTCGATCTGGGAAAGCTGATAGTTGATGCAGCTGTCGAAGCCGGCATAGAGGTGTTCGTGTACAGTGGCTTCAATAGCGCGAAGGAGATTACAAAGGGTAAAGTTGCGAATCCTGCGTTCGACGGTACGTGTATCTCAAGCGTCCGAAGGTAAGGAGGCTAACCATCACAGACAAGCACGCCATTGGCGAATACGCGAAATCTACAGGGGCGTTTAAAGCTATTGTGCTCGCGAGTCCGGGTGATTACTTCGAAAACTTTCTCAGTCAAGAGTTGGCGCCGGTGTTTGGTGGCTTCCCTTATATCCCGTCTGCGGATGGTACTCTAGTCTTTCGCTCACCGAAGTGGGGCGGCAAAGAGGATGTGCCATTCATCGCGATCGCCGATGACTTTGGCGACATCGTGCACGGAACCTTTCTCGATCCGGAGAACTGGAATGGCAAGTTGGTCCAGGGCGTCAGCGATATCAAGTCCTTTGAGCAGGCTGTCCAAAGTTTTGAACGAGGTTTGCTACTCCGTCTTGCTGATATTCCGCATGTCACTAATATGGACTCAGCCACAGGCAAGAAAGGTCGCTTCGAGGAGATCTCAAGGTGGCAGGACTTCGATACCTACGGCATACGCGCACTGGAAACGGTCAAGCTTATGTTCGGATTCTGTCAGGAGTCCGGCGGGCGTTACTACGGCGAAGAGACGGAGAACCATACGGCAGCAGATTTGAAGAAAATCGCAGCCGAAGCTCGCGGCAGGTCTGGTCATGAGACAAAGCTGCTGACACTCGAAGAGTTCTTCAAGAGTGAGTTTGCGGGCAAATAGGTAGTCATCCGACATACGCCTTTGATCGTCTTGTAGGTGTTATGTTTGTACCAGAAAACCTCCTTTCCACAGAAGAGTGTCGCCCTTGATTTATGTGCAGTATCTTGGCTCGATGTATCACTAATATTTTCCACGATCTCTCGCTGTGTCTCAGAGCAAACGCTTCCGCAGACATGAGTGTATCTCCAGTCGTCTAATCGTGGCAGCGACTCTGGCTAACTCCGAGGAATGTCCACATATGCAAAGACGAATGGGACCTTTCCACCGATGAGGTCATTCGTAACATGGAATGTCACCACATCTTTCATAGACAGTGTTTGATAACCGCGTTCTGTATTCCCAACAACATTGCTTGTCATTGCCGTCCCGCTTGTCGTATTCGTCTTTTCAAGAACGGTAATATACAACCTGAGTCCGAAGTTATTGAGCAACCCTGGACAGATGATGGTCTCTGGTATGCGATGGATCAATTTGACCAGATTCTGTCACCACACAATGATAGTAATTCACTCTTCAGGGGAAAGACATGCTGAGTCACACCTTGCGCCTTTTGTCGGATATCAGTCATGTTTGCCGTCAGTCCTTCCAGAGTTTTCATGATTAGAACACAGCGAGCGCTTTGAAGCAGCAGCTTGGGCGCTCCTGTTTCGGTCGAGGTATATCAATACCTATGGTCGTTTGGACGAATATACGATGGACACCCTGGACAGTCCAAAATGGACAGACAATGAGTGGATGGCGTTTAGTAGGGATGTAAGCATGCGCTGCAAGGGAGCTTGTTTCAGAGGTCTCGTTAAGAGGTCCTGAGATCCAGCTCCTCAGAAATTCCGCGTTGACTCGCACTTGGTCCCTTGGACATTCATCGTCTGGCGGGAAGTCTTTCAAAATAGTCTGTACGATTCGGAATGACATTGGGTACACGGTAATGTCGACAACCCTTGAGATGAAAGAGCAAAGTGTCTCCCTCGAGCTGCACAGCAAAAGCGAGATTGAGATGTTGTTGGACTTATTTTGCCATTTGGTCGATCTGAACCTGGGTTTTACGCTCGAGATCACCGCCCTAGCCACCACCGAAGACTTGGATCGTCTTGATTCAGCGGCAATCAGAACCGCAGGTTCATGATTTAGTCCGAAGAATCCGAGAAGGGTCGCGCATAATGATCAATCATATGTTGTCTGCGAACAGATGATCTTGGCATCCAATCTCTTCCTTCTTCCTATTCAGGGTTTCTTTGCAGAACCGTCGTGTGCATCCAACACCATCGCATTCCGCAGTATGTGCGTGCTCAATTTCGTGTTTCTGTAACTCAGACTTTGTCAGGAGTCGATCATGAGCACATACTGCGCACTTGTACTGAAGCACATAGGCGGCAGCTAGTGCAGGCGCTCGCTTCGACTCCGGGTCAAGCCAACGAATCTGCGTGGTGTCGCCTACGAAAGCATCATTGCTGACATTTGGCCTAGAAATCGGCGAAGTATGACTCAAGGTGGACGGGCTGTTCGTGTTCAGCTGGAACGGTGGGTATGCTGGGGCGGTGTCCGACACGGCAGAGTCGGGGAGAATTGTTGTTTGAGGAGTGCTGTTCCTAGAAAGGGGTTCCGTAGTTGATTGCGGTGTCGTCGTAGGAGCAGAGCTAGGTTTGATTGTGCTGATGTTAGGGAAGTCGAGTAAGACTATAATGAGTCCTTGGTCAAATTGATAGTTAGGCAGATTGGCTGCCTTCCGCAACGACAGTACGGAAGATATGTCCCATCTGTCATTTTCGCTGATTTTCTTCGATGCCGCTTCTTTCGTGATCCTCTCGAGAAGCCAGCTACTAATGATGGCGAGATAAGCGCGCTGGAAAATTGGCTGAACATCGAGAGGGACCATCTCATGCATGGAAAGTTGAAAGTCGTCGTCAGGTTTTGTACAAGCCAATACTTGCTGATAGGTGGGATTCTCAGGAATAGGAAACAAGCCAGCTTGCCACCTGTAGGTTCTGCCTTCCTGAGTTTTGTTGTGGAGTCCCAGCATCTTTGCGAGCATGGCGTGGAGGACTTCCGTCCGCACAGGCTCCGCTAAAGTGAGCGCTGCAACAGCATACGGCTGAATGCCATCGACGTCTTCATACTCAGGATCCGCACCGCCATCAAGCAACTTCTGCGTCAATGCCGCTACGTCGGTAGCCGAAGCTTGCTCAATACACTTTCTCAGCGGCGTCATTCCAAAACTGTCGAGCACATTTGGGTCGACGCCTCTGTTCAACAGTATCTCGATGTCACCGAGCGCCTCTGCGCAATGTCTCTTCGCATCTGCACAACTTCCGACTACTTCGTGAAGCATCAATCCACCACTGATGGGAGCGTTGTTGGAGTATTCGTGCACCACTTGTCGCGAGATACATGGAGGCGAATGCCATAGGGCTTGGTGGATGAACGTGTTGCTCGAGCCGGCTGCGCAGGGACTAGCAAAGAATTTTGCTGAGAGATCCGCGCCCTTCTCCACAAAGGTTCCGAGACAGTCCATTTCTTCCCAGCTCAGCCTCATATTCCAGTGGTCATAGTTCTGCCAAGGTTCGATGAACTTCTCGAAAGGAGAAGCAGATGACCCTTCAGGAGGTGGGACGTGGACGCTCGCTCCAGCATTGAGCAGCAACTTTAGGTTCTCGTTGCACTTGGACCGAACCGCCTCATCACCATAATTGCAAGCTCGGAGTTCCAGGCACAATTGCAAAGCTGTGCCGATGCCCGGACTGGTAGGAGATGGCCCAACATCGTCTACTCTCGCACCTCGCTTGAGTAGGATGTTTACAACCTCAGGTCCAGTCCAGAAAACGGCTTGCAGTAACGGCTTCCAGCGATTGTCGGGAAGACCATTCACATTTGACCGACCAGGTATGAGCAGCGCTTGAACGGTGTAATGTCGGCCGTTCTTGATGGCGTTGTGCAGTGCTAGATCAATGCCCAGGGGGTGCGTCGAGCCTTTTGCGCCATACGAGAGCAGCACCCAAACCACGGGTCCGTTCGGCATCCCGCAAGCGATATCGAGCAACGTCTGACGAGGATGTTGCATAACAAACATCTGACTCAAAGCCGGGTGACTGGAGAAGCGACTGCTAGGCAACTCAAAAGGCATGCCGATGGGATCGTTGACTTCGTTCATGTGTGCCATTAAGAGTTTCTCCAACTTCTCACATTCATTATCCAAAACGCAACCAAGCATGTTTTGAAGGGCGTTCGATGCAATCGGTGGATCTTGCATCCATACAGGGATATCAATGGACGGTTGTAGGCTGATCTAGATCAGTACTTGCGAAGTGCAACTTCGTTCGAAACACATACTTCGCGGTCTGGCTAAGTAGACCCATAAAGGTAGGCTCGGCAACTGTGAGCCCTACACTGCTTACGACTTGCCATCCGCCAGTCTTCGTGCGATGCTCCAAAGACTCCGAATCGATGGACATAGGCTCAGCTGTCGCTGATGGTGCTCTTGGTTCTTCGTTATCGCGCTCACATCCAGAGCTGCCGGCACGATTTCGCTCCAGACGCGCCTTCCGCCCTTTTTGTCGCATAAGCCCCCATTCTTTGAGCTTCATTCGGTACGCTCTAGTCCTGTCATACGTAAGAATGTACAAAAGCCAGTTGAACGCATAGGCTTACGAAGCTCTGAACTTGTACTTCCGTTCCATCAAGTCTTTGACCTCCTCCAAGCGCTTCTTCTGATTGAAAGACAGCTCTTTAATCTCATCTTGCACTGCATCCCAGTCTTTTGTCATGGTTGCGGTTGCTGGGATAAGATCGTGGTACTAATCAGACAGAGGATGCTGGTGATGTATCACAAGTATGCGGCCCGAGGGTGCAATTTGACCCTTTTGGCTGTTATTATCGACGATTGCACAAGACTGCCCAGATGGTCTAGACCCAGATCGCTGAAATCATGTATCGTAAGGCAAGAAGAACATGATTGTAAATTACAAATGTAGATGAGAGTCCCAGCGCTGGTAGCAAAGACCGGAAAGTGCACACTTGAAGAGTGCGAGTGCAAGATTACGAACCTAAATTGCACTTTGGGGATGCGCTAACTACAAACAGACAAGCCTGAATGATATCATCCACCTGCACCTCACTGGAGGCCTTTCCAACACCATGACACATCTCCATTACCAAAAAGATTCTCCACACTGACTTAACATCTCTATTGCACTCAAAAATCAAGCTACACCACCGCAATCCTACTTCTGCCCATAACCCGGCAACTGCGTACTCTCCCTTGCCTGCTTTGATCTCAAACTAGGCAGCAACTTTAACTCTCCTTCCACCTCAGCATGTCGCTTCTCATACGTCCCCACGTGCCCTCCGCTTTCCTTCTCCTCAGCAACAACGACCTTCAACTCTTCCAACTCCCCGCTCAGGTTCTTCCACCGCTGCCCCTCTTCCTCCCAGAAGAACAGAAAGTTGATCAGTTTCTTCTGCGCATGACTCGTGATGCCCGGGACTTGGTTCGCGAAGTTCTTCGTGATTTTCTCTGTATGTACGGTAGGCGAGCTCTGCTCTAGCACTCCATTCTTGATCAAGGCCTTGTGAATGGAAGCTGAGATCTTCGGTTCAGAGGTCACGCCGGCGTGCGCGAATACCTCTGGAGAGAGAACGAGAGGATCGTGCTGGCCCAGTTGATGGATGAAGGCGAGGTCCTCTTCCCGGTTTGATAAGTCTGTGTTCTGAGGCGCGCCGGCGATATTAGGCACCGCGTTAGACATGAACCGTGTGAAGCTGAACTTCTTGTTTCCGTCTTCCGTCTTGTACATAGTTGCAGTCGTAAAGATAGTTATAAGTCCTTTAGGTCGAGAATACTAGGAAAGCTTGTGATGAGCCGAAATGCTTGGTAAGTCTTGGTCACTTTATTCCTTTCTGCTGGTCGATCAGTACTACAATGATGGAAGGCTGTGTCTACAATAAGATGAGGCTGTGTTCGCGTTGGTGCATCTATTAGCCCTACACGTGGGTCATTGTAAGCATGTAGTTGGCTCATTTAATAGTCTCGCTCTGCTGTACTCAAGGTCTTCCCTCGAGCGCACCAACACAAAAGCCACCTTGTTGTCCATTTCGGCATACAGCTGACACTTCTTGTTGTTGGGTGTGCTTGCTGACCGGCATGACGTCACAGTTCAACCGCCGACCTTACAATCCTCTGCCAGCCTTATTGCTTGGTCTCAACACTACTTGGCACTCGCATCCTGAGCATCATGTGCCCGAAGATCAAGTCCAAAGGTAGATGTGCCTGATACCTTTATATTCGTAATCGCTCACCTCACAATTCGATCCGTATTTGTCATAGTTGAGAAAGCTGCGCTGCGCTGCATGATTGTCGCCGTCGTTCCTCCACATGACGAGCGGAGTACTCGTCTTGTTGTTCTGGTCTTTGCTGGAATCTATGCCTGCGTAGCTTGAGTAAAGCCTGTGTGCGTCAGCTGGCCGTCTCCCAAAGTTCCGTCAAAGACAAGAAGCTTACATGATGCTCTTCGGGTTAAGATATCCGTATTCCAAAAAGTAATTCAATCCGTCGTCATCAACGTAGGTTTACTTTGACCACTCTGCGGCGCCAAGTTGTACTTGTAGCTCAAGAAACTGCTCTTGCAGACTTCTTCCATCGTGTGCTTACCGCGCGCTTCGACACATGCCTTGGCGGCAGCGTAGCCTGCAAGATTCCTAAATTCAAGGTGAAGATAGTTGTCGCGGTCGGGGCATTGGTGTTCATGTCAGAGACCGAAGACGTGACCTAAGATGTGGCGGTATGATGCACATATGAGAAGGAGCGAGTTACCGAACTCGTGAGCGACTAGGTAGGGGCCGTCCGAGAGGTGCATCTTCGTCTTGTCGATGGAGATGCCATGGCGATCAGGCTTGCCTTCTGGTCGGTAACCCAGTGAAGCTTGCGTAGCGGTGCCACGGTTCGGGTCACGCTCCTTCTGCATAATAAGTGCGCCGTTAGGCATGTGTATATTCTAGACCCTTGCTGGGGCCAGACTGCAAGTGACAGTACGGCTGCAAAGGGACTTGGGCGGGGAAGTCGTTGACTGGGAGACTGTGGCCGCGACGGTTACTAGACGTGCCGATCTTGCGGCGCCATAGGGCCAGAGCCGCCTCGACCATGTCGTATAGCTCGTTCTTGGAGGCTTCGTCGGCGTAGCAATACCAAATCGTGGTGACTTCGCCGCTGCGGCTGCGAGACCATGGCTGCACTGGGTTGTTGAAAGTGATGACAGCATCGGTCCAACCCACTCCTCCAGCTTGAGCGAGGGTATGTCGTCATGGGCTACGCTTCAATCCTGGAGACAAGGAGACCGTTTCCAACAATCAGATATGGATCGCCGTGTTGGCGCATGAACTTGGTAAGCTGAACTGATAGACGATCCATTCGTACTTGCATACTGATCAGTGACAGGACACATGTTCGGTTTCTGGCATGAGCATCAGCGACATGTTGGTGAGTGACTATACCTGATCGGATAATGCCTTGGCGCATGCTGATAGCCTCCAGAGAACCACTACGTCTGGTTCAACTGCGCGGCTGTAAAAGGCTAAGATGAAGCCAAGCAGGAAGTCGAGGCAGGCGGTATGTAGAGCGTGGAGCAAATCTGCGGCGATGGCGGGCTAGCAGCGATGATCGACTTCAGTATCATTGCGCAGTACGACAACATCGATCAACGCGAACCGGCCGGCGAGGTCGACGGTCGTTTTGGAACCTGATCTATAAATACCCAAACGCATACGATGGCGCCTCAATCATGCACCATGACTCCAATGCGGCGTGTTGGCACGAAGATGAGGAGAAGCTGCATGTTGCGATCGCGTTCTAGAAGGGGCGAGGGCCGAAGTTCACATCACCACCAAAGTTCGACGAGAACGATTTGGAGGAAGTTGTGGTCTGGTGTCCAGGACATTGATGGGCTGAAGAAGATGTACCCTTGGCGAGCCTAGATAATCGTACACTGGAGGTCTGCGAAGTAGATGGCGGTCATAGTAGAGGAACGCCAAGACTCTAGAATACGACAAAGACCTGAAAGAACACAATTCATACTTGACGAAAAGTTTTGTCCTTTCTTGTGGTTGATTGATCAGGGAGTAGGCTTGATGCAGGTGCGGAAGACTAGAGCGCTTTCGGCGTGACTTGTGGGGCAGCCGCTTCCCTGCAGCTCGAGCTTCAACCTCTCGTCACCACTACATCCCTCGGAGGAGCGCATAGCGACGAGACAATAGAGGCAGTTATCTCTCAACATGTGCAGTTTAGAAGAGAATCAATGATCTCACATGTCACTCCAGCGCCCAATGAAGGTAATGATTGACCCTGCGGCACCAATCCTTCGACAAGCCTCCTCCACACGCATCTCATCATGACGACACGATGCTGGATGTGTCGCTGGGCGACTGTAGGAGGTATAAATGCGTCAATATGGGCAGGCGCATAGGAGCATACCATAGCCTTTTTACTACAGCATAGAAGCTTCACATTGGCTGCTTCATAATCACCTACTATCCCAACACACATCCCAGTCATGGAGGCGATCAAGGACGCAATCTTCAGCAACACCTTCGACCCCGACACGGAGATTCCAGATCTCAGCGGCAAGGTCAGTCGAAAAGCACTTCCCACTCAAGACTACTCTTGCTAATCTCCCTCTAGGTCTACGTCGTCACCGGCGGCTCAGCAGGCATCGGCTTCGGTATCGTCGCACATCTTCTCCAGCACAATGCCCAGAAGATCTACCTTCTCTCACAAAGCGAACAACACGCTGCCGAAGCACAAGATGCACTGAAGCACTGGGGCGACGCCAGCCGGGTCGAATGGAGGCAATGCAACCTCGAGTCCTTCAAGCAGACAGACAAGGTCGCGAGGGAGCTGTCAAAGGAGCTGGACAGGCTCGATGCCCTGATCTGCAATGCTGGTCTTGGTGTCGGCGTATACAACGAGAGCGAGGACGGTCTGGACACACACATGCAGGTCAATCACTTCGCCCAGGCACATCTAATGCTCACACTGCTGCCCATCCTGCAGAAGACACCCGACTCACGCCTTGTTTCTCAGTCCTCCGACCTCCACCGTCCAGCAAGCAGCGATATCAAGTTCGCTTCCATCGAGGAGATGAACCAGGACATCGGCGCCATGCAGCTGTACAACCGCACGAAGTTGGCCCAGGTCATCTTCCTTCGCGAGCTGCTGCTGCGCATCAAGGCTGGTCAGTTCGGCAAGGTTACCGGCAACACGGGTCTACCCTGGATCAATGCCACACACCCTGGAGGTGTCGTAACAGACCAGCAAGACCAGGCGATCGAGGCATACGGCACGCTCGGCAAGGTCGGTGTTGCCGCTGTACGGCCGCTGATGAAGGACCCAGTCAAGCAAGGGTGCCGCCCCATCCTGTTCGCTGCAACACATCCGGACATCGTTAAGGAACAGGTGCAAGGCGGGTACATCGTGCCTGACCGCAAGGTCACAGAGCCGTCAGACCAGTCGAAGAGCCCAGTTCTCGGACTTAACCTCTGGAAGCTGACCAAGCAAATCCTCGAGCAGAAGATTGGTAACCTGCCATACACGATGCAGGACGACGAGGTGAACCCGAGGCACTTGAAGGAGCAAGGTCTCATTAGCTAAGCAGTGGCAGCCAAGAACTGTCAGTATTATAGATATCAGCATAACGACGTTATGATCAACAATATGCCACACTGCGCACTCTATCTCTCTTCCTTGTCGTCTGAATTCGATACCAAAGTCTTTCGGTGCGTAAACGGTACCGAAGTGAGCTGCGCCAGCTTTTGCTCAAGCCTAGTAACTCAAAAGTAAAGCAGTGTCATGTGAATTGAATTGATCAAAGGTCAAGGCAAGCCTTGACTGAGCGGACACGCTCATACAGTGGCGAGCACAATCGGTTTCCGGTTCTTTGTTCTCATCGCACGGTCCACGCGACAAGGATCCTGCCATATCTGGGCTAGTGTGTTACAGGGGTGACTGTGTAATGTATACTATGTACCGATTAGCATAATCATGGGCCGGACTAGTTGCCCTTGATTGGCAGCAATCTTTCACCATTGTCTTACAGCATCAAAAAAGAAGGTTTCAACAGATACCCTGCGCAGAGACGCTGGTAGTCCTGTGTAGATAGCTGCTTGCTAGCGGAAAGCGCTCTCTTGGTACTTTCGTCTAAACACCTTCCGACTTTCATCTAGCCAAGCTTCTTCATTGTCAATGTATATGAGTAGAAGACAACAATGTATGCCGCTTCTCGTGGTACTGCTGAACGACAAAATCACCAGAGCCAGCCATCGAAGGGCTTTCGGGAGACGAAGACAGCGAAGTCTCGGCTGAGTCGACAGCTAGCTCGGCACACATGTCAGCTAAAGCTTCTACTGATATCAGCAGCGAAGGATGATCTGCTCGCAGAATGCGAGTCCTGATCTTCACCACATTCTCCGGCAAGTCTGCCGCCTCCTGCACCTGTTTGCTTGCTTCGTATGTCATTGCCAGCGCCTGCTGCGACGCCAGTCGACTGGGGTGGTCTGGTTGCAGTGCCTCTTTCGCCTTGACCACGATCTCCAACAGCTCGACCGCATCCTGCACCTGTTCGTTTGCTTCGTATGCTCCTGCGCGCACGTACTAGGAAAACAGGCGATCTGAGTCGTTGTCGTCTAGCTGACTTCTCCTCTAGGCACACCGCTGCCTCTAGAAACCTGCCCTCCACTCGCAAGCATTGTCACACTAGCAGACACAGCTTTGCGACCTCCTGTGCATCGCTGCCCCTCTCCCTCTCGAGTAGTTGCAGTGCATGTGGCAAATACGCTCTCCACACTGGCTCTTTTACATAATCATCAGATAGGAAGACTCCAGCGACATGCCGTACGGCTTTTTCCATCACATCTGATAGATTGCTGTATTTTTTGACCCAGACCCAAGTTGCCAAGTGTACAGGTCGGTGCATCGCGTACCATTCTTGTCTAGGATGTTGCCTGACGTTGTTCTGTTTCGCCAGGAACGAGTACTTATACAGCGTGCCAATAACTTCCTCCATCCGCATATCCGACCGCATGGTTGGCAATAACGATCGTGGTATGGCTCTCTACTCCACGCATGATATAAACGCCAGCAGGTCTGCCGCTAGTACATCGCGCTTGCGAAGCTGACTGAACGACGCGACCCACGTTGTAACAACTGCGTTTGCTGAACCCTTGTACCGCGTATCATCGCAGAACTCGCTGCTCACCAGATCGACAAGGTCCTGCTCCGTGCGACGAAGGAGCCGCAAGTACGTTTCGATGGGCACGTCATTGCTGTTCAGGTAGGCGGCTGCCTGCGCGATAGCTAGCGGCAGGCACGCCAGCTCGTTCAGCAGCTTTTCGACAGTCGCATCGTTACGTGGAGAATCTTTCCTCGTTAATAGCTTCAAGAGTAAGTCAGCTGCATCATGTCGCTCCAAAGCGCCTATCTCCACCACATCGCCGCGCGTCAGCTCAGCTATCTCTGGCATACGCGTAGTGTACACAATCACTCCACTGTCACTCTTTGGAAAGTAGTCAGCAATACCCTCCGACGGCTCTGTTCCATACAGTATGTCTTGGTCGTCAGCGCTGTCCACCACCACCAGCCACCGTCCTATTCGGCTCGAGCTCAGCCACGCTCTCACCAGCTCTTACGTATCTTCTTCGCCATCTGCCGTCTGTGGTATTTGCAATGCCCACGCAATCTCGACGCACGCCTGCTCGAAGCTCTCCATGCTCAGCGCAGGCACCCAGAAGATAGACCACTCCGGCTGCGCTTCCTTCACTACGTACGTAAATTGCAGCGCCACCTGCGTCTTGCCCGTCCAGCCCAGCCCCGTAATGGATATCTCCCGGCAGTCTTGCTCCACAAGCTGCCGCTGCCGCAGCACAGCAAGCTCATCGCGTCGTCCGACAAAGTGTCGATTCTTCAGGAAGGGAATGTAACAGGTTGGCGTGACTGCACGCTCGAACGTTCGATTAGTGTTAATGCGCTACCAGTAGACACGACAGCTACACTAACCGCTTGCATCTCTCATGGCTTCCTCTGCCGTACGCGCCTTCGCTACATCAGCTGGCGGTATCACCGACAGCACCTCCTTCGCGTACGCCCGCGCTCGAGGTCGGGATGCTCTTCGTTGAGCATTTCCTGTACCGCCGACAGCTCGACGGGCAGCGCGCACACCCATCCTACCGAGTAGTCTTCACGGCGCAGCGGGCGCACCATCCGGTTGTTACGAGAAGAACCATAAGGGTGAAAGCGGAGTCACCGTTGCGACGTGAGGGCGAGGTCTAGCAGCCCCTCAGCCCTTCAGCCTTGCGACCTGCAGCTAGGAGCCGGCAGGCCGAGGTGGGCTGTCGACGTGACATTCACTGGGATGCCGGAATGCCGCTGCAGATGCAGGGTGACGTGTGGGGCGAGTGCGCTAAGTAAGGCAGACCGTGCAGTCGCGGGTGGGTCCACCTGCTTCCTGTCGCAACTGTTTGCACTGACTAGTCCATGCTCTCAACGGTCCAGTACTGTAAGCGTCATGTGGTGTCGAGTGAAGTCTGATTAGAGTTTGTGGGGCTTATGCGCCCCGGCTGATGGGTCTTTGGATCTGTGCACTGCGAGCCCGGTCAGGTGAGGGTTTCGCCCCCGTGGCCTGTCGCTCTTATTCACTGCACCAACAGCACAACACCATATCGCAATGCCTTTCATCAACTCGAATTCACGCAAACAAACTGACGATATGACATCACAGATCCAGATGACTGTATCGTAAAGCGTAAAACGGCCGCCATCTCACGCAACTTGTTGTCATACCTCAGCAATGGACGGGGAGGAGTGTAAGGGGTTAGTAGGAGCCAAGTGGTTTCCATGAGGTTCCTTACCCTTCTCTTGGGTCTAGAGGTGCGGAGAGCTTCCAAACAGTACTGTACGTACTGTGCAGCAACCCAGCGTCCACTGCTGCACTCGAAGCATCCCGACATGCTCGCATGCGCATCATGATTGCTGAAGTTTCTCGCATGGCTTAGTTAGTCCAGCTGGCACATACTCGTACCACATTGCAGCCTGTCAGTCCGATGAATGAAGATTGATCCTATCTTTCGCGACGATGAGTCCCTGGTACTTGCAACGTCGCAGTACGATACGCTTTGCTGGACATGCTGGATCTGGAGCGGGTATACGAGGACCAGGATCCAGACTTCTACACCCGGCATGGAGTTAGGAGGGGCGTAGCGCGGCGCCACGTGAGTGACATCGAGAGATGGGCTGAGCTGTACAGATCAATATACAACAGGGAGGAAGAGGGCTGAGCTAGTGGGTGCTGTTCTACAGATACGCACGGTCTCATCTGTTGTGTTCGACTTCCATCGGCGTTCTAGGTACATAGACTGCAGAGATACACTTGCTATCGTCCGCCCTCGCGCCGGCGTGCTCCGGTAGGAGTACTAGCGGGCCACGCGTGCACTTTGGCATTGTTCCTCATATAAAACACTACGCTGGGGCACAGGCCGAGAAGCATCGATTTCTGCTCTCGACTCCGCTGGTGTTGCTGCCAATACTTTGTGATGATTCGCGTCAGCCGGCCGAAGAGTCGATACGTGAGATTGAAACACCACGTCACGCCTCCCGCTTTCTGACCGAGAGCATGCACGATCGACTCACTCTGTGATCTTGACGGCGCAACAGACGTGAAGTCCACGATCCTCACGAGCTACTCTTGGGCGTCCCAGGATGCGGAAGCATGTGTCTGCAATGCGAGGTGAGTAGATGCTTGTGTGCGACACACTTTGTCGGTACCATACATCAAGACTGAAGATGGCCATCCTGACCGAAAGTCTCCGCAGAACTGAAGAACCCGTTCGAGCGTCGATACACGTCTGTAAGGAGGTGACTAGGGATCTGAAAGAAATGTACCAGCTCTGGCGCCGGCTTGTTGTCTGCTGAGAACACGTCTTTTTCTACCAATCTAAGAGGCGGTTAAAGTGTGCCTCTTGTATGTGCCGCTGTAAAGCCTACATGTACTGAAACTGTGGGGCAGTAGCACTCTAGGTAGACTCTTAGAAAAGCAGCAGACGGGGTAAGTGGGCTTCTACATCTATGCATTGGTTAATTCTCTTGTTCTCTAGTGCCCACCCTGCCGAAGCTGGTCTTGCATTAGTCCATGTTCCACTTCAGACTACGTAGTCTCTTACAGAAGTGTAAGACCTTGTACAGCTGCATTGGGGGATGCTAAAGGAAGCTCAGGATAGCAGTGCTTGTGGCTGGCGATAGTACTGTAGGTAGATATGGGCAAAGCAAAGCAATCTGTCGTTACCCGACGCCATGTCTACAGTGACCAGAGGTACCGGAGCGTCATCGAGGCTTTGGATTGGGTCTGCTGCTTAGTTCGACTGCGGCGTAGTGACACACCCCACATGAGCAATCAAGGAGCGGGCCGGTGCTACCGCCCCCACACGTCACCCGCGTCTGCAGCGGTATCCACTGGGCGTCAACTCGACAGCCCACCTCAGCCTGCCGGCCACCAGCTGACACATGCAGGCAGCCGAGTGCATGGCACGTTACAAAGCTGAGGAGCTGAAAAGCTGAAAGGCTGAAAGGCTGCCTAGCTCCCGTCTCATCATCTCCACACAGTCCATGACATCCTGACAACCTCAGTCTCTACTCCCCTTCTTGTGACGACCGAAAATGGCACGCCCGCTGCGTCGCGAAGACTACACGGTAGGATGGGTGTGCGCGCTGCCTGTCGAGCTGGCGGCAGCGCAGGAGATGCTCGACGAGGAGCACGACACGCCCCCATACGACGCCCACGACACGAACCTCTACACCTGCGGACGCGTCGGCGAACACAATGTCGTGGTCGCCTGTCTGCCTGAAGGGCAAACGGGCACCAACTCGGCTGCAGCGGTCGCTGTGCAGATGAAGTCGACCTTTCCGTCGACGAAAATTGGCCTGATGGTGGGCATTGGCGGCGGCGTTCCGAGCGAGGATGCAGACGTCCGGCTCGGAGACGTGGTGGTGAGCAAGCCGCACAAGACGCACGGCGGAGTGGTGCAGTACGACTCGGGCAAGGCTACGCCGAGCGGGTTCGAGCGCACGGGAGCGCTTAACACCCCGCCGATGGTGCTGCTAAACGCAGTCGCGAACCTGCGGGCCAAGCAGATGAGAGGGAGGGGCAGGCTGCTGGAGTACCTGTCCAAGCTCGACAGTTTGCCAGACTTTAGCCGTGAAGCTGCCGGCTCAGATACTCTTTTTGAGGCGGAGTACGACCACGTAGAAAGAGAAGCAACGTGCGGGAAGTGCAGCACAGAGCGCGCAGTTGCTCGGGAGGCACGGAGACACGAGGTGGTTGTGCACCATGGAACTATAGCGTCGGGCAACCAGGTAATGCGGAGCGCTGCCGAGAGAGACAGGGTCAGCGCAGAGCTGGGTGGGGTGCTGTGCTTCGAGATGGAGGCGGCGGGGCTGATGAACAGCTTCCCGTGTCTCGTCGTGCGCGGCATCTGCGACTACGCCGACTCGCACAAGAACAAGCGGTGGCAGGCGTACGCGGCGGGGACGGCAGCAGCGTACGCGAAGGAGGTGCTGTCGGCGATACCGCCAGCTGATGTAGCGAAGTTGCGCACTGCAGATGAGGTTGTGCAAAGTCATGGCAGCAAACAGCTCCAGATTGCCCCAGCAGGATATTACGATTATGGGCCAGTCATGGCTGGGAATGTATTGCAGGGTCAATAGATTAAGGGGGGAACAAACAGATGGAATTTCAGTTAGTTAGTCGAACGCGATTATGCATAGTATACAACTACATGATGTCACTGCACCGACACTATATTGTGCTGAGGGTGCGTCCCCAGAGATGCCTCTCCCAACAGCATGTTGCCAAGCGCTGCACCACCGGGCTGTGAATGCGCTACAAGGGCTGACAGTGTCCGGTGGTCACAATGAGTTCATCTTTGCGAGTAAAGATTCCTCTCGCCTGGATCGAGACGATGGCACATGCAACGCCGACTGGAAAGTGCCCCGCCGAACTAACACTCTCTTTACTGGTCGAACAGAACTGCTCGATCGTATCAAAGATGCTATGGGAGGCGAGTCTCAACACGACAGAGTGTTTGTCATTACAGGGCTCGGAGGTCTCGGAAGAGCGAGATTTGTCTGAAAATTGCCCATGAGACTCGAGAAGAGTAAGGACCAGCTTCTTTGCCGTCGGGTCGTAGCTAACGTTATTATTAGTTTCTGGGGGGTATTCTGGGTCGATGTCAGCAACCCCGACATCGCAAAGTCGGAGTTCGACGTTATTGCCGAAATGCTCAGGAAAAAAGTTGACGGTATTGGAGCCCGTAGACTGCTGGCGAACACCAGGAGGCGCCGCTTGCTCATCATAGACAATGCCGATACTCCAAGCTTCGACTACAACACATACTTCCTACCCGGTCTACAAGGATTCGTAATTCTGACCTCGCGATATGTGGAGTGCCAACATTTCAACACAGTTGGCTACGAAGCTTTGTCGGAGCTCGACCTGGAGAGCTGCAAAAGGCTTCTTCTCACAGCTTTGTGTATTCCAAGAAAGAGCTGGAAACCACAGGACATGGCTGCGGAGCAGGTCGTGCACTTGTTACAGTCACACACTCTTGCTCTTATTCAGGCGGGTACATGTGTAGCGAGAGTCTCATCGCGCTCGCAACTCTTGGATCTGCAGGACGCGCAAACGTAGAGCAGCCTCTACGGTCACATGTGCAGTCATAGGTAGATGAGAAGACGAAGAACCACCTGTTCTACTGTACGCAAAAGGACACAGAGGCGCTAGCTTGGTGCTTTAGCTGGATGCTTGTGCAGATGCGAGACGACTCACGGCTTGATTTGCTTCTCCAGGCCCTTTCCAAGACACTCAGCTTGATGTGGCTCAGCCACAGGCTCATTTTGTGCCACTTTATCATCTCCTGACTTAAGATTATTTTCATAGAGGCAAAACAAGGTCAGCGGTAGAGCTTACAGAGAAGGTTGTCGAACTTTGGCAAGCAGCGTTCGAAGCCAAACATCCAGGGCTGTTGGCAGCAGAGAATTTGCTGGTTCTTTCATATTTAAAAGATGGGTAGATCAAGATAGCCATGAAGCTGCTAGAATATAGGGTCAACTTTAGATCGGTGCTACCTGAGACTAACCTGGATCGGCTGCCATGCTGGCATGAACTTTCAAGAGCATACTTGTCTGATGAACAGGTGAAAGAGGCGGTAGAGATAATGGAGCGCGTGGTGGCAGTAGAAGATGAGGTGTTAGCGGCACATCACCCAGACAGACAGTCTTCACAGCATGTTCTTGCAGTGGCATACCCACAAGACGGACAGATGCAGAAGGCGATAAAGCTGCTAGAGCGTGTGGTCGAAGCGCAGGAGATGCTGGAGCCAGAGAATCTCTTACGACTGGTGTCGCAGCACGAGCTCGCAATAACGTACAAAGCAGACGGGCAGGCAAAGAAGGCGATCGAACTGCTCGAACATGTGGTTGCTGTCAAAACTGACTCTCTTCGAGATGACCATCCTTCGCGGCTGGTGTCAGTCGAAGCTCTGGCTGATATGTATGCCGAGCTAGCTTTCGAGTCAAACGAAGCATCATCCTCTGCGTCTTTCGAGAGCCCTATGATGGCTAGCTATGCTAATTTTGTCGTTGAGCAGTGCGACTAGATACGGCATACATTGCTCCCTCCTATTTATGTATATTAATAATGATTAAGCGCGGCTAGATGAAAGCTCAAAGTGTTCTGTTGAGAGTAACAAGAGAAAAGGTTTTCCTGTTAGCAAGAAGCTATACATGCAGAACTTTAGCGTGTCTGCACAGATTACCAATTTAGACACACCTTTTTGTGCTGTAAGACAACAGTGAAAGATAACGGCCCATCTAGGGTGACAGATCCCGCCTATGATTATGATATACGGTACATGATATACATTACGCGGTCACCCTTGCAACGCACTAGCACAGATGTGGAAGGTTCCCTGTTGCGTGAACCGTGCGATGAGAACAAAGCTGACATAGGACCGGAAACCGATTGTGCTCGCAACTGTACAGCATTCTGACACCAATATGTCCAACACTATCAAGGATATTGATGGGATGGCGTTGGACCTCGCGTCGCGTCGGTGTTAGTGACTATCGCCGACGCTTGACACGAAGTACTGCACATCAGTCGGGGCTCTCCTGCAACGTCACCACGACCTGGCACACCTTCATGTAGGGCTGCGAATAGTGTTTTGGAGCATGGGAAATGCTTTGGAGCCTGTCCAAACTACGTGCAGCGGACTGGGTGGATGGTGCAGTTACTGTACGTCTTCCCCCATATGAATGTGAGTATCACGTGATGCCCACAATCCAACAGCCAATGAGAGCACAGAGTGGGTCAGCCAGTCACATCTCACGCTTCAGCTGATGTGACGCGACCTCCAGCCGCGCACATCGGATTCGTTATTGCTGCTGGCGCAGCAACTACCGTAAAGGCCCTGTTCGATTCCCCCGTCTAAAACATGAATCATGCGACCCCCATGCGTCATTGTGATGCTACAATCACTTACTCGCACATGGCGTTTGCTTATCTACGCTTTCTTGCTTTATCAGCATACGAAACAGCTGTTTCCCTGCCGACATGGTTGCCTTTTCCGTCGCTTGAAGTAAGCATGCATCTCGAAAGGCGCAGTTACCCATATCCCGCAACGTCATTATCTAAAAGTGGGGCATGAGGAGCAACAGATGTGATGATCAATCAAGAATCAACGACATACAAAAGGCGTTTGGACTCTTACTGACCTCGAGCAAACAGTCCTCGCTTTCGATGAGAATCATCACTCTACACCAACAACCTATTGTACTACTCTAGTCACTATCCACCACCCACCATGTCCAAACTCACAGACTTCAAACTTCTCTCCTTCGACGTCTACGGCACACTCATAGACTGGGAGCGAGGCGCCCTGAATGCTCTCCAGCCGCTGCTAGAGAAAAGCAACAAGACTGATCTGGACCAAAAGCACATCCTCGAAGTCCTCCACGAAATCGAGCCCCTAATTGAGAAAGAGCATCCGGACTGGAAGTACTCGCAGGTCCTCACCGCCGTGCATCCGAAGCTGTGTGGGAGGCTAGGTTTGCAGGCGCCGAGCGAAGAGGAAAGCAAGAAGTTCGGCGCAAGTGTGGGAGGTTGGCCCGCGTTCCCGGATACCGTCGATGCGCTGAAGAGGTTGAGCAAAACGTACAAGCTTGTAGTTCTGTCGAACGTAGACAACGATTCTTTCGCCGCCGGAAACAAGAACGGACTTGAGGGCTTCAAGTTCGACGCCGTATACACCGCGCAGGACATCGGGAGTTACAAACCAGATTTCAAGAATTTTACGTACATGTTAAATCATGTGAAGGACGAGTTTGGGATTGAGAAGGAGCAGGTGCTGCAGACGGCGCAGAGTCAGTTCCACGATCACCATCCAGCGAAAGAGATGGGGATTAAGAGTGCTTGGATTTACAGGCCGAACGCGGTTATGGGGAATCGGAAGGATCCGGTGTGGACGTGGAAGTTTGATACGTTGGGAGATATGGCGGATGCGGTGGACAGGGAGTTGGCGGAGAAGTAGAGTATCAGGATCATGATCATGAAAATGCAATAGATTCGTTATATCGGACCAGCAATACTACGATCTGAGGTTACTTGTTCAACCGTTTGGCGCGAGCTTCGTCGCGCCACCAAGCGCACTGCTCAATTCTGATACCCTCCGCTTCCTCTTCCATCTTTGGCCCGCCCTGTTCTGGCGGATTGATGACTAAGTGATTCCCTGTAGTTCCACTATAGGTCTCCCATTTCGCTGCGCCCGCAACGGCATACGTATTCGGGTCACCGCTAACCACAAAGCTAGCATAATAACTACTGTAAATATCAGCAATCTCAGGGTACTGTGTACCCGCCTGGCCATTGAAGTAGCTAGCATCGCTCGCATGGGGAACACCGAGGTATGTAGGCGACCAATTAGGCGTGTTGAAGCGCGCCTTGTAAACTGGTGCGCCAGCGGCGGCGAGCCGCGAGGCGGTGTCTTGCACGGGGCAGATGTAGGAGTAATCACCGTAAGCAGCACTAATTCTTTGAAACTGCGGGCTAATGAAGTTGTTCGTTACGGGGAGGAAGGGGCTTTGGGCGCCGTAGGTAGTCGGGTCGGGATACAGGCGCTGCAGGTCCTCCAGGTCTTCGGCTGTCAGACCGGGGGCGAGGTTCTTCCAGAAGGCGACGAATTCGGCGTTGGTGCGTAGGTTTTGGGGCGCGAAGGAGCTGCCGTCGTCGGTTGCGGAGGAGATTAGTATAGGAATCTTGAAAAATGTGCCGTCTTCGCCGGAGGTGGAACCGCGCTTCTCGAGAAGCGGGCCGGGCGAGACAGGTTGCCAGGGCCAGGTGATGTTGTACTCAGAGTTTGAGTACATCGCGGACGAGATGAACTGGATGTCATCGACCTCGGCGTTGCGCAGGCATGCGAGGGCAGCATCGTTGGGTGTTGTTGGGCAGTTGACGTAGTCCATGAACTCGGCAAATTGTCGCTGATACAAGGGGTAGTCGACTCCAGGAAACGCGCGAGCTGTAGGTGAGCCAGAAGCCAGGATTGCTCTGCTGAAGAGCGGCTTGCCTGTGTCCTCGCCGTAGTTGTGGAAGAGATGGATGCCAACGGAGTGACCACCTGCGCTCAAACCGCCCAACGTGACCTGGTCCTTGTCACCACCAAAGTACTCAGCATACTTCTGCACGAACTCTAGCATCTGACGCTGGTCTCGCACGCCCAGGTTCAACCCGTCCTCCTCTTCCATGAGCTTGCTTGGAATGTTACCAAGAGCACCGAGTCGGTATTGTACCGTCACGACCATCAACGGTTGCTCACTCTTCGCTACGAATGCAGCGCCATCGAAACTCTTTCCGGTTCCACCAACAAATGCTCCGCCATGAAGGAAGACGAAGATGGGCAGCTTCTGGTCCATAGGTACTCCAGATGGCCGGAAGACGTTCAAGTTGAGACAGGCCTCTGACTGCAGCATTGACCCGTAGACATTCTGCCAGCATGCTGGCCCGTAAGCGGTCGCATCTTTGATACCCTCAAACGCCGCTGGCCAGGTGACAGGCTTGAATCGACCTTCGCCAACAGGCTGCGTCGAGTAGTCAACACCAAGCCACGCATCAACTGGTGTGCTGAATGTCGTTGTCTTGAGCAGGTTGGCGACGACGTGTGTGCCCTGGAATGTTCCATATCCGGGTAGCGTCACGACTAATTCTCCATCCGAGCCGTTTGTGGGTGTGTCTTTTAGTGGCCGCCCGAGTCCGGTAGAACCAAACACCCAGAACAACAGCGATGCTGTACCGAAAAACAACATGAGGACAAGAAACCTTCTCTTGAGCCGCCTGAATGGCCTGCCCTTCTGCATCGAGGCTTCACCTTCATTTAAGAGCGGCTCGTCCTGCGAGTCCGCCATGTGCGGTCCTCCACTGGGCCCGGCAAATCTGCGGAAGGCTGTAGGTGCAACAGCGTAAAGACGGTTCGGCACAATGATAAGGATGCCGTAACCGAGTAGCGCAACGTCGGATACTGCTGTCGCGATACGGTTCGGATGTGTGGTGTTCAGAGACTGGACGAATTGCGGGGATGGCTCGTGCAAGTGCAGAGCAAGTGCCCAGACTACATCATAGGCGGTTAGTAACCTGCCAAGATCAGTATGGATCGAATGCAACACACGCTCGGATATTTGCCTTGCATCGTGGCGCCTTGTTCGTACCCATGGGGTTGACAACGAAGACGAACGGCAGATGACTCGGATTCACTTCAATCACCGCCGTTTGCCCGCATCAAGTTGCCATCGAGAAATCTTCGACTTGAGCCTCAGTGCTTGTAGACTCGCGACTCATTGTTACTCCACATCGGGGGTGCCAAGGGCTTGGTCCGATGGCAGTATGATCATAACAAAGTCATTATTCACGGATGCATGCCTTTGTTACGAGTCGCGCTCTTGTTTATATCTCAGGGACGTCGTGGAATGGGTGCAACCATGTGGAGGAACGCCAGCGAGTTGATTGTGCAACGAAGAGCACGCGATCACTAGCCGAGGCACAGGTTGCTGATGGAGGTTGGAAAGCTGCAGAAAAAGCAGGGTAAAGTTGAGTATGACTGTGCGGGGACGAGTAGTCTTTTGCTCTTCTGCATATGATCTGGTGATTCATGGCTGCAGCGACGTGCGAAAGGCTAGCGTAGAACATGGCAGCCAAGGGAAGACGACGCAATTTACGTAAAGAATCTCGAGGCCACAATGGTGAGTGAAGTGATTTCGAGCAATGGAGAAATGACATTGCTGACTTATCTGGCCCATCTCAATGCTCTGGGCAGGAGCAGCCGTGTGCCTTCGACACCGAGCCAAGACTGAATGATCTCGGAGCTCAGCAGACCAGCTGGGTTCTCAGCGCTGTGGTTGGCCATGAAGCGGTAGATAAAGGTGTACGCGGCGGCCTGCACGATTATACCTGAGAGGGGGGTTAAAGAAGTTGGGGTTGTTGCGGATCTGGGTATCGAAGCGGTCGGAACGGAAGGCTGTGAGGGAGTCAAGAGTGACTTGACCACCGGCCAAGTGATTGATCAGATCCTAGTACTGGGCTGTTACTGTCTTGTAGGTGTTGCTCGCCTCGTACGGGTCCAGCCGTGTAAGAGAGACATCGCCTTCGTACCCGTTGTGCGAGCCAATAAGATTGTTGCACAAGATGCCTGTCGGGCCACCCTATGGAAGGGAAGGAGTTCTACCTATGGAGCAGGCTGTGAGGTCACCGTCAATTGTAGCTCCAAGCACTGAAAGGAACAGTGATAGCTGAGGTCCCATACCGACAACCTTTACGGTTGCATCGATGTATTGTTGGACTGTTGCATACCCGCTGTGTGGGATGAAGTCTATGAGATCTCGGTGAAAGATCAGTGCAATGAGGCGGTTGTACTCATTGTGGTTTGCAAAGGCATTGAGACCCGGGCAAGGTCCTCTGAGGTCTCCAGAACCTGGAGGTACATACTCGTGCCCATTGCCGGGACCGACATCGATCAATTGATTCTGCGCATTGAACGTGTTGATGGGTTCGAAAAGCGCTGTAGCTGCGTCCGCACCCACCTGACGAGCATCAAGCATTTTGGCCAACTCTTTGCCACGAGCCTCGAGCGCAGGGTCGGCGGCTGCTGCTTCGTACATCATGGCAGGGAATGCATGAGCAAAGGGTGCCAGACCGGCCACGAACAGCTGTGATGTGATCTTCAAGGTGGCAGAATGGAAATTTGGATCCTGATGTTCAAAGAAGCGTGGTAGACGGCCGCAGCAGCCCTCTTGTCTATACACCTACCTTCTCGAAGTAATGGGTCACGCTTACCTGGTGCTTTCTGTTCATCTCCGGTTCGTTTTCCGCTCGGCGCAACTCTCAGTGGTCGATATTGTAGTTGGTGATCTCGATGATAGACAGCATCGTAGGATACCCAATTAGCGTACCTGGAAGAATGGTGATTTACGGCAACATCCATCTTGCATCCAACGTTGTAATGATCACTCTGCTCTTCCAACTCTAAAAGCAAATACTTTTGGACAGCGAGTCAAGTCGAAGATTATCAACATGTCTTAAAGTGCCGCAGCACCGCGGTCGTCCATACTCAAGGTCTTTATCCCCGCATATTGGACCTGCACTAGTACGGAGCGTCTCCGGGAGTGACCATCCGTGAGCACCTCGTGGGATTGGCGTGAAGATCATCCGCTCTCATTTCCTCTTACGGGCAGGATTTGAATATCTCCAGGTTGACTTGTACCTAGATTTTTAAACCCCTGATCACTTAGCGTAGCGGAGTAAATCATACGAAGCATGCCTGTATGTATTGGCTCGCAGCAACATGACGTCGCGTGGTCAGCAGCATGGCCTTTGCGCCATTTGCGATTGGTTGGTTAGTAGCCTTGAGCGAATAATGGATCAAAAGAAGCAATCCGCTGTAGTGGTGAGGGTGTAGACTCGCTTTTGAGTTTGTCCCGAATCCAGGTATACAGATGCTTAAATCGGAGGTAGGTGCGAGGCAACGTCGCCGACCTGGTGTACCTGATCCATTCGTTCTGTAGCAGATACCGGATGATGATTGCTGCGAAAGTCGATGGTTTGTAGGAAGATTCTGAGTCCCAGAGATGCAGATGTTGGTGGTTGGCATTTGCGGTCGCACAGACCAAGGTCCCACGTTTGCCGGCAGCCCACTTTCCTCTTTGTCACATTCACACCACGTCAGCGGCGCGAGTATCAACATCTTGCGCAGACTGAGCACGACATCGTCACCTTTCACGTAGTCTTTACAACCATGCTCAACTTGTAGTTCAACTTATTCTGTTCCCGCTATTGCGCGATATATCTCGGCGCTCTTGAGGGTATCTTGAACGCATCCAAGTATTCAGCAACTCCAACCCATGATGTCTAATGACCAACCCTTTCGTTACCATTAGTGTCACAACCAAAGTAAAGCCACTGCATGGAGCCTGAAGTTCCTCGCTATACGGTCCCACGCTCAAGAGACTGACTTCTGTGGCGTGAGTGAACTCGCTGTGGAGGCAGTCAGAGTAGGTCTTGGGCGTTCAATACCATTGTCATTCACGTACACCTGAAGGAGAGAAAGCTAGACATATTGTGCTCGTTGATTTTGGCTAAGCAAACCTTCTACTTGACCCACCTACTCTTCGGCCTTTCTTTCCTGCGCAAGCTCCTTCGGTCTGTTCCAATGAACTACCGCCGCAATCATCTCAACTACTCTTCATCCATAGAGCTCTAAGCCCGTCTGGCTGCGCCTCGAATCTCGAAAGCACGCTTCTCCGCACTGTCGCTGCTACTGCCATCAGAAGAACCTTCGTTTGTGTCACTGGAGCTACTGCTAGACCCAGAGTCACTGCTGTCGCCGCTGCTGCCATTGCTCGAGGACTCATCGTCATCATCTCCAGAGCTGGACTGGCTTCCACTGCTACCCGAGCTAGATCCACCCTTTCCTTTGCCTGAAGACGAGGAGCTGCTGCCAGAGCTTTTGCCTCCGCTGCCGGAAGAAGAGCTGTTGTCGCTGCCGGAAGAAGAGCTGTTGTCGCTGCCGGAAGAAGAGCTGTTGTCGCTGCCGGAAGAAGAGCTACTATTGTTGTTTCCGCCCGAAGAAGTCTCGCCGTCTGAAGAGGATGAGCCGTTGCTGTTGTTCGAGGAAGAGCTGCCGTCGCTACTGGAAGAGTTATCATCATTTCCAGAAGATGACTGGCTGCTATCGTTGCCCGAGCTGGAGCTGCTCCCGCCTTTTCCACTCTTTCCTGAGGAAGATTGGCCTCCACCGCTACTAGAGCTAGACTGGCCGCTCCCCTTGCTAGACGAGGAACTGGTGCTCGAGCCGGAGTCATTCGAAGAATCGCTGCTGCTGCTGCTTCCGCTGCTGTTGGAGTTACTTCCGCTGCTGCTGCTATCGCTCCCTGAGCTGCTTGAGCTTCCGCCCGAACCCTTGGAGCTCCCACTCGAGCTGCTAGAGCCGCTCGAACCACTCGAACCCTTGCCTCCGTGGCCCTTGTGACCGGAGCTGCTGCCAGAGCCTTTGCCTCCGCTACTGCTGCCACTGCTGCCAGAGCCTTTGCCTCCGCTGCTGCTGCCACCGCTGCTGCTGCCACCGCTGCTGCTGCCACTGCTGTTGCTGCCACTTTGGCCACCAGATCCGCCCGAGCTGGATGAATCGTCGCCGCCGTTGCTGCTGTCTTCACCGTCATCGCTGCCGCTCGACTCGTCTCCGCTATCACTACCTCCAGAGTTGCCACCACCATTGCCACCTTGGCCGCCTTCGGTTTCGTTTCCACCCGCTCGCTTCCACTGCAGACCTTCGGCGAGCGCAGCAATGTCCAGTCCGGGAGCTCTGGTCAGGTCGCGTACAGTCGGTGCACGAAGCTCGGCTCGCTGGTCCAAGGTCACAGGACCAGCTGCGACGGATGCAAGGAGTCCGAAGAAGACGGTGGCGGTTGCGGTCGTGAAGTGCATGATGAATGTTCAGTTGGAAAGGGTGTGTATGAAAATGGGAACAGTCCGGCTGATTGGTTGAAGGTAGGAAGAGTCGAAGTCGCAGACTGTTGCTGACAGAGGAGATGATGGAGCTGATGATGATAGTAGGAGTGACGCCGGGCGACATATTTATACTCCTCCACCGTACGGGAATTGCAGTCATCCTACAGTTCTGCACTCTATCACGAACTGCCAGAAATGGGACCTTCCGGCATCGACGCTGAACCAAAGGTTCGTGCTCATCTATCTCGAAAGCTTCGATCTCTTCGACGCATACTAAGCTTTCTCTGCGGTAACTCCATTGGTACAAACATAGCACAAGCGCAGAGACGATCGAGCCAAGTACATGGGGCCAGGCACTATACGTGATCTATCAGTTACGGAGAATACGCGTCCGAAAAGTTTAGTGGGGCAGACCTATCAAGATGAGGCCCCACCATCGTGTCAAACACTGTAATCGTTCATGCAAGTCAGCTGTCATGATTCAGACCCGCCTTTCGTCGTTGTTTCAAACAAGCACGGACCTCTCCAGCCACAAGTAGGTAGAGCTGTCGCGATCGTAGCGCATGTTTCAGTCGTACGTGGCAACGTAGTTGACAAACGGAGGTCCTAAGCCGCAGTCGGTTTAATCACAAGATGAGGTCGCCACTCTCTTCGTTTCTCTGTGATTTCTGTGGTACGTTGGTCCGTTGAGTCCGGCAGAATAACGCTTCATTCTTCTTGTCTCGTCGGCTGTGTGCTTTGTTTGTCGAGCGCGAGCAATCAAGCAATCATTGTGATGTGTGACTGGAGGAGATAAAGACATCTACAGATCAGACAAAGATCTGAACACCGAACTTCTCAGACCGAACGCCACCACTAGCTCTAATGAAAGCAGCGGTGCTCATTGTGATCTCGTTCCTGGCTGTTGAAAGGGGTTCAAAAGCCGACGTACGATATATTGCGTAAACTTCGTCAGCTTACTTTACTTCTGCGAATGTTCAAACCCATTTCATTTGCATAGTCTATACGTCCGAACACACGCACTGTTCCGCCTACGAGATAACCGGAGGCACTACATTGGAGATGAATGTAGTGAATCTCAGCCTCCACAGAGATGAAGAGGAAGATCTGATTGATTACGATGACTCTGATGTCGAGATTGAGGCTGGCGACAACAAGAACGATTCAACCGCTAAAGCAAACGATGACCTCTAGCTCGACGTCTACTCGAACGATACAACACAGCCTGAGAAGTTAGTCCAGGAAGGTAGCCCCAGCGATCGGAATCAAGAGCAAGAGCAGGAACATGAGGCGGACGCGGGCATGCCCACATCCATCGCAACAAAGACACCACAAGCCACTGCCTTAATCAAGAGTCTACAAGATCTGCTTACCGATTCCGCTTTTCGAACATCCCTGGGCCTGGATAGAAATGCTAGCCCGAACAGATCAATGGTTCGAAGGCTGTAACCCAAACACCTACTCTCGTTGAGAAACCAAGCGTTCCCGCTCCATCAGCAACCGGCACAATTACGCCCCGAAAGCAGCAAGCAGCGGGACGCAGGCGCGGTCGGGGAACTGAAGACGGGATCGGAGACAGGCTCCATAAGGTTCAACATGTACAAAGGAACTCTCACAGCGAGCAAGCCCAGTCAGGCAGCCCAGAAACGGTCGTAGAGGCAGTGGTCAAGACCGGCGTGGAAACCACGGGCGCGATGGAAACAGAAGGAAGGGTGAGTTACCGTCCGTTTGCTGGAAGGCAGCATGCCGGTAGGGAGGAAGGGGTCGCTGAGTAGTCGTATGACGCGTGACTGAATCGTAAAGTTGCTCCGTAGCTAGGCTGCAAACCAGGTAGCACGTTTCTAATTACTTGTCAAATTATAATCACATGTTGGCTTCTGAGTATCTCAAGAACTCTCAATGTCCCCCTTCCCAACCCCGTGGTTGATCGCCACTGGCGTGTCCCTAGCGCGTTGTTGTCGCGTCACAGCGGTTGACTTTCATCATTGCATCACCATCGAGCACTAGCTCTAATCAACATCTTGACCGTGGTGATAACGGCAGGTTGTTTTGCAACCTTCAATAATTCCTGTCACTCTAGTCCGACAGATGTTTGGAGCAGCTCTTGCGCCACCGGACACGTATCAATAAGGGTTTCACGATCGTACCCAACAGCTGACGAAACTCGGGGCTCAACACCGTCGAGACCATGATGTGGTGTTCAGCTAAAAATGTCTTTGACTCTGAGCTCGAGGCAATCGTCAGAAGGATACAGATAAGCGAAGGAGCTCTAGCCTCGGTACATGTGCCAGTTTCGACCTGACTCCGTCAAATCACCAAGACTTCGAATTTTCATCATCCACGTTGCTTCTGACATTGATTGTCGACCGCATTCGAGAGGAGTAGAAATGGCTCCCAATGGGAATCCTTCTCGTACCGATACGAAAAGCACCATAGCATCATGGTCACAGCCCCGCATACTCTACTTGACATTCTACAACCTTCTCTTTGCTGCGTTATGGGCTTCAATTGGCATCAGTGCAGTCGACCATGCTTCCAGGGGGAAGTATGTGTTGTTCGAAGTCGTTGAGCCTCGAGCGCGATGGGTTCAGACCCTCACCCTGGTCGAAGTCGTACACGCGGCAGTCGGTAGGATGGCCCGCGAAATAGATCCCTCTGATCTTTGCTGAACCTGATGCAGGCATCATCAAGTCTCCCGTCAGTACCACAGCTATACAGGTCTTCACGCGTGTCATTCAAGTCTGGATGATCTGGTACAACTTTCCCGCAAGTACAGCCGCTTCTAGCGCCTTCTTCATCCTGGTGCTCGCATGGTCAATCGCGGATTCGATTCGTTACCTGTACCTTACCCTGAACCTCCATGGGAAAGCGCCGCAAGCCCTTGTTTGGCTGAGGTACGTTTAGTCTGCGAGCTGGCTACAAGATGAACTGACAATCCCAGGTACACCATGTTCTATCCTTTGTACCCAATCGGCATCGGTGCGGAGTGGTGGCTGATGTACAAAAGCATCGGACCTGTGGGAAAAATCAGCCCTCTGCTTCCACCGGTCTTTTACTTCTTGTTGGCGTTGTATGCACCGGGTACGTCAGGCCCTGATACCCTTGCGCTCGCACAGCTGACTCAAGGCAACAGGGGCGTATACAATGTTCACATACATGGTCAAGCAGAGAAAAAAGACTCTAGGAAAGAGCCAGAAAACTGCCTGAGTTCTCGGTCTAGCCACCAACTGTCGCCACCATATGGGTCAAGCTCCTACATTTCGTACGCGGTCACGACGGTTTCAGCGGAGTACATGTGTTCTACAGCATCGGCTCTATTGTTTCCAACTCTTAGAAAAATTCTGCAACCTCTGCGTGGTGTTACGCCTTAACTCTGCCAAACGACCCCATTTCTATTGGGACCAATGTCATCACCCCTCACCAACCGTTTGTTCCTGGTAATCACACCCTTTGTACATGCCACCACAGTCCTTTCAGACCATACAAAACCTGACTCCATGGCCCAGGAAGTTGCCAAGATTAGCAAACTCTTCCATCAGGATCCAGTTCCTGTGGATCCACACCTTGAGCACTCTGAAGGACGCTTGATGGGGTTGATAGTCTGGTGAGTATGGTGGAAGTTGCTCCACACGCACACCTCTGGCGCCGCAGATGGCACAAAGGCGAGGGATGTTATGCTGTGTGGCATTGGCGAAGACGAATAGGACAGACAGTCTACTGTCGACTTCATCGAGAATCATTTTGGTATCTTGTCACGGTGGTCCATAGACAAAGATTGGGCCCTTGTAGCTGTCGATGGTGACAAGAACCACAACCTTGCTGCCTTGCTAGCTGTAGACCGACAAGGCTTAAGCACCAAGCATCCGACGACATACAAGTCCGCAAGTGGACTTGTACTAACGCACACAAGTTCAAGTGGGAAGACGACTGGTACTATGCTCGGTACGCTATCCGATCATCGGCTTCCGTACGGCACGTCCTTCCAGGAAGTGTCCTCCGCCAGGCCCGATGGCCGTCTCGCAGATGGCGACTGTGGCTCAGCCGTGACCAACGCAGGCTCTGGCGAGCTGTACGGCCACATAGTTGCTGGTTGTCGAACGACAAGGTTCGCCTATGTCATGGCAGCACACCACGGTCTTTCCAGACCTCAACGATAGTGCTGTGCCGGGTGTAGGCACGACCGAAGCGTTAGGACGTGAAATTCCCGATGGAGAGGTCCCTGCTGGCCCCCCAACGTCTATTGGATGAGAGTCGTTCCATTTCGACTGCCTTGAGAATGCCGTCAGGAGGAAGCTTGAAATTCAATGGCTATGTGGAAGTGTGCCTATTGATCATCCGCTGGGAGTCAGCGATTGGCTGCTATGGCCGGCAGCACGATGCAGAGGCACGTCCTTTGAGACAAGATAGAGCGATGTGTATTGAAGAACCACAGACCGAGCGGTTGAGGCGTGTTTTCAGCGATGAGTTCAAGTTCAAATGCGACGGAGTCATATTGTCGTCGAGAGACAGACCCGCAGAGCCCATTGAACACGGCTGTCGCCAGGCATGTGTCAAGCATGGCGCTGGGAACAAGCTTCTCGTTGTATACTACACTGACCATGGGTTGAACGCACGAGATGCTCGAAACACACGACCAACAAAGGTGCGGCAAGTCGACAACGGGAAGCGACTCGCCGTAGCTGCTAATACCGTGACAGCACTCCCAAGATACGGTGGTCACCTCAAGGTACGCCGCTATCTTGCGTTTCCGTGCGCTAGCAGCCCGCATGGCTTAGGGCACGCTCGTTCGGTGACCCCATCCTCCAGCGAAATCTTACCAGACTTCGATGGGTCGTCTGCGCACCAGAAAAGAAGCGGAAGACGTCGAGCTCGGCCTACCATGGCACTCGCACACGACTCAGTCACACGGCAAGCCTCTCCCTGACTGATCAGTGGAGTGGCAGAGCCAGCACTGTGTCGAGAGATACACGGGGTTTGGAAAGGTGGGTGCGCGAGCAGCGCAGTAGGAACGACGCATGAACGAGAGGAAAACGGAGCAGCATCATGGCGGCAAGCGCAGCCAGTGTCAGTAAACATGGTGTATCAATACAACCTAAGGCTACAACCCATAACCACCCGTCTCCCCACTCTGCATTACCACACGCCTCAGATATAAGACACCTTGACACCCATTCCGACCGTGCGCCTAACCTTATCGACTGCTTGCCGGGCCAGCCTCATGATGCGCTCCCTCAGATCTCGCTTCCCAAATGCCAGCCCAAAGGCTATTAGGAACAGCAACGTCCTCAGGAACGACAGAGGATTACTCGTCATCTGCTTTGCCGAGCCCGCTACAGCCTTTTGTATGGCAGCAAACAAGCCTCCCACACGATTGTACAGGCCTGGCGGCGGCGGCGGCGGCGTGCCCGGTTTCTTCGCCGGCGTCCTGCGCGTGCCACTCGACTGGCTACTCGTGGGCGTCGGCTTCGGCTGCCTCAGCCTCTCATCCACTCTGTTGCGCTCAGCCTCTCCTCTTGGCTGCCGCCTGCTCTCCTCCTCCGTCCTCCTCCGCTCATCCTCCTGGCGCGCCTGGTCCAGCCTCCTCGCCTCGCTCTCCCTCTCCCTCTCCCTCCGCCGCTCCTCGAGCTGCTCGTGCTGCTGCTGCCTCAGCTTCTCCTCGCGCTTCTCGGCGTCCTCTTTCTCCTCCCTCAGCGAGTGCAGGGCGAGCAGGAAAGCTTCCTTGCGCTCGTCGTCGAGGACTTCGGACATGCTGACGAACTCGCGGGCGCAGTCCCACTCGTCGTTGCGCGGCAGGACGTGCAGGGTGTACAGCTCGAGCAGCTTGATGCGCGTGTTCAGGTCCCGCGGGGTGTCGGTGCCGGGGTGGGATTTGCGGCGCTGCACGCGCGAGGGGGACGAGAGGTGGGAGCTGAAGTCGAAGGTGGGGTGGGCTGTGGCCGAGAGGTAGCTTTCGAGCTTGGACTGGTTGAGGTGCTGCGAGGGGGAGTGCGTGAGGAGGAGGGTGGATCTGTGGTGACATGTTAGCTGTGCAGATGGTGGCAGCGGGGGTAGCGGGGGTAGCGGGGGTAGCGGTGGTAGCAGTGCAAGGACATACAAGTTGACGACGACGTCGGCGTCGACGTCGCCCTCGACGCCGGCATACCCGTCGCGCACGACCTCGTCCCAGACGCTGCCGTCGCGGCACTTGGAGACCAGTTGCTTCCAGCGCGCGCTGCCAAACGCGTGCTTGCCCTCCTCGGCGCCGAGCTCGACGACGCTGTTGAGGAAGGTCAGGTAGAAGCTCCACACCTTGACCCGCGTGCCCCGCGAGGCGGTCGCGACAGGCGCATAGGCCGCCTGCAGGTCGCCGTTGCTGTCGGGGAGGCTGTCGGGGAGGCTGTCGTGGAGGCTGTCGTGCGGCGGGGCGGTGATGATGGGCTCGATGGTCGACAGGGCCTCGGGCAGGCGTCGCGTGAGGAACAGCTGCGCGGCCTGGCGGTACGCTTTGGCGATCTGCGACGACTGCTGCCGCGACGCCGACAGCGAGCTGATGGACGACCGGAGGTACCGCGACCCGCTGATGTCTTCGTAGAGCGCGGCCATCCTCGTCTCGCTCTTCTCTTGGCTTCCTATCGCTATGTGTGTCGCGGTGTCACAAGCCCATCGCTCGGAGTGATGAGGTGTCGACGGCCCAGCACTCCTGCCTCCGCCTGTCACAAACACCCGAGCGGCACGTCAACCTCGGCAGCGCAACCGTCCGTCACCGCTCGTAGCTCCTTCCTTGGCGTAGCCGGCCTGCCCCCCTGCCCCCCTGCCCCCCCATCAGACACCCATCTCCGGCTGCACGTGAACACGACCTTCTTGTGCAGCACAGTGCTGCAACGGAAGCAGAGCAGCGTGCCAAACAACACGCAGACAGTCCCATTGTCGCAGTCGAGAGCTAGACCTCTCGCTTGATCATGAGCTAGCAATCAATTACTCACTCATCCAGCCTCGCCTTCGTCCTTTGCCTCCCCCTGTGCCTTCCCAGCTTCTGACACTCACGTGCATGCCGCAGTACATCAACTCAGAAATAGACGCTCCCTGCCAACCGCTCGCTTCGGCACTCCTGATAGGACAGGAAAGAGCTGGGAAAGTATCAGGACAGGAACGCCACCATGGAAGTCGACGGTCCCTCCTTCCCAAACGATCTGCTCGGCCTGCTCACCAACATCTCCGAGGCCGACTTCGTCTCCTTTGACCTAGAGCTCTCCGGCATCCCCTCACGACTGCCCAGCAAGACGCCCCGCGCCGCGGGACGGTTGACGCTCCAACACCGTTACGCCGAGACCAAGGAAGGCGCCGACCGCTATCAGATCCTCCAGGTGGGCTTGACGTGCGCCAAATTCGACTACATCGCCAACAGTTATGTGCTGCGGCCTTACAACATCAATCTCAGCCCGCTGCTCGACGAGCGTCTGGACTTTGAGCGCGAGATCAGCTTCCAGAGCGGCGCGTGCTCCTTCCTGCTCAGCTGTGGATTCGACCTCGGCGCCCCGTTTGCAAAGGGTGTGCAGTACCTGTCTCGAGAAGAGGCGGAGAGGGCGAAAAGACTGGCGTACGATCGCATCGACAAGAAAAACCCCATCGAGGACCTGCAGCTCAAAGACACCGACACAGAATCCCTCGACTTTGTGCGCCGGTGCCGCGAAGCCATCACCACGTGGCAAAAGTCGGCATCGACTACTCTCGAAATCACGTCCTCGACCGGCCTGCCCAGCGCGTCTGCGACGTGCACCATCTCGAGGTTCGAGAAGCGATTAGTCCATCAACTCGTCCGCGCCGAGTTCCCGGACGCAGTAGCAATAGGCCGGCAAGACTGCATCCGCGTCCTGCCCTTCGACGCCGCACGCGAAGCAGAGAACACGCGGCGCATCAAAACCCGCGTCAGAGAGCAGATCGCGCGCCAAACCGGCTTCCGATGGATATTCGAAGCGCTCGTTGGCGGCGAGATCAACAACGACCTCCTCTACATCCTACGCAGCAACGGTCCCTCGGACCACAGAGATCGATTCGATCGTGCGCTAGCGAGACTGAAGAAGGGGAAGCCTGTGCTGGTGGGCCACAACATGTTCACAGACATTGTGTATCTGTACCGCACTTTCGTAGGTCCGCTACCGGATACGCTGGACGAATTCAACACGTCTCTGCACGAGCTGTTCCCGAAGATCATCGATACGAAGTACCTCGCTACGCACGCCGAGGGCGATCTGAACGCGAGTCCGACACTGGAGGAGATCGCGAAGGGCTTGCAGGAACAGCCGCTGCCGAGTATCGTGACGCACGAAGATCATGACAAGTACAACGAGTTGGAAGCTTTCCATGAAGCGGGGTATGACAGCCTCCTCACAGCTACCATCATGTTGAGGTTGGCGGCGAAACTGGGTGCGGAGCAGAGCAGCGAAGCGAAGACGGAGGAGACTGCATTCCCAGCATCAAAACCAGCTTTAGGCCGGGAGGCCTCAGAAGGCGGTATCAAGCTTACAGCAGACACACCGGACGACTTCGTTGCCGACGGCCGCGAAAAGGTCTCGCACCACGTCGCACCACCTCCCGTAGAGTCCGACTTCACTACGCCCAGCGGCAAGAAGAAGCGCAACAAGAGCAAGAAGGGCAGGACGCAACAAGAGGAGGAAGTAGCAGCCCACCGTTTCGCCACGAGAACCGTCTTTGAAAAGCTCCGCGAGCTAAGTGTAAACGATGCTGAGGCTTTGTCTGGGACGTCCGAGGAAGAAGAGCTGGACCACGAAACGCTGGGTAAAGATGAGTGGCCAAGCAACGGAACAGGGGCGAATGGGTCATGGGCCGATGAAGAATACGTGCAGGATGAGACGGGGTGGGTGCCGATCCAAAAGGTGGAGAGGAAGCGCATGGAGATGATACCCGGCCTTGACAACAACAACAACAACAACAACAACAACAACAACTTCTGGCGCCACTTTGGGAACAGGTTGAGGGTGTTTGGGACGGAGGAGAGGGAGATGAGGATAGCGTCGTGGCCAGCTGACTCGTGATCGAAACCAGAAATTCATTTGCAAGAGCGACCAAACGCATTGCAAACTCAACATAAACCATTGCACATTCACACATTGCTTGAACCTACTATCGCTCAGTGATCATACCCACGCGACAAGCAGCGCTGCCCTCCCCTCCCAACCAACCACCAAAACATGTGGCGGACGGCGACGACGGGGCTGTGGCCAGGGCCCCTGGGGATGCCTTTTCCGCAGGAAGACATACAGCCCATTTCGTGGATCGGTGTTTCTTGGAGCTTGAGGGAGGCGGGGGGGGGGGGGTTGGAGGGTGTGTCCTGGTTGTTCTGGTTGAATATGCTGCAGTGCGTGTGCTAGTTTAGGTAGTTGGTATACCATGTTGGGCTGGCCATGGCGTTCCTGGTGACTTTGTGAGTCGGCTCGACTAGTTGGGGAGGAGATGGTCGGTGACAATCCGGAAGTGAGAAGCGCATGGCCACAACCGCTTGATGAACGACACGAGCCTCGGAAATAAGCGCAGAAGAAACGAGGCGCAGAAGAAACGAGACACAGGTGTTTTGACATGTTTTGATCGTATTCATGAGCAGGAAAAGCCCCCGTGGAAAGAAGACGGTGCTGAGCCTTGGTCCAAATCCACTTTTGCTGTAGGTATGACAGTATATGGGTACAAATCAAGAAAATGAGACAAGACACTTCGATAGGCTCTTACGCAGAGTCGGTGACACATCCGTGCGATGCGTCCTTGACAAACCTGGCGTACTTGAAGAGTGTGCCCTTGCTGTACTTCAGCGACGGCGCTGTCCAGCTCTTTCTCCTCTCCGCCATCTCAGCCTCACTGACATCGACGTTGAGTTCGTTCTTCTCGGAGTCGATCGTAATCTCATCACCGTCGCGGACGAGACCGATGGGTCCACCCTCCTGTGCCTCGGGCACAATGTGGCCGATCAAGAAACCGTGCGAGCCACCAGAGAAACGGCCATCTGTGATGAGCGCGACGTCCTTGCCCAGACCCGCCCCCATAATGGCAGACGAGGGCTTCAGCATCTCAGGCATACCAGGGCCACCCTTGGGTCCTTCGTACCGGATGACAACGACAGTCTTCTCGCCCTTCTTGATCTCGCCGCGCTCGAGGGCGCTGATGAAATCGTCCTCGGCTTCGTAGCACTTCGCCTTGCCCGTGAACACTGTGCCCTCCTTGCCGGTGATCTTGCCTACGCAGCCGCCGGGTGCGAGCGAACCGCGGAGGATCTGCAGGTGACCGGTGGACTTGAGGGGTTCGGAGAGCGGGCGGATGATCTTCTGGTCGGAGGGGAAGTCCTTGACCTTCTCAAGGTTCTGCTTGAGTGTTTGACCTGTGACGGTCATTTGGGAGCCGTCGAGCAGGCCCTCCCTGAGCAGAAACTTGAGCAGAGAGGGTGTGCCGCCGATGTCGTGGATGTCGGCCATGACGTACTTGCCCGAGGGCTTGAGATCGGCGAGAAGGGGGGTGCGGTCGGACACGCTCTGGAAGTCGTCGATGGTGAGTTTCAGCCCAACGCTGTCGGCGATGGCGATCAAGTGCAGGACGGCGTTTGTGGAGCCACCGGTGATGGAGATGACGACCATGGCGTTCTCGAAGGCCTGGCGGGTGAGAATGTCAGAGGGGCGGATGTCCTCCTTCAGCAGGTTCTTGATGGCACCTCCGGCCGCGAGACACTCGAGCATCTTGGCCTTGGAGTTGGCGGGGTTCGAGGACGAGCCGGGGAGCGACATGCCCATTGTCTCGATGGCGGTGGCCATTGTGTTTGCTGTGTACATGCCACCACATGCGCCCTGGCCGTTGCAGGCGTGGCGGATGACGTCGAACCGCTGGTCCTCTGTGATCTCGCCGGTGATGAACTGGCCATAGGCCTGGAAGGCGGAGACGATGTCGATGCTCTGGTTGTCGAGCGTCTTCGCGCAGCCGGGCTGGATGGTGCCGCCGTAGACCATCAGCGAGGGGCGGTTGACGCGGCCCATGGCCATGATCACACCGGGCATGTTCTTGTCGCAGCCGGGGATGGAGATGTTGGCGTCGTACCACTGACCGCCCATGACTGTCTCGATGGAGTCGGCAATAATCTCGCGCGACTGCAGCGAGTAGCGCATGCCCTTGGTGCCCATGGAGATACCGTCACTAACGCCGATTGTGTTGAACTGCATGCCCAGCAGGCCTGCGCGCTCGACGCCCTCCTTGACCTTGTGGTTGAGGTCCATCAGGTGCATGTTGCACGGGTTGCCAGAGTACCAGACCGAGCTGATGCCGACCTGGGCCTTGTTCATGTCGGCCTCGTCCATGCCGGTCGCGTAGAGCATGGCCTGCGAGGCGCCCTGCGACTTGGGCTGTGTGATGTGCCGGGAGACCGAATTGAGCTCATTATCGGCTCTGGCGTTGCGTGCGGCGGCGCTGGAGAGGGCCCGGCTATACGACTGTTAGCTGCCGCTCATGTCAATTGGAGACTATTTCCTACGCTGCCTGCCATTGCGGCCGGGACGAGTACTTTGCGCGCGAGAGCGCTCCTCCAAGACGGGCGAGAGACATTGTGGCGGACTGGATGCATCTTCAGGCGTCGCCGGCACTTTTTATTCTGATATGACGCTGGGACGCCTCCGGTAATCGCTCCGTCGGGGACTTGTGCGTGTCTCCATCAGGGTTAGTGCTATCGCGGCAGCCAATCGCAGCACGAGCAATCATCAGCTCTCCAGATCCGCGCAACCTCCTCCCCCGCTGACTCTGACTTCACGCGTCCCGTGTTGGCAGCCTTTGAGTCCCGGACGTCAATGATGCTGTTGACGATGGGCTGGAGCGTCAATGCGCTCGCGATGTCACAGCTACGCCTTCACGTCTGCGACCAGCGAACGCGAGGAGCACCCCTGCTTCAATGACCAAGATGATGTGCATATAAACACCTCCTGGCACGATGCTGCTCGATCTCCTTCCTTTGATATTCAGGCTCTGTAGTCTCTCACCATGAAGTGCACGTCCTTTCTTCCACTAACCATCTTGCTCGCACCTGCTGCAGCCAAAGTCTACACGGGCTTCAACTACGGCGGCTTCTGGGGCGAGCAAAGCAATATCAAGCGATATGCCGACTTCCACCACGGCTTTGAGCTAGCAAAAAATCTCACCAACGCCCCAGTGCCCTTCGACAGTGCGCGTCTGTACACTTGTATTACCACGGGCTCCAAAGACGACCCCACAGAGGCGTTTCAAGCGGCCATCGACACTGGCACGAACCTGTTGCTGGGCATGTGGGTTTCGCCCAAGGCGACCGGCCAGCCAAATGACGTACAAGTAGAGAACGAGCTTGCTGCACTGAACAAGGGCTTCGCGCAGCACGGCCAGCGGCTCGCAGATCTCGTCATCGGCTTGTCAGTTGGCAACGAGGATGTCTACCGCTTCAATAATGCACAAGTTGGTATCGCCAGCGACAATCTCCTGCTCACCATCAAGAGCGTCCGCGAGAAGATTGCGGCTTCGCCGTATGCCAAGTACATGGAAGGTAAGCCCATAGGGCACACTGATACAGCACACTACGCCGTCGTACCTGGAAGTGACTTCGTCGGCATGACAGGATACCCATATTGGGAAGGCCACTCCATTGACAATGCAAACATCAGCTTCATGTCTCTTTTGAAAGACACACAGCGACGCGCAGGCACTATACCAGTCTGGATCTCAGAGATGGGCTGGCCCATTAATGGCACCCAGATCAAGCAGGCTGCCGCCAGCGCAGACAATTACCAACGATACTGGAACGAGGTAGGTTGTCAGGTGTTTGGCAAGTATAACACATTTTGGTTCGGGCTGCTCCAGGACTCGCAGCCTGACCAGCCAGACTGGGGGCTTCTGGATACGAAGACTCATCAGCCGCGGATCAGAGATCTGAGCTGCGGCGGCAGGAGCAACATGACTGCGCCTGCAGCTGGTGACCTTCCGAGAGCTCTGAATATCTCCACAAGCAAGCCTCAGCCGACTACCTTCCCGACCGTGTATCTTCTCAGCTCTGCGTCAGCGTCTGCCACACCATTGTTGTCGAAGCAGCAGCCTGCCAACTCGACAGCCACATCGACTCAGTCAATTCGCACAACGCACACGACTAGGACACTGACTATCACAGCAACGCCTTCATCGCTATCTTCCACTTCCAATGAGGATGCCTTCACTCTCTACCTAACCACCACCACGTTTGTTTCGCCAACACTGACCCCAGATCTAGCATCTCCGTTCACGCATGGCACCGTCGACGGCTTGGATGGGGATGGAATAGTGTCAACATGTATTGTCATGATGGATCTCTTGGACGACGGCGTTTTCATTCCAGTTGCGATAGCTCCTGCCTCAGGAATAGAGTCATGCGAGCCACCACTCAGGTTCACAGGCTCGCCGTTCACCCAGATTGCTGCGCCGACGACAGCCCCTGTATCGTCCAATCAGAAATTCTCATTCGATTTGTACGCTCCATCGACTACCTCCTCGCCCTTGCCAACAGCGGCACCCTTGTCAGGAACAACGACAGCGGACGCGAATGGTCCGACATGCGTGACATCGGCTGGTGTGGTCTACGAGGCGATTATTTCAGATGGGAAGACCTATCTTGGAAAACCGACGCCCTCTTGTCCGTCTGATGGACCAGCAGCATCGACGTTAACTATCACTTCCTCCACAGTACGACCGCTCTCATCAAGTTCGGCTCGTTCCACCTCACTTGCCTCCCCACTTTCGTCTTTGTCGGCTCTTCTACCTCCTTCCTCCCCCATGCCAGCTCCTCCACCATCGACACTCCTGACAGTGACTACGCCCGCACTTGTATCACAACCAGCATCACCACCACCAGTTTCGCAGTCCCCGACATCCGCCTCATCGATTCACTCTCCATCCAGTCTACCATCATCAACCGCCTCAGCACCTCCACCACGCACTACCTCTCCACCAGCCACTGTCACTCCCTCTCCATCCACCGATGCAGGCTGCGTTGTCGTCAACGGCAAAACTTGGGTAGCTGCGTGGGATGAACACGGAAAAAAGCATATCTCAGGTACAGGTCTCGAGTGCCCTGCCATACCTACGTCTCCACCAAACGTCGAACCACCTTCACTTCTGATCCTCACCGAGTCTCTGGAAGAGTGGAAGACCCAATCATGGGCAGCTCCAATCCCACCACCAGTATCCACATCATCTCAACCCACAGCCCTAGCAGCCATGCCCTTCCCGAGTCCGACTGCAGCCTCGACCCTATCAAGCGTGTCCACAAGCGCACCGACGAGCATACCGACGTCGAGTATTCAACGATCACCCGGCCCTGCTGTCCCCAAAGACCCAACTGAGGAACAGCTCGACCTTGGACTCCAAGGCGGACCTCGCCCAACGCCCCTCGGACTAGCCAACAATCCCGTCTCCGTCATGACACCCCTAGGCTTCCCCACCAGGCCTGTTCAGTTGATTCCAGTTCCGAGTGATCATGTAGGTTTCTTCCACTCACTGCAGGGTAATGTGCCGACGTATAGCCCCCGCGCGGGCTAAGCAGGCTGCGCGGGATGATGAGCAGACTGCGAAGGCGAGGGGGTTGCCTGGTCAGCTGAAATCGGTAGTGGGTACGGATGGGGTCGGTTTGGAGGGCGGGAAACCTAGAGGGAGGGTATGGTGGCGATGGTGAGAACTACGAATGTAAGGGAGATGTACATGCAGGGGGGCATGGGACATGGGGCAGAGTTAGGTAGAGGGGGTAAAGGAGTTCAGTGGTTCTGCGAATGTGATATCGTGTTGTGGCTATCTACGGAGAATTTCTACACTGTGATAAACTTCCACTTCGCCTTCCCAGTCGGCACATGATACACTTTCCCTCCACCGGTCGCTCGGCCTTTTTTATATAAGCGCAGCCAGACTGCGTCTGCGTTCGCTTCGTCTAATGCGGTCTTGACGTCAGGACGAGATAGGACGGGTTCTAGGATGTCGAGGAGGTCTTCGAACTGCTCATCTCGAAGTGCGACATGCGATGCGATGGCGCAGAGACAGATGACGAGAGCGTCCCATATCATTCGTGCGGGAGTGCTGGTGTATAGCTCTGGGCGGTCGAGATTTGTTGACGTAGAGGGTGAGGAGATGCTGAGCTCCGAGAGTCCGGTGGAGATGTTGTCAAGTTTCAGGCCACCGTTTAACAAATTATTTCCCCTCCCGCCCGTTCCAGCCCTCGCGCTAGAAGTCCGTTCCTGCGTCCTCTTTTGTACTTTCTTCAACACCTCAAACACCCCCTCGACCCTTGACCGCATAAAACTCCCAGCATGTTCGCACATCAACCCCACTACCTCCAACGTGTTGGCCACAATATACGCCTCCGGATCCTGCAGCCTTGGAAGCAGCACCGGCCATAGCGTGTTGATCAGCGGAAGGAAAGAGTTCTCATGCTTAGCCAGCGCTGGGATCGTAGTCTGCAGAAGGGAGAGGAGGGAGGTGCGAAGGGAGGGCGAGGTGGATGTCAGGTAGTGCTGCGTAAGTTCTGAGATGGTGAGAAGGATTTGGTAGGTTCGCGGGGCGGGAGGTGGTGGGTCTGGCTTTTCTGGGGAAGGTTGGTCGTCCGGATTCAGTGGATCTTGGACTGTGTTTTCTTTCCATGGTTCCTGGGGGAATGGTCCTGGGACTTCCAAGGCGGCTTCTTGCGCGCGTTTGAGCTTGTCGGCTTTCATTCGTTTAAGTGTTTTGATGCCGTCTGTCATTGTGATGCCTTTGTGGCCCACTGATGTCGGATTTGTGGTGGCGGCTGCTGCGATGGCGAGTTGCGGTGCTTTAACGCCTTCTTCTGTCATGCCTTTCAGTACGGAGAACAGCAGCTCGACTAGCATGGGATAGCCGTGGTATCGTTCCAACGCCTCGAAGATGCTTCCGACCAAGTCGTCCAGGTAAGGCAGGAGGGAAGGACCGCACAGTCGCATCATCATCAGCAAAACCTGAGGTGCTTGAGGCGAGACGTCGCCGACAGCGAGCTTCAGACCCACGGCATTGACGACGTAATCGACGTTGTCGACAACAAGCTCGCGGGCGCTGGAGTAGCCGGACGCGTCCGACGCGATGTTCAAACAAGTGATCGCGTGCTCACGAAGAGCAGGGTTCGAACTTCCGAGTTGATGTAGTATGGGGTAAAGCACCTCGCCCAGCTCAGCACGGAACTCTATTCGGTAGCGTCCTGCTTGCAGAGCCACGGTCTCCAGAGCTAGCGCATAGAAGTGCCACGGAAGAGCCGAAGTAGGGTCTCGTTCAGTCAGAAGTGTGACAGAGTGCGAGTACAGGTCGTCTAGCAGTTCTTCTCGCGGGTTCGAAGATCCTGTATCGATGAAATCGTCGAAAGATGAATTGGTGACAGTCAGATCCCTCATCAGATTGACAGAAACCCAATAGCTAGCCAGCTGCATCTCCTGCGTGCCGGTGTTGATGGTGCGGACTAGATCTTGCACTACATTCAGTGCAGAATCCGATTTCGCCAGCTGCGACAACAGCAATCTGAACTCGTTCATGAGATCTTGTTGGCCTTTGAGCCGCAATTGCAGCGGTTGGAACGTAGACTGTCGACTGTGTCCCAACATCAGACCTGTCTCCATTGAGGTCTCCGCTGTCGCAGAGCCAAGCTCTTCCAAGCCTGACGAATCTGCGAGGACTGCAGACACGCCATCTCTCAAGCCGTCAGCCAATCGGTCGTCAATGATCGCCGGGTCTTGTCCAAGTAGTCGCAATGCCACTGAGATCTGATGGATGATGAGACGGCGTTTGTTGTCGTCCTTCGATTGCATAATACGAGGGAATGAGATCACCCAGTCGTGAAGGCTCTCGCGCAGATGGTCAGCAAGCGTTTGGTCCGCAAACAGTATGATTTTCAACTCATCCTCTACTGTGTCATGTGCACCATCTCGGCCAACAAAACTGATGACTGTTTCGATGCTCATGCTGGTGCAATCCGAGAGTGATGTTCGGCAGTCCTGTATGACGCACAAGCATAGCTTCAGGAGTGCTCGTCGAACCTCTGATTTATCATGACTGCGCATCCTGTGGATGTTCGCCAAAGCAATCTTGATTTGAGAGGCTGTAGCCTGCAGCCATGATCTCGAGCGCAACACGTGCTTGCTGTCCTTCGCATTTTCTGCGGAAGCTCCGCTCGGAAGGCCCTTCGTGCTGCGATCGCTCAACAGGCGCGAAAACAGCAGTGACAGCACTTCGAGACCTTGCTCGATCACGCGGTAGTCAGCCTTGTTGGCGCTTCCCGGAGTCAACACCTTGGTGAGCGAGGAGACTATCTTAGGAAAGAAGCTGGCAAGAGCGTCATCATCAACAATCGCGGCGCTCAAACTCTTGATCACAGTGACAGCTGCAAGCTTTATGCTGTTCGGTTTGCTCTCAGCAAGGCTGTCCAGGGTAATCAAAACAGCTTCTCCTAAAGCTGGGATGTTGTTGGTAGCAGTAAGGGCCTCTCTGCCCGACTTCGAGCGGGATGCTTCAGCTAGAAGTTCACCGATGCATTTGAACGCCAGTGCCTGCAACTCCTCCGATGTTGCCGCGATACCGTTTTCGGCCGATGAGGGTTTTGCCAAGAATGTGAACAAGATCAGCAATTGCCCGGATAGGGCAGGCTCGAGACCACCGCCCCAGCCCGTGCGTAAGAGTGCTGATACACATTCGAGGCAGAGCTCGAGAGCACGTACTGGAACTTGTCGTGACAGCCTGAGGACCTGCGAAACCGGTACGAAAGCATATTCGGCCAGCTTTGTATCGAGCGCCCCCGGCCGTGAGGTGACAGTAGCAAGCGTGCCAAGCAAGTTTGTGAGTGCCTCGACTAGATCGCGCTTCCCATTTGGCCTTTGAGCTAAGGTTGCGGTTGTTTGCAAGACCGCAATACATGGTTGCTTCAACTGCGAAAGACGATGAGTAGGCTGTCAAAGAAAGACGATGAGCAGGCTGTCAAAGAAGACTGCACACTGCAGCACTCACTCGCTGAAACGTTTGTTGTCTCTCCATCTTGCCGCTTTCCGGTGGATATTGCGACTACCTTGTTGCAGCATGGAGAAGAAAGGCGTTTGGTGCGTGGCCTCTGGGATGGACAGTTGGTATTGCAGAGTCAAGCTCTCGAGCGCTCGATGTTCATCGCCGAGAAGACACTGCAGTCCACGATCGAAGCGCAGGGTTCGATGTTTTGTCAGGTGACTGGGGCAATGCCAAGTAATGAAGGTGATGGTGAAAGGTCAGAGTTCGGCTCGAGCTGCCGGTGGAGCGCTGGCGGGCAGGCGCGTGTGCATGCTTGCTAGCGCGTCACGCTTGGGCGGAAACAGCTCCCCTCGATGCTCTCTCACCGAGCAAAGGCATCATCATCACCGCGTCGCGCCCCAGCTTTTCTCTCGGCGCGCGCAATTCAGCCAGCTCTCAGCGCGTGCAACTACACATCCTGCACACCTCCACGCTGGCATAACAATCCCTGCATTCGAACGCGCCAACACGCGACATGGCTCCACGCAGCCGGCGCAGCGCTGCAGCGGCGGTAGAAGCTGTTGAAGAGGAGGAGCCTGAAGTGGAGCAGGAGGAGGAAGAGGAACGAGATGGGCTCCGGCAACTGAAGTTCAAGCAGCCGCTGGTGGGGCGGCCAGGGAAGCAAATCAGCGTGGGCGACCTGCTGGCGCGCCTCGAGACACTGCTGAACGAGCTGCGGACAATCGACCAAGAGGAGGCACATGCCGAGTCGCTGAAGCCGGTTGCGCAGGAATTGGCAAACCAGAGCTTGTTGCAGCACAAGGACGCAGGCGTGCGCGCCTGGACATGTTGCTGTCTCGTCGACATGCTCAAGCTGTTCGCGCCAGATGCGCCCTACCCGGCAGCCAAGTTGAAGGTATGCTTGCAACCATACCACGACACAAGCCAATGTTAACGTGTATGGCCAGGAAATCTTCTCGGTCATCATCACAAAACTACTGCCCCTCCTCGCCGACCCCTCGCATCCCTACAACAGCCAGCACATGTACGTCCTGCGCTCGCTCGCCGAGTGGAAGAGCATACTGCTCATCAACGACATCCCTGGCTCCGAAGCCCTCACAACAGCCCTGTTCACGACGTGCTTCGACGTCCTCTCCGGTCCGTCTAAGAACGACAGTGCCGAGGAGCTCAGCAAGAACGTCGAGCACAACATGACCGAGGTCCTCTCCACCATCATAGACGAGACGGGGGCTGTCCCGCATGACGTGGTGGACATCATCGTCGCTCAGTTCCTCTGGGCAGACCCCGTCACACTGGGCAGCTCCAAGGGCAGGAAGAGCGCGCCAGTCGACGCGAAACAGACAACGTTGCGGCGGAAGGAGGCGCCACCGGCGTACAACATGGCCAAGAGTGTGTGCAACAACAACCAGGACAAGATGGCACGTCTGATCGGCAACTACTTCAGCTCTGTCATCGTCGACTTCACAAATTCAGGACCATCGTTCAAGCGAAACCGAGCAGGAAGCGAGGACGCTGATGACGATGGGGTCAAGGGCCCCTCCGACGAGGATATCAACGAGGCGAAGAAGGCGCACAGGCTACTGCGAGAGCTCTGGAAATGCTGTCCAGGTGTGCTGCAAGATATAGTTCCGCATCTGGTGGACGAGCTCGGGACAGAAAACGTGCAGCTTCGCCAACTGGCGACCGAGACTCTGGGTGACATGATCTCTGGCATTGGAGCAGCAGGACCTCCTCCACCGCCGCAGATGGATCCCGTTGCATATCCATCTCAAAGCCTCGCGCGCTCAGATGCTGCGCGGCCGTTCGACTTCCTTACTACGCCCACCTCCATCAATTCTTTCCCAACGCAGCACCCCGTTGCATACCACTCGTTCTTACAGCGCAGGAATGATAAATCACCCATCATTCGAGCTTCCTGGACAACCGCCGTGGGCCGCATATTGACTACATCAGCTGGCGGCATTGGACTGGATCCCGAAGAAGAGCAAAGTCTTCTCAAGTCGTTTGCCGAGTGCTTGATCGATAGTGACGAGAAAGTGCGACTGGCGGCGGTCAAAGCTGTTGAGCTCTTCAGCTTTGATGACATTGTTCGCAAGCTAGGCAGCAACGGCAGCATATCAGAGTCTGGTTCGATCCTCTCTAACCTCGCAGATCGAGTCAAGGACAAGAAGAGCATCATCCACTCAGAGACGACAAGGCTCATTGGTCGCATCTGGGGTGTAGCTTCGGGTGCGATCGCCGAGGGCGATGAAATCGTCAATAACTTGCTTGGATCGATTCCCTCAAGAATTCTCGAAGCGTACTACGTCAACGATGCAGACATCAACGTTCAGGTCGACACAGCCTTGTTCGAATCTCTTCTGCCGCTTGGCTACCCGCCAATCAAACCCCGCGCAGCTACGAATGGTGCGTCACAAGTGGTCAAGGACAGCCAAACGAACGGCGATCAAGGCTGCACCGAAGCTGAGCTGGACAAGCTTCGAACAGAACGGCAACTCGTTCTGGTCAATGGACTCAGTGAGAAGGCCAAGAAGGTCTACTTCGTTAAGCAAAGCAACCAAGTGCAAGGTGCTGGGATCCTGGAGGGCTTCCTGCAGGTCTGCGAGAAATACAACGGCGGTGTCGTCAACAAGGAAGACAAGGATATCAAGACCAGGTTGAGTGGTCTTATCGCATACTACGCCAGAACGCTGCCTGAACCGACAAAGACCACCGACGAGTTGTGGAAGTTTGCAAAGGCACATGATCGCCGTGCATATGCTTTGATACGCTTCTGCATGGACCCTGCGAGTGACTATCGTAGGGTCTTCAAGTCCATCGTATGTTTTACTCCACCATGCTTAATGTCTTGTGCTAACACTTTTGTAGAAAGAGCTGCGTAAGCGCATTGAGGATGGACCGGGTGCTACCCTCCTTGACGTGCTGAACCCTCTGCTCTACCGTGTCGCCCTGCTGTGCTACAACAAGAGTCATGTCTCCGCCATTATTGAGTACACGCGAACAGACGATAAGGGTCTGGGCGCCACTGCCCATGAGCTGTTGAAGGAAATCTCCCTCAGGCACCCGAAGGTCTTCTCCACACACGTCAAGGATCTTTGCAGGACGCTCGAGAGCGAGGCGCCAACGGCGAAGACGCCGAACCCTCCCGGTGCAGTCGAGGACTTGAAAGCATGTGCAGCTTTTGCGAAAAAGTTCCCTAGTGACATCCCTGTGAACACCAAAGACGGGCGCAAGCTAGTACAGAGCTTCCTCAACTTTGCGCAGTACGGCACACCGGCACAAGCAGCGAAGCATGCCATCACCATCATCATGCATAGCGACAACAAGAAAGAGCTGCACGCCAAGGAGATACTGGACAAGAGCATCAAGGGCTTCAAGTACAACGGTGACCATTGGTTGACGAAGCTTGCTGCGCTCAGTCAACTAGTATTGCTTGCCCAGACCGAGTGTGGGGACAACATGGATTCTATCATCGAGATTGCGATCGAGAAGGTCCTCCATGAACCGCACCTCGCCACCGAGGAGGCTGACGCTGACTGGATGGAGACACCAGATGATGATATTTTAGGCAGAGCCTGGGCGTTGAAGATCCTCATCAACCGTTTGCGCTCTCTCCCGTCCGACGCTGACCTGGATGAAGCCGCTACCAGCACATACGCCTTGCTCAACCGGCTCGTCAAAGACAACGGCGAGACATCAGAATCGAACGACACACCCGCAGGGCATAAATCTCGTCAAAGACTATTGGCAGCTCATGCACTGCTCAAGCTGTCGACTAACAAGCGCCTGGACGCCCTCTTGAAGCCCGCAGACTTCGTACAGCTGGCTCTCGTCACCCACGACCCATGTCCCCAAGTTCGCAGACTCTTCGCCGAAAAGCTGATGAAGTACCTCGGCCAGAACCGCCTGCCCCCTCGATTCTACACCATCCTTTTCTTCTTCGCCCACGAGCCTGAGCGAGGCGTGAAGGAGAGCACATTGACATGGATTCGCTCTCGCCGCGCCACTTTCGCAACTCGCAAAGAAACGGTTCTCGAAACCGTCTTTGCCCGCCTTCTTAGCCTGCTCGCCCATCACCCTGACTTTGATACGGAGTCAGCCACACTCAAGCTCATGTCTGAGTATATACTATACTACCTCAAATGTGTTGCCACAGAGGACAACCTTTCGCTCATCTTCCATGTCGCACAACGTGTCAAAGGCGTGGCAGATGGCATTGCTCCATCGAAGCAAGCAGACGAGAACCTATATGTTCTGTCCGACCTCTCACAAGCACTCATCCGCTCATGGGAAGAGCAGAATAGCTGGACCATGCAGTCTTGGCCTGGCAAGATGCGGTTGCCGTCTGGCATCTTCCGTGCCCTCGAATCGCACGAACGCGCACAAGAGATTGCGAAGAAGACATGGATCGATGAGGACCTGGTCGAGGAACTTGATCCGCTGGTCCGCAAAGCGATTCGCAGCAAGAAGAGGAAGGCTACCGATGGTGCTGAGGGTGCACGTAAGAAGAAGCCCAAGGGCGATAGGCCAAAGAAGGAGAAGAAAGGAAGGCCGATCAAGACACCTAGGAAAAAGCGAGCTACAAGCAATGACGATGAAGAAAGCGACGACGGGCAGATTGTGCCTGAGAGTAAGCCAGAGAGGAAGAGTGGGCGAAAGAGCAATGTTAGCAAGAGCTACGTCGAAGTCAGCAGCGACGATGAGGACGTCGATGCTGGTGCAGATGCGGTAGAGCAAGTTGAAGAGCAAGAAGCGGAAGAGGAGGAAGCAGACGAATCGACGCCTGCGCCTGAAGAGGATGTCGAGATGGCAGAAGCAGAGGAAGTCGAAGCTGAGGAGCCTGAGGCGGAAGCGGAAGCATCAGAAGCCGATGAGGCCGAAGCATCGCCAGATCCCGTGTTGCCTAAGCGGGGAGCGCGAGGTCGGACAGCGAAGGCAACGAATGCAGCGAAGTCGTCTCCCGTCGCACAGAATCGCAAGAATACCACGCCGGCGAAAACAACGGCACCAACAAAAGCCAACTCGGCAAAGAGCACACCAGTAAAAGCTAGCAAGGCAGCCAAGCCTGTCGCGAAGGGTAAGGCGAAGGTCAATGGGGCTTTGGCAGAAGCGAAGACCAACAGTCCTACTGCGAACGGGACGAGCACCAGGCGGAGCGCAAGGACTAGGGGCGGGGGCTGAGCGAACCAGACCTGAGCGCTACTAAAGCATCTCACGCACGCGGCTCGCCGCGATCATTTTGACGTTTGAATTCAGGGCATGGGCGATATATACATGGGTGGTTTTCATGCGTCACTACTACTGTAAATTCGAGCTCATTTTGTGTCTTCGATGTTTAGCAAGCGCGCTAGCAAGGTGCATAACGGCGAAAGAAAGGAATTGTACGATATAGATATATCTACAGCCGACTTTACAATGTATGTGCAATTTACCAGGTTAGCAAGGATCTGGATCTCGTTCCTGCGTTCCCTTCGCCGTGTCCCATGGTTCACAACTGTACCCTGATAAAACGCAGGAAATAATCCTCCGCGGAAGTAGCACCTTTCGTCACAATCGTATGTTCGCCTTGGAACTACTTCGCACTCTTCAAGTATCGTCGCGCTCTCGACGAGCTTTCAGTATCAGCTTCTTTTCCCACCATGGCACACTCCTCATCCTCCTTGGACTCCTCCTGGGACACCCTCGGCGACACCGAACCACGTGCCCGCCGGACCGAAACTCGAGACGCTTCAACACAAGTAACAGCCGAACAACTCGATGAGGTACCTTTCGACCTCGTAGTCTTCTTCACGGGTATCGCCTTCTTCCTCCTGGTCATCGTGATGGTGGTAGCCGTTGGCATTATCGCCGAGCTTGAGGAGAATGAGGGCAAACTTGCTCCGGAGACAGGTGCAAGGTTGGGGCCACGTCACCCTATAGGGCAGTGGTTTTGCAAAACCGAGTTGTGAGGAAGAGGCGGGAGGATGAGTTGAATGTTCGGTCGGGTCGAGGGCACGTAATCATCTGAGAGTCCGGGACGACGAAGTGTGGTAACCACATAAGAGGGAGAGCCTAACCACAGCTCCTCCACCCCTCCTCCACCAATCATTCCTCACGATACGCAACACGACACTCCCAGAAGCCCTCAATCACAATCAATCACAGACAAATCCCCTACAAGGCCTCTTTGACCCTTCAACTCGCGACACGCGGGCTCGCTCCCTTTCCCTTTTCTCTTGGAGCTCTATCGAACAAGATGAGACCCAGCCATTCCTAGGCGAGACTCAGGATGCATCCACCCAGATTTCACCACAAGACCCTGGCCTCACACCTTGTTCACTTTCCTCCCAGGAGACTCTCACAGACATGACAACACCAGCCCACCGCAAGGGAACACTGGATGCTTGTAGTTGGACCACAGAGCAAATTGCCACTACAAAAACAAAAGGAGAAGAAATTCGGGAGTCCTCACCCGAAGATCTGGGAATGATCATGGGTCTCTTCTGTCTCACAGTCTTTCTTATGTGGGCAATCAATCTCATCTCGTTACGCGTCAAGACGCCAGGGATTTAAACGAGTTCCTTAAGCGAAATCCTTTTGACATGATTGCGGTATCGAAGGAAGTTCGACCCACGAGAAACTGGTTTTGTCGAACACAGTGACGAGGAACGGAAGAGTAGGATTTGAGGGTTCAGCTGGAACCATGATTCGAAGTGGGGATAGAAAAAATTGAGACAGGGACGCGCAGAGAACACCTACGCAGGGAACAGTAAAGAAAAGGATTGGAGTTCCTGCATCTTTCCTGGCAAGTACAACATCGAACAGTCATACATCATATCGACTGCATGGCGTCCTAACATCATTAACAAAATCTGCATTTCGCACCACACCAAGACGACATCACCGTTTCCAAGATGTCTGACTCACCAGCCTCACCCTTCACCGAAAGAATGGCCAAAAACGCTGACGCCTACCCTCTTCGTCCTCACCCAACCATACCACCAACCACTTCACCGCCAATTTGCCAGGATGCGCCCGAACACAACGAATCCAACACACGCTGCTCGAAGTGCCGCTTCCTGTGTTCTCTCCACTTCTTTTCAGCTCTATTCTACCTCGTTCTCCTCACACTCTTCATCGTAGTCTTTTGCGCCAAGATCTTCGATCCGTTGTCGCCGGATCAGCTCTCTCCCTCGAAGGAGAACGACGAAAATGGCACTGACAAGCTCGCGACTCTACCCCCACTGACCAGGCGCGTCAACGTACTGCTCAAGAGGTGGGATGCCGGCCAGTTGGACGACCACATGATGCTCTATGTTCTTGCTGGTGGTTTTGGATTTGCGTTCATCGGTGGCGTGAGTATGAGTTGGTACCTTCAGCGGAAGCAGCTTGGACGGCAGAAACGACGGTATGAGAGGGTGGTGATTTGGAGGAATGGTGAGGCTGTCTGAGTGCACAAATTTGGAAGGAACAAGTCGAAAGGTCGGACAGGCGAGGGGTGGCTTGTTTGGAGTGCAATCTGAAGAAGGAGGGTTTCAGGGGAAAGGCGATTGGGGTAATGAGTACAAGTCGAGCGCCACGCCGCTGAACACTACGTCTCCCTGTTCGTCGCCTGCTGCTTCTTGTGGGACTTAAATAATCATAATTTTGCAGCACTGCACGGAATTGAAGTTCGAGTCTTTTCATTGTATTGAACTCGTGGAAGATTGCTCGTCCATCGCCTCGGTCCTAATTACGGGAAGATCCCAAATTCAAAAGTGGGCTCGAGTAAGCATTTCCGTCGCTCTATCCCACAACCTAATCCAGTCTTCATGCCCATACGTCGCATACCAAGGTGGACTCCCCGACATCCACCCGGACATGCTCTCTTGTGCCAGCCTCACAGCCTCCTCGGCTTCCTTGCAGCGCTCGCGGTTCTCCTCCAGACTGCAATCCAAATGAGGACCGAGGACTATCGCGATGATGAACCCCATGATACCGCCGATACAAGAAGTGCGAGCAGAAATCAGCAGAGCTTGCTGCAGCAGATGGACCTACGTTTGTGTTTGTGGGTGGAAGTGGTGGCGGCCTGGCGGCTTCGATATCGGCGTGAGGGTCGGTGATACGGTCGAATGTGTAAGAAGGCGGAGGTGATGGAAGACGGCTGGTGTCGAGGAAATCCGTTTTTGGGCGCGTGTGGGCGCGTGGAATGCGCGTTACGGGACAGATATTGGAGGATTTGGTGGTGATGATGTCGGTGCAGGCGGGTAGATAATAACTCGTGATGTGTTGCAGAGTGTGTCAACGGACGGCGAAGTTTAGAAGTTTAGGAGCACATATAGCTAGGAGGTATTCAGGGTCAGGTCTGGTGAGTTGAGGTGCAGCGATGTTGATCCATGGTTCATGATGTGAGCAAGTTTCCATCGAGCACATCTATCAACCATGGAAAAATACTCGAATACCTCCACACTGCCTGGAAAAAAACCAAGCCTCGCAACGAATCACTACTATCTTCCTAGTTCCACCTTTCCAGACTTAACGATTTCCATACACGCTTGAATACTCATACCCCTGCAAACACTCTCCATAAGAAGCTGGCCCAAGCGTTTGTGCGTAGCTGGCTCTTTGGCCAAATATGCCTTGCCCATATAAACAACCACGAAAATCAACAGCAGAACCAGGAAGAAGACCCAGACATCAAATTTGAGCTCGGAGGCAGTCGATGCTGCTTCGGCCACTTGAACAATCGGGGCCTCTTGAAAATATTCGTTCCGTCCGGAGGTAGGCGATACCCCTTCGAACTGCACGGCAGGAATTTCTTGTCGATATATTTCCGAGGTATATGAAGGAGGAGGTGAAGGATCGGTCGGTTGGGCTTGTCTGCCATGACGTGTGATGCGGAAATTGAATCGTGAAGGCGGGCGGGTGTTGGAGGTATTTGCTTCACTATTGTTGGCAGCGGAAGACTGGCATCTCTGAGCGGCATTTTTGGCGGCAGCTAGAGCGCCTGCTCTGCTCATGGCGTCGGCGTTCATGGAGGCGATTTGCTCTTGTGACATGAGAAGGGTGCTTCCGTCGGCGAAGTTGATTGCCTGAAGAGAACTTGCTCGGCGATGAGGAATCGACATGTTGTATGTGTTCATTTTGAGTGGTGAGAAGAAGCTGGTATTTCTTAAAATCTTGATGGAGTTTTGGAGAATACGTGTGTGTAAAGATGGAGGCAGAGTGGACCGATGGAAAGATTTTGTAGTATTCGAAAGAAAATACCTCAAGAATAATTATAGTCTATACTGTCACTTCATTGCATGCGGTTATGTTTTGTTTGAACGCTTTGATTGGGGGCACAGACTGCATCTGCCCAGGTTGAGGAGGAGGTGAGAGGCCAACAAGGAGGCAGGTGTCTGTGAAGGAGTCCTCGCCCTATCTGGTGTAGAAGGCCGGCCAGCTACATATCTAAATACATTCGGATCAACCCAAACTCCCAATCTGAACCTAAAACAAAGGAAAATTGTGATGTAGCATTGTGATAGGGCGGGATGGCAGGAGATTTGCAATGTCCGATGAGGTGACGATGTGAAGATGTGGGAGATGGGGATGACCACGGAGGAGCTCATTGTATAGGTTCCTGGTGAGGTTGTTTGCTATCCCTCACCGCTGTCCTGCATGACGGGTATGAGCAGCTCTTCGCTAGCCATAGAACACCTCGACGTTCATAAGGTTGGTCCGCGGTTGTGATATGACTCCAACACAATCGGTTTCCAATCCAAAACCTTGAATTATAACTCTACCGCATACACGGTAATCCAGAAAGTTCCACCAGGAAGTCAAACACCTATTGTTAGGTCTGCTGTTCAGCGTCCCGGGGTGCAATACCGGTTCGCATTCGTTTTAGCAATTTGGCGAACCAAGTACTCGAGACCAACAACTTTGTAGGGAACGTGCATGACTAATATTGTGGTTCAGTTGCCAATAGCAGTCGTGACTACCTCCTGGATTGTGTACGAGAATGAGATAGTTCCTGCCATCTTGTGGTAGTCGAACTATAGACTTCGCTGCAGTGAGTCTATTAGCAGGGTGCCATGGTTTGCATTGCTTCGTATACATCAGGTGATACAGTACTCTTACAAAATGTACATATTCTGCCGCCCTTCTCTTATGTCGCTCTTGTCCGGAGCTGAACACCATGCCACTGTGCGATCTCCTCCTTCAGCACCTGGTTAACCAGCTTGTGCTGCTTGATCACCGTTAAGCCCTTGAACTTGGCCGACTCGATCTCGATCGCGTACATGGAGCCGCAGCCGCCGCTGATGTCTTGGACCTGGAAGTTGGGTCAGCGTACCATTCGCACAACGTCTCGTGTCTATTCCCAATGCTACTGTCGCGGCTCTTGCTTCGGTATCCTCGGCTTGCCGTTCTTGACATCTCCGTCCCGCGTCTGACAACAGACAAAGCCGCTGGCCGCATCGTAGTGATAGATGACGTGCGTCTCAACAATTTCACGCACACCGTTCGCCAGCACTCTCAGGCCTCCTCCCAAGCAAGCTGTCCACGCACCTCGAGTTTTGTAGGTTCAAGCTCCCCCCTGATCTTGTTGAAGATGTGTAGTTCGGCCTCATTCAGAAAGTCTGGTGGTTCCGGTGCACCACTTGCTTGCGCACTGTACGCTCGTGTAGAAGCATGTGTAGTCTGGAATCGCGGTATTGCGGTCGCACGTATGCACTGAGGCCTGACTGCGGTTGCTGATGTCGAGAGCAGACGCGCGCCGGTGCGCATACGAATCTGGGGCTGTACACATGCGGAGGTTATGCGGCGAATAAGAATTGCTCTGGACGGCGCCATGGCGTGCTGTATATATGTATCAGAGAGTGCATTGCGGAGTGCATACTGCGATTGAAAGTTCGTCTAAGCTTACAATAGAGCACGCGACTGTTTACGTGGAAATTCGGGTTGACGTGAATGGAAGTCGCGAAACTTCGTCATAGCTTCACGACGCCCTAGTGCCCAATCACGTGTCGTGATTATCCAACTTTCATTGATCTCCGAGCCATCTCCAAGCCACTACTGACGACGACAACCCTAGACGTGCTGTCGAGCTTCACCAGTTCGAAACTCTCAAATCTCATCATTACCACGAAAAGGTCTCACGATCCCAACAGAAAGTGCAACCTACAGATCGCACCACCGAACACTCTCAGCGTGCAGCGTTGGCACAGATGCATGCATTTCCGGGGTGCAGAAAGTTTACAAATTGAGGAGACGGTAACATGTACCTCCAAGTACCTGGATGTACCTCTCCACACCTCCGCTCTCGGCCCCCGCTGGTTCGGCCCTGACACCAATTTCCATAACACAACCAAAACCCTCAGCACCACCGATGAATGCAACGACTCACTCTGCACGCTGACAGCACAAGGCGAGCTTAAACGGTTCATTGCCCACATTTTCCCCCGCCTTACATCGATTGCGGGGTGCAGTTGGCTCTCTTGTCAACCACGAACCATCTCAGCCCATGGGCTCATCTTACCATATCACGTTTTGATCGACACAGCCCAGGTCGGACCCCTCTTTGCCAAGACGGCAAGCCGAGACCGTGATCAGCGCTGTGGCTAGGGTCCTCTTTCACATGAAAACCCCAGGGTTCAAGACGATGCATGGCCCTTCCAAGCGCTAAGAAGCGCCACGGAAGATTGGGAGAGCCGCAAAGATCTGCACTGGATGGCGAGTGAGCGAGGTTCCATGTGCGAAGCGTTCCGTGGTACGTGTTATCGCTGGATTTGGCACGCAAGCAGACACACAGGTGTGAACGCTCGTCGTAATGTTGCAGGGTGTGACGTATGGTGGTGCGATCTTCACGGTCCGAAAGAGTCCCAACAAGGCGATCATCTGTGAGGCTGGCCCATCGAAAAATGATCACGATGGGAGGCGAACATTGAGATGCTTGCGGAATTGTGGTTCTCTAGATTGAGATGATGCAGCCTCGCGTTGCTGAGACTGAAGATATTGCTCGCATCTCCGTCGCGCTATGTCTGACCAAGTCCTCAAATAATAATTTGCTCACACGCAGGTTGACAAAGCTAGAAGCTTACCAAAAAATGCAACGGCTAGTACGGCTGTAACGACTGTCTGATTGCGACAAGCGTTTCTGAAGAACCTGTGATTCAGGACCAGCAACTCGACACGATCAGACCCTGCTTCTGCTTGCCGGCGCGGATCATCGCTCGCAACTTGTGCCTTTTCAAGAGACGTCATATTCAAGATTGACAGTGTTGGCGTTTGAATGCAAACGTTGTCCAAAGCCAGCACAGCACTATCAGAGCAATTTTCCAAACTTTCGAAGCTTTTGATAGTCGACGGTGTTCGTAGCCATACTGAAGATTCATTGATCCACCTTAACAAAACTTGAGGGCCAATTCCACTATCTCTCATGCCGTGCCTCCTCGGAGTCCATCTTACAAATATTGTCGAAAAAGTAACTCCGCCACCATCTCCGGTTACAACACCCGCCCACACAAACAGACTTCCCGCGTCTAACGCACATCTCGAAAATCTTTGTTCACCCTTACCACCCCACCCAATCACTTATACCGGACTTCGCCTCTCTGGAACTACCGTCTAGCAACTCACCTCCCGCCGACTGGCCTCCAGATCACCAAGCTCCGCTGCACTCACATCCAGGCCGACTCCCGTGGCTTATGCAGGACCCACATATCCTCCCTGGGGAGTGATGCCTTGCATGTACAAGACGAGGCCAGCGGCTCCTCGAGCCTTGCAGACCAAGAGCTTCATATCGGAGGGACTGAGTCGCGACGACCCACCCTCAACAACTTGTAGTCGCGGCCAAAGCTGTGCCGCGGGCCTCATCTACGCACCTAGACGGTAGCGGCCGTGAATGTATGCAAAGCGATGGAAATGGGGCGCGGGAGTGAAGGGATTGGGGATGTGGAGTCCGGAGATGGCGGGTTGTCTCCAGTTTTGAGAGTTTGAGTATGGGTGGACTATTGTGTTTGAGTAAGACTGGGAAGTTTATCTCAGCGCAGGTGAACACTGATCTTCGAGATCGTATCCGGGCCGTCAGGTCAAGAGTCCGTTGTCTGACTTACCTCGCGGCCCCATGGTACAGATCTCGGGCCGGCGTTAGAAACCACCCAAGTCCGGACCGTAGTGTGTGTGGTGTACCGTCTTGCAAAACCCTGAGCTGCACGTATCCACTTAGGATTCTATGCTCCACCTTGTCGCTGTCAACAGCATGTTCGACATGAACAAACACTGCTCGTGTGCTTTCGATCCACATCAAGCTCCCCAGTCTGTTGACTCCGCATCTTGCCCCAGTCTGTTCACTCCGCATCTTGCCCCAGTCTGTTCACTCTGCATCTCGCCCCAGACTGCATACGCAATCCTCACGGTCCGTTGTCTTGCGTGCATGCTATATGCACAGCAACATCACCCTCCATCATCCCCCTGTCACATCATAAAATCCTTCACGGCATCAGATAGCCAACCCACACTCATCTAACCCATACCATCTAACGGCCCGCCCCACGCCCCACCTCTTCTGAAGTTCTGGGCCTCAACACGTCCGAAAGCAGAGTGTGGCTGTTGAGGATTTTGGCAGACCCTGATTGTCGTGCAGTACTTGTCATGCACGACACAAATCAATGGCCTAGGTGGTGTGTGGATCGTGTTGCGCAATCTGTGTTTGATTGTTGGGGCATTGCCACTCCGGATGGTAAGCCAGGGCAGTCAACAAATACCGAGACGCTCAACTCCGTTCCTTTCCATCTTATTCCTGAGTCTCTTTCCTCACTGTTACAAGAGGCGATGGTGTCATACTATCTTACCATCTTTCCATCAGGCTTGGCGTCATGTGTGAAGGATGTACTTTGCAGGTGAGATGCTGCAACATGAGATATGATTCTCGCTGGTGGGGCAACTGCGGGCGAGGTGTGCTAAGAAAAGCAGGCGTGTGCGTGCAGCCGAGGTCGCTAAGCTGTATTGCTGCAAGTGCCACCTGTTCGTCCACTTTTGGACGAGCGCCGCAAGGGTCCTGGATAAGGATCCCAGGTCGAGTTGCGACCCCAGTCTGCAGTAAAACTTCCAGAGGGAGACCTTGTTTTGGCTGCAAGGCTGAACAGTGTGTTAAGCGCTGTCTTCGAACCCCATCTTACTACACGGGATGTTAGTATTATGATGGGTGTCACCATTGTTATTGTTACTGTTGCTGTTCAAACTTCAACGGTCGAGATCCTACCAGGGAGCCCTGTTCGTTGAGCTCAATGGTCTTCCCAAACAGACAACATGCGCAGATGTGCGCGGTTACGCTGCGTGTTTGGAGATTAGGTGGCGGTAATACTGGTGAGCATAGAAATGTCGTACAGAGCCCTGCTGCTGTCACATGACTAGGATTCGTTGATTTGATAAGGTGAGGCTGACAAAGCTGCTATGATGTTGTCACATATGGTCTGCGCGACAAGAAACGATTAGCGAGACCTGTTTGCGAGTGAGCAGGTTCCCCTTACCTGTTAGACGGTCGCGACATATCGAACGGGGATCCATATCAAGTATGCTGAGCCTGCGTGACATCGGTCTGTCGCCGACCTGCTACTTGCATGTTACGAAGCGTGGTGCTGCAAGCACCCCTCATCCTTCCCGTCTCACCTCACCTCACCTCATACTGCCGTGCCTCGAGTACAGTGCATCCATGCGCTGATTAGCACACAATCCTCAAATTACTTCGTTTCCGCATCTATACACTGTGTCTGGCATTTACATGCGAGCTGGAAGTTGCCGAGTGGGGTTATGGTGTTCTGTTGAGACCGGCATGCATGCAGCATCTGCGGAGAAGGCGTGACGCCTGAGCACGTTGCAAGTGATGAGAAGGCACCTAGGCAGTACTTTGACTGGTCGAGATGGTCTCTTGAAATATGTTGTGCATGTAATGGTACATTTTCTTTCGTTTCTGCAACCGTACCGAGTAGAGTGGACAGTGTGAACTCGAACCCGTTCAGTCTTCAGCTGTAGTACGGTAGATAGTAGCAGTCGTTCGACTGATGACAAGTGAGAGATCCTGAAAAGTCGATGAGAACCGAATCTCGCTCATGTTTCAAGACGGACATGGTCGCCATCTTCGATCGAGGTTCAACCAAACCCATGGGTTTGACCTTCTCACGTCAGCGATTTCTTGAGGTTTTGGCTTGATGGCTCTGAGCGGTGCGGTCCATGCCGCCGTCCACACCGTTGAGTGTCTAGAGACGCCCTTCTTACCCCGCGATGGGACCTTGTCTGGACCTGATAACGTGCACAGAAACAAAGATTGCGCTATGTGTTGTCACGGTAGTCTTATCAATCATGGCTCACCTTGGAAAGGCGTGATGTTCCACAACGTAGCCGACCCAGAGACACGGCTGATAAGTAGCAGTTCGGCAACAGGACCCTCCGAGATGTGTGAAGGAACCGTTCAAGGCTAGTGAGTCGCAAAATGACAAATGTTGTGAGGATTGTCGAATGGACCTGGAACCCATCGGTCTCGATAAACGAATCGTAAGAAGTAGTGCGATCCCAGAAATGTGGTCTTGTTTGCAATGCGAACGAATTGCGATAGGGTTGGGGATATCGCCCGTGGGTGAAGCCGAGTCCAACGGCCCGATCAAGAGAGCCCGAACACTGGAAATTCGGGCGCCGGATGCAGACGCTGACACCCGGCAACGGCTGGCCCGTCCCCAACATCAACATATCGACAAGAGGAATTGAGGAACCATGGGTGCGAAGGAAATGCAGTATGTGCTGTTCCCAGGTCACTTGATGGTTCAGTGGCGCCGATCAAATTTGGTGAGGTCAAGCTTGAGTTCGTTCTGGCTCTCAGAGCCTCAAAATGGGCGCACAAGCCAACAGAACAAGGACGGTGCCACGATTACAACGTGCGCACTGTAGAACTACATGTCATGAGTGGCATCTTCGTAAGCTGCTGTAGGACATCGCTTTTCTTCGGCGTTCGTGTATAGAGTCGACATCTGATGACCTGCGTAATACTGTGCCAAATAAAGCGAATTGCTTGTCGAGTGGACTGATGAACACATCCAGACCACTGCGACGGCAGGTGCAGATTGATCGCCAAGTCGATATCTCGAGCGCATCGTATCTGCAGTCTGGAGTGCTGATAAGCTCACCCAGGATACATTTACTGATCTTGGTTCTCGAAAGTTGGCGTGACAGGAGACTTCAGCATGAACGACCATGGTAACAAAGCGAGCTGATGGATTCAACTCGTCGCTGAAGCTTTGCTGGTTTGTTGTCCGTTTCGGTCCGTCAGACCCATGGTGTTTGGTGTGGGCATTGGCGGGTACATCATCCACTTCCAAGGGTGCGGATGCGACGGCTTTCTCCTCTGACTCTCCAGGACGGGGATGAGAGTTACCGCACCCGCGAAAATTTGACAGGAGAGTTGCGCATGGTTAGACTGTGTCTTATCGAAGGAATTTGTCTCTCGAAAAGCGGTGTGGGATACGTAAATCGCAAGGGCTAGGCATCGCCACATCCTTTCGAGGTCCGAACAAAAGAAAATATGGCTGTGCGGCTCAGGGAATTGTACAATTTCGTGCACCAAATTGATGGAGTATTCCTGTGAGACTGAGCGCTATGTGACATCATGTATCGTGAAAGCCAAAATAGAAAGTCCACACACCCCACATCGGCAAGGGAGGTTGCTGTCAGTGTGGAGATGCGCCTGTTGCAAGGACCACTCCGAGTAACGTGGCCTGACGTCGTCTTCAAAACACCCCCAGGTCTTTATAATGATAGCCGTGGAGATGGGGCTGTCCTGTTAGTATCGTGTATCCCATGCGGCTCATGTGTTCGCGCGTTTCTCTTCTCCCAACATTGCACTCTACGCCCGACAACACTGGAACCCATTTGCAACAGGAACCAGACGGGGTGCCAAATGTCAAAGTCGTCCATGGCATGACGCTACCAGTCCTCCACCAGGTCAAAGAATGGCTGACATCGTGACTGAGATCCAAGCTGTCATAGTAACTCCGGTAATGAAGAGCGCATTGACAAACTGGCGTGGAGGTAAGCGACCTCGACTGATTCGCGCATTCCCTGCTTTTTGATGAATTTTGCCAGATATCGTGGTAATGATCCCATCACTCCAGTCACGCGGCGAGCCGAGCAAGCCTGCTCGTTGTCGATATTATCCCAAGCCTAGAAGAGTCAAGGCCGTCCACGTTTGAGAGTAGCCCAGTGCTGTATTCGTAAGTGCCATTAGTCGGCGATGCGGCGCACAATTTTGTTGAAAGTTGAATGGGTCTGACTGCAGCGCGACAGTGGGGATGAAGCAAATTTCGTCGTGGGAACCCACTGCTTTGACTGCGGCATCTGTGAGTTGCGCGCTTGTATGACAGTGTCTCCGTAGTGTTGCTTCCCGTACTGTGCTGTTCTCGTGAGGCTCAGAACGGAGGGCGTCTGCAAAGAGTATAGCTCCCGACAGCCTCGAGTCAAAGCGTGCAGTTTGGATCGACCATCTGGTGGGGATCGATGGTGAGCAACGGCGGCCTCGACGGGGCAGCGGGCGGTGAAGCGGCAAGGTCATTACTGAGAAATGAGTGGCTCAAGCTGCCCTGTTCTGCCGGACAAAAACTTTCTGACGACTTTGGTAAGTGGGAAAGGCTCGAGACGCCAACCAGAATGCGGGATAGTGAAGCTTGGATCTCTGGTCTGGCCAACATGAGGATGTTGAAAAACAGGCAGACGAGATGCGTTTCATGTCGCGATAGGGCGAAGATTCTTTAAACTCCTTCATCATGTTTGATCGCCCTATCAAGATAGGCATGACGGCAGCCAGCACCTGCGACTCCGCATCTCGTCAGAGTCAGGATCATTCTTGAGTGGTGCCAAAGTTTGTCGTTATCAGCTCCATTAAAAAGCACCGGTGATAAGGGCCGTAGTGTGGTGGTGTTTGCGGACCTTGTCAGCTCACTTGCAGTCACAGAAAGTAATTTTGGATGTCAGCCGCCGATGCTTAGACTTGCGACAAGCCGGTCAGTCTATGGACAGACACGGATGCGCGTAGACGCGCGCGCGATTCGAGAACCATGGAACGAACGGTGTTGCTTGTGCTCTGAAAGAAACCCTTTCGCACCTAACAGCCTGGAACAGAATCAGAAGTGACTGCATTTCCATACACAACACGTACACAGAGGTTGCACTCTCGTAAGTATGCTAGCGTGGTGTAAGTAAACGCTTGACACTGAGTGGAATTTGACGAAGCCGCTCGCACCGGCGCTTTGCTGGGCCAATAAAGAATCTGTAGAGTTGCAGTCCCAAAACTGCTGTGAACGGGCGAGGTGTGTCAGCGAAGCCTGTCCTTGCGATGTTGCAGTTTCATCCGTGCAGGCTTAACACGCGACGTGCCCGCGGCCACTCAGGAGAGATTCTTCACGCCCCATGGAGGTTAGAACGGGGTTGTTGTGGAGCGTTGAAAGCAGGACCATGGGTTTGCTATTGTTAAGGTTCTGTGACGGCTCGCTTGTTTGAAGCAGGGGTCAAAACAGGTGTGGCTTTAGCGCGAGCAGCCTGTGGGACGTTTGATTGGTGGTTAGACGACACCGTCTTTTGCAAGCGGTAGGACCGACGATCCCATCCTCATCTGAGCAGTTCGACCACAGTTATGCTCGAAAGAGGTGTGGCTGCGAGCACAAAGCTGCACCCTGCTTGCTCTGATTATTCAGGTACCGCAAAAGCCTATTGCAAAAATTTGACAAGCTGCGAACACATTCAGCGCAGAAACAGCTGATGCGGAGGGCGGGGGAATGCAGCCGTTCTCATCAGCCCACTCCATCTCGATGACATCAACACTTGGCTTGTGCGCAAGCAGAGGCGAAACTCTCACCAACATTCGCCATTTCGCTTGCGTGGCTTGTGTGCCAAAAGCAAGCATGCAACGGTTTCCAGTCAGCGATGAGGCTCAGTGGCGCGCCACGTATCGCGCGTGTTTGCATATTTGCAGTGACAGCATATCAGAGGTACTGAATCTTGGAACTGGCAGTGCAAAGTGATGTCGACGTCCCCATCCTGTTAACCCCCGCGGTGATGGTATCTCAGCCCATGTGGGCTGGAGTCGCGTAGTGCGCGGACACGATGAAGCCGGCGCCGCTGTCCGGGCGAACAGGCAGGCAACGGTGATGAGAGATGGAATGAGGAGTGCTTGCGGGCAGCTTCATGCGTACCTGGTCGCCGCTGCGCTGCTTTGGTTGAAGGGATGCTGTTCCACCGTTTCGAGTTGCGGCCGTGCCAGACGTGCCGCATCCGCTGCACTCGGGAGATTTGGTGAAATTCGGTTCGGCGTGCGCACTCAACTGATAAAGAACATGAGGCCGTGTAATCTGATGGCGCCACCATGGACTCTGGCATCTCCGCTCCGGTACCGTCAAGTCACTGCCAGTCCTTTGTTTTCCCCTCAGCGACACAGTGGACGAGCCCCGCCGACGGCGCGCATCTCAGCATCCCAAACCAGCGGCGTGCTCGCACCTCTCCGCTTCCGCTCCTCACTCGATCACTGATCCAAGTTCTGTCGACCGGTTGCTGCCGCTTGGCTGCATCGCTGCACGCAAATCCTTGGTCTGTTGGGGGGTGGATCGTGCTGCATGCTATCAACTCGCTTGTGCACTGGTGCTGCAGCTGCCCTGGTCAAGGCCGTGCGGCAAATCCTTGGTGGCTTCGGTGGCCTGGGTCCAGCGATTTTCAGAGCACATCCCGGCACAGCGACTGCCACAATAGTCGCGGCCCTGCACCTCACCTGCGCTACCGCTTCTCAACACTCTCCCCTCCCCCGTGTCTGTCTCCAATACTTTTCTAGGCCTTTGCCAGCCTCAGGACCCTTTTAACTGGCCCACCTGCAGACATTGAGCGGTTTCGACACTTGCGACCCCTCTGGTCTTGTCTCTCCACACTTTGGCAGCCTTGCCCTTGAGTCGTGCTTTCCTCCCAGGTATCAACGCATCTGAATCCACGGAAGCCACCGGCCTCGTTCCATCGCAGTCTTTCACCCACGAAAGCTGCAGCAACATCTGTCTCGCGTCCCATTACCAGGTCCGAGCCCATCCGCAGTCCCCTCGACGTCATTGCAGCTTTGACTAGCTGTGACTACCCGCGTCGCGACTCTCTTCCTACGAGAACGTGCATCAAGCCGTTCTTTCACCTAATCCTGTGAGTGTTTGTGCGCCAGACAACGTAGCAGGTGACGAAGCAACGACACAAAGCAGCTGCACATCGAATTGATTGCTTCATTACCAGCTCGCTACGTCTGGCACTGTCCATTATCAAACGGTCACTGATAAAACCCCAGACGACCCACCCCCGTAATAGCTCCATTCTTCTAATGCGCCCGCAACCCTAATACCCTGCCCTTCTTCATTCGTTCTGCTTCTGTCACCCCACGAAGCCGACCGAATGCCTTACACACCGCCCTCCCAGCGCTCGCCAACTTCCTCCAAGCCGACCAGCCCTACCCTCAGCCGAAACCATTCCTACGTCGACACCCAAGCCTCCCAATCGCCTAGGATCTCACAACGGCCAGCGCTCCCGCGCTCGGTATCGTCGACATCGTACCTTCACAAGCACCGTCGCTCGCCCTCGTTTCCCACCGCCACTCCCCTTACCAATGGAACTCCGGTCGATAGCAGCATGGTAAAGTCGCCGACAGACGTTCGTCGGAGCCGCGGCTCTTCAAAGACTAATGGTAGCATTCGCCCGTCTCCTCCTCCTGTGAACGATTCTCTGATACCGTCAGGTGCGATCACCACTCCTCCTGACTCGTCGGACGATGAGGACCGCGGCCGTAGCGTTGGCAACCTGAAGGACCTAGAAGAGGCGCTGCAGCACATCAACGTAAAGAGGGTCTCATCCCCAGAGCGAAATGGAGCTACCACGACGCCGTCGAACACGCCTCAGCTCATGACCGCTGCACGATCACTCTCGGCCGAGGCACGCAAGATTGCACACTCTCGCTCGTCGAGCGAGATCATGCTCTCCAAGCACAACGTCGAGCCTCTCGATACCTGCCCAGTCATCACCACATCATCGGATGACAGCGACGCGGAAGATGATGGGTTACGGATGAAGCCACCGCTACTCCGCAAGAAGTCTGGCGAGCTAGTGAAGCCTGCTCTTCGACCCGCATCACGACGCAGGCCGTCGAGCATGCCTGGTACACCCACCTACTCCAAGGCTGTGCACTTCAACGAGGAGATCGAGCAAGTGCGGCACTTCTTGTCGGTTGACCGACCGATTGCTGTCAGTGCTGGCTCATCGCCCGTTGAGACTTCCTACGAGAGCGAGAACGAGTATCCCTTCGAGGACGACTCCAAGTCTAAGACACCGGAGTGGGAAATCAAGCTGGCTAACTGGCCGTTATCTGAGTCCTACGAGCGACAGACCGCACCTGTGCGTGTCGAGCGTATTGCTCTTGCATCAGACAACCAGACCCTTGTTGGCAACATTGCATGTGCCAACATTTCCTTCCAGAAGCTCGTCGTGGCTCGCTTCACTCTCGATTACTGGAAGACGACATCTGAAGTTGTTGCTGAGTACAATCACGATGTTCGTAAGAAGCAGGCAGACGATGGCTATGACCGCTTCAACTTCAACATCAAGCTCGCTGATCAGGCCAACCTTGAGTCCAAGACTCTGCTACTCTGTGTTCGCTACCAGATCAATGGTCAAGAATTCTGGGACAACAACAACTCGATGAACTACCAGGTCGATTTCACCAAGAAGGTCAAGCAGCAGCAGCAGCCGAAGCCCAGGCGTTCCAACAGCGGTGGTCTTGGTGCGATCCCTCGCAGCAGGCACTCACCTCTGTCATCGCGTCCACGCTCAGCTGCCGCACTTGACGATGACTTCGGTCATGACTTCGAGAACAAGTTCCAGTTTGGCAGCTCTGGCCGCATCACCGGCGATGCACCCAGGTCTGCCATCCGCCTCAAGCCTAAGAGCAAGCAGCGTGCCCAGATGTATCCTGATCAGGGTGCTCGTCGATCTCAGGGCGGTCAGGCTTTCTCGTCTCGCTATGACTTCGGTGCTTCCCTCTCAGCTGCCCTCACCACTGCCCAGACCGCTTTGGGTGACCGCAGTGGCCTCAAGGTCAACACAACCGATGTCAACAAGGGTTACTTCAACCGTCCTGCTCCTCTTGCCAGGTCACACATGACCGGTGCACCCGTTCCTGGAACTCGACCTGACACGTTGTCGTCTGACAGCAAGCCTGACCTCCAATCCGCAGAGTACAACGAGTTGATCCAGAAGTTTTGTTTTGTACGTTCCCAACCTCAACAGCCCGGCAGATTGGCCTAGACGGATACTAATACGGCTTCAGTTCGGCACACCTACCGGTAAAGGCTCACCCAAAGCTACTACGCCTTTGGTCAAGAACGGTCACAGTGACGGTGCGACTGAGTACATGAACAGTGCTGAGTCGTCCGCCACTAGCAGCCCGCCCTCACCAGCTATGCCTGTCATGATAGATGGTGCGAATGACATCAAACCTTCTCGAACACCCTCACCTTTCCTGAACCGCTCCACATCTCCCGGTCCTGTCACAGGATCCGGACCGGAAGACCTTCTTGCCTCTCAGTATCAATATGGGTACAACATGCACGGTGGCATCTTCCCTGAGCGCAGCCACACACCTCAAGCATGCGTTTGAGCTTTGGCTCACATCTTTCCAGGCTACAAGGCCCAGCCTTCATGCCTCACGAATCTTCTCGGCCACGAAGCTACGCTTACGACCTGACTGGTTACGATGAGTGGAGCGGACGTCGCTGTCTTACCAGTGACTGAGCGCTCACGAGTCCTGTTCTTTCCGGTACGAATCGTCGTTGCGAGCCTAGCGATTGTTGTTTCTCTCCGGTCTTTCATCATGGCAATCGGTTTCCAGCATTACCTCCGGACGGCTCCTTTTGCTGCATTTACCGGTTGACCTTATTGCGTGTTCTTTACAGCTGGCGTTCCTGGGACCATTACGGCGTTCCTCGGTATTCCATCTCTTGCTTGTTCTCTGCAGACCATAGATCGGTTTTAATCGCGCTATCGTTTCAGCGACCCCACTCTTGTTATGGAGTTCTCGTCAGTTGTTTCCAACGGGTGGGAACGGAAAAGTCTGGCTTGCATTGCATTTTGTAGCGATTCCCTCATTCTTACAGACCTTCGAGTCTTCGTACATAGGCGGCAGGAGCAAGTGTGGCAGAGAATTCCATCATGTTTTCGTTGCCAGTGGTTACAAATTGTCGTCGGTATGGTCGTGTTGTGTCGATACCTTATACGTTCCTTGTGGTATATTTGTACAGATTGCTGGAGTTCGTGTGATAGTCTGGCGAGTAGGCATCAGCAGCTCATATACCAAAGCAAATACAAAAACATGGCATAACCCCATATATACCTGTGCCGCATCGTGAACCAACCCCACAGTAAAGGTACCTCGTGAGCACTTTTCTTACCGCCCTACTGTGAAGTCTTGCGGTCTGGATCGTGGGTTCCGGTCGGCTGACAACTTTGACAGGTCCGTGTCCCGCCCACCGCCTTCCTCTTTTGTACAGCTCTGCCCCACGACAACACGACCATTGGACCCTGAAACTTCGTGACTTCTTATACCAACTTCTTTTGGGCTTCATTTGACTTTCCTCCGTCGAGCTTCGAAAACAACGCGGAGAAACAGTCTCCGAACGAGTGTCCCGCGTGCACGCCAAAGTCGACGATACGAACCATGTCCTTCTGGGGCAGCAAGGCTGCTCCCCCGCCCCCTCCACCGCCCGCACCGCCTGTCATAGCTGCTACGGGTCCGCAAATCGATGCCACGACAATTGTCTCGTTACTTGGAGTCCTTGCACTCCTTGGCGGAGCTTATGGCGCGAGCATCAAGGTTCTGCCCCAGTCGACCACCATAAAAACGCGTGTTTTGTTCATCTGGCACCTGTTCGACGCGCTCATCCACTTCGTCTTCGAGGGTAGCTTCTTGTGGAACTGCTTCTTCGTCTCCTACGCTCTACCCACATCCTTTACTGCACAGGCCCAGGCGAAGAAGGTCACGCTGTTCACGCCGCCGGATGTGTACTGGCTAGGCAAACAGGATCTGTTGTACGGAGCGAACTATGGGAGCACGCCGTTTAGTCGGCTGTGGCAGGAGTATGCGAAAGCGGACAAGCGGTGGGGAGGCACAGATCTGACGGTCGTCAGTCTGGAGTTGTTGACGGTGTTCGTGGCGGGGCCGTTGGCGCTGTGGATCTGCTATCTGCTGAGTAAAGATGAGAAGAAAGGGGGGTTGAAGAAGTGGTTTTGGATGATTGTCCTAGCCACAGGGGAGATGTACGGAGGTGAGTCACTTTTCCCATTTTCCCCCTGAAGAAGTCGGTGGAGCGCGTGCATTCCTTGCATTGCACTCTGATTTGGTGAGACGGATATGTGGGTCCGCCGACGTTGCGAAGTTGTTGTGTTGCGTGCGTTGGCACTGCGAGAGATGTTGAGGCTGACACGTGGTTCACCGCTCCACCAGGCTGGATGACTTTTGCTCCTGAATGGTTGACTGGCAGTTCGAATCTCGACACGTCGAATTGGATGTATCTGTGAGTGGCACCTCTTCTTTTCAAAATTTCTCCTATCTTCGGTGTTGTTGCTGTACCACTAGGTCGGCGGCTACGAGCACCGATGTCATTCTGCCACTTGCTTCTTATCAGCGTGCATAAAATTGTCTTCACGAGCATGTTGCGAAGATATTTCGGAAGGAAGCGACTGAAGGCGTCCTGCATTCGGATCGCGGTCGGGTCTGCCCTCTCCAGTGGACCCACATACCCACTTCCTCGGTGGCGATTCTCACCGCACCAGTTGCATCGCCGGCACAACTCGCCGAAGTTCTTCCGCGTTACTCTTTGGGAACTTCTCACGATCTCATACATTGTTCCAATTCGCTCGTGGTGAGGCAATACTGACGCTGTCGATACAGCTACCTCTACCTCCTTTTCTTCAACGGCCTGTGGGTCGTCTTTCCCGGTTGGATTCTGTGGGAGGCATACCGAGCCATCAGTGCTGGCATGAGTCAAGCCGAGATGGTCGACCTCGTCAACTACTTGGGCAAGAAGGATGACTGAGCACGATCTCAACTGTCTTCTTGGGTTCGAGGGTACTTGAGGTTAGTACGCGTGTGGTACGCGTTGGGCATTTCTGGGAGCAAGCAGCATAGCGCGGTGGTTTTAAGACTGTTCTCCTTCAGTGTGCAGGTAAAAGATGAATGGAATTGTCGGTGTCTATTTAACGTATAATCTGGGTATGCCAGATGCCAAGTGCAGAGTAATCAAGTCCCACTTTAACAGACACCCATCTTGACCTTACTTCAATCCTGAAAGCACAGCCCTACCGATGAAGACTCCCGAGGACAAGAAGTGGCATCAAGAAGTTGTCCTTTATCCACTGATGGCACACTCATGCCATTAGTGGACAAAGGATGATTTCCCGATATCACTCCCTCCTCAGTTAAATATATTGTCAGTGACAAACGTTGACTTCCCAACGCCACACCATCTCCTCTAAAGGCCCGACTTTCTTTCACTCAAACTCGATCCGGCCCCCTCCACCACGTCCTCTCAGACACCACCCTCGCAGCCCTCCTCCTAGCCTGCCGCCTCAAATACCAGCTCATCCCCAATGCTACAACGAGCCCCAGACCGAACCCTATACCCACTAGTATCCAAAATAGCCCTTTGTGTTCACTCTTGCCGGCCAGCTCGAAACGTTTTCGTAGAGTGTTGCTGGCGAAGTGGATGCTGTTTGATGGGGTGCAGTAGAGGTTCTTTAGGAGAATGGTGAATGTGGAACTGACGGATTGAGGGGTGAGGAAGGTGCACGTGGCTTCGGAGACGGAGATTAAGCTGAGGAGGCTGAGGAGGAAGAGGGTGGCGATGGCAATGTAGCATACTGTGGTGTCGGTTGGGTGGTCGCTGTGTGCATCTGCGGGTGACGAGGCAGCCACAACGTCGTCGTTGGTGGCGTGATTTTCGTTGGCGGTGCGCTTTTCGTTGAGGTCACTTGAGATGCCGAGAGATGCCATCTCTTCGTCCATGATCGCTAAGTATCGTGTGTTGTTTTGAGAGCCTGTGGACGTCTTCTGCATAGTCAGTAAGCATGATTCAAGTAGATTGACAGTGTCTTTGGTGCGACTAGGCGCGAGACGTGTACTTACGACTTATGATTTTCAGGAGGTAGTCTGTAAGTATTCGAGTTGCCGATACTGACGAAAGTCAGTTCAATATATCGTGAGGATGATAGAAGTAAGGAAGAGTTTTATGTTGTGCAGGGAGTTTTTGGTCAATGTGAGAGGACCCTTCGGTACCATGGAGCGTGGAACTGCGAACTGTGGTTCCTGCTTGAACCCGTATATTGCATACCGAACAAGTTGCAGTTTATTTTGGGATCTTTGTGATATTGCTACATTTGAGGAGAAATCTCTATTTATTGAACTCGCCGGCAATTTTGAAGCAACAGTATAGTGGATTCTTATTCACCGGATGAGGAACAATGCAAGGTGATATGGTATGTTGAAAGTAGCTTTTGCAAACTGACTTATCTCGAGACTTCTATTCCCGAGTGATATCGTTAGGAAGCTTCGATAAGTAACCGCCTTTGCAACAACCAATGACAGCCTCCGAATACAAGTTTTCGAATCGGAAATTATTTGGTGATACCATCGATCTTGCACAAAACAACTTCCCGCGTGAGTCCGAAATCGAACACATTGGAACTTCTGCGGAAAATTGCTCGTATCGTTGCGATATTGAATTCTCTACAAGCAAGCTTTCATCCCTCGTGGTTCGCACTGCGTATCACTTCTTTGGATTGGTGACTATCACCGTACCGTACAGATGAGTGGACTGTTTTTCTGTCCTCATGACTACGCCAAACCCTCGAAGCAGCTCTACACGCGGACATTCCGAGGGTTTCAACTCAATTCTTTGGTGCAGGCGGGATAGTCGTGGGTGCAGAGTTTTGGAGATAGTTCGCCCAGTCTCAAAATAATATGAGGTATGCATACACTGCCTGCTCCATCATCTGCGCTTACTCAAAAGTTTACCCTACCTTGTAGCGTCTGTTTCCGGAATCTACTTGCAGTACGGATGATCATCAGTTCACGAGAAGTATTCTATTGCAAATGCATCAACTTTGTGAGGAAGACTAATGCATGTTGACTGCACGAAATGATGTGGCTTACATCACAGACATTTTCGCTTACGCAAAGCATTGAAGACGGAAAGACTCGGTAAGAACAGAAGGTCCATGCGTGGCTCGGACCAAGTCTTTGTCATGTTGGAGGGGCTAGGTTTGGACAGGGAGCATGCATCGTCTCGAAACGCCAAGCTCAAACCTTACTGAGACGTGCGACCCCAGACTGTCGATAATGAACAAAGAACTACGCAATATGAGAATGTGATTATAGGCACGCGAGGAAGGGCTGATTAAGGCAGGCTAACACCTCATTGGACTAACTGTTCAGCGTCTTGAGTATTTACGCTTCCCCCTATTCGCTCCACCATTAAGCAACTCAATATCAAATACATAAGCATTACCCGTCATCTATTCATGCAGAGAAGATAATCCGTGAGCCAGTCACAACGCCCTCACTTCTCCGCTAGCATCCTGAGAAGACGCTTAGTTGTTGTTCTTGTTGCCCTTGCCGCCCTTCTTGCCACCAGCGGCAGCAGAGGAAGAGGCAGCGGCAGCAGCACCGGTAGCAGTGCCCTGAGAAGCAGCACCACCGGCAGCGGTGTTTCCAGTAGCAGCGCCGCTCTGAGTCTGGGTACCTTGGGTGTTACCTGTCTGCTGGCCGTCTAGATGATGTTAGTTAAGCTCGTATCAGGGGTGGAAATGAAAGAGACGTACTGGTTCCCTGTGTACCCTGAGTGTTGGTGCCGGTCTGAGTGTTGGCCGTACCAGTTTGTCCGTTGGCGCCAGTCTGAGTGTTGCCTGTGCCAGTCTGAGTGTTGCCTGTGCCGGTCTGAGTGTTGCCTGTGCCAGTCTGTCCGTTGGCGCCGGTCTGAGTGTTGCCAGTGCCTGTCTGAGTGTTGCCTGTGCCAGTCTGTCCGTTGGCGCCGGTCTGAGTGTTGCCAGTGCCGGTCTGAGTGTTGCCAGTGCCAGTCTGAGTGTTGCCAGTGCCAGTCTGTCCGTTGGCGCCAGTCTGAGTGTTGCCAGTGCCGGTCTGAGTGTTACCAGTGCCGGTCTGAGTATTTCCAGTGCCGGTTTGAGTATTGCCAGTCTGGCCGTTGGCACCCGTCTGAGTGTTTCCAGTTTGGCCGTTAGCGCCGGTCTGAGTCTGCTGTCCGTTGGTGCCAGTCTGCTGGCCGTTGGTGGCACCAGACTGAGGAGCGGGGTTGCCAGCCTGGGCGGCGGCCTGAGCAGCGGGGATACCGTTGGTCTGGAGGTCAAGCTGACCGTTGCCGGTACCTTGCTGAAGAGCCTGAGCGGCGGCGAAAGCAGCCTGGGGAGTACCAGCGGGCTGGCCAGGGAGAGTAGCTCCGTTGCTCTGGACACCACCAGCAACACCAGTCTGGTCGCAAACTTGGGGACGGACAGCCTGGGAGCTGGAGCCAGTGGAGGCCATGTAGGCATCGATGTTGGGGAGAACGTTGGTGCAACGGTTCTGGTTGATCAAGTCGATGTTGTTAGCAGCGGCCTTACCCTGGACAGACATGATCTGGAGCTTGTCGACGACATCCTGGAAAGCACCACCGGTGGCAAGGGTAGAGTTGGCGGCCTGGACGTTGGGCTGGCCAGCGTTGGCAGCATCGATGATGGCCTTGTGGTTGAGCTCATCGACCTCGGCGTTGTAGGCGACGAGAGCCGCCTGCTTGAAGGCGGCATTGTTCTGGATGCTGGCGCCGGTGTTGAGGAAGTTGGAGACCATGGAGGTGTCGGCCATCCAGTTGGAGACAGCGGTGGCGAGGTCACCAGCGGTGGGTGTCTGGCCATTGGTGCCAAGGGTACCAGCACCAGCACCGGTGTTCACGTTCTGTGTTCCTTGCTGCTGTGTCTGGCCATTGCCCTGCTGCTGCTGGGAAGCCTGGTTGTTGCCACCATTGTTGTTGCCGCCATTGTTATTGCCGCCATTGTTATTGCCGCCATTACCATTACGGTTACCCTGCTGGGCAAAGGGAGCAGCAAGAACTGCAGAAGAAAGAAGAGAGGCGACGAGAATGTACTTCATGGTGAATGTAATATGTCGGATCAACCGAACTGGATATTAAATGCTCAAGTAGAGAGTGGTAAAAAGAACTGAAGGAAGTTGGAATCTGCTAAATAGAAGTTATTAGCCTGTTAATGAATGTGGAACCTGTCCGATGATGAGATTATGGGTGCAGGCAGTCGAGGTATTTGTACTCGTTGAACATCAGATCGCGCGCCGTTACCCAAACGCATAAACACTCCGTGAAAGCACATCCGTCGTATCAGTCTGGACAGCGATCTGGAACGAAGCCGTTTGCGAAGACTTGGCACCTATTCTGGAGGCAGGAAATTGCTTGACCTGACAGCGTCGTAGTGTGCCAGGCAATGCACCAGGCGACCTCCGTGGTGCCGAACTCTGGCGGACTGAGTGGGCTGAGGCTGAATCTCCAGACGCAAAGACGGGGTCTCGCTGGGTGCACCTGGTTCAAACAGCAATTGCAGCTGCCGAACCTGTTTTGTGTTCCGGTGTCATTGTTTTGATGGCGTCTGAGGATCAGTTTCGTCTGTCTTGGCACGCGAAGCTTGCCGGAGATCACTAAGTCTTGTCTCAAACTTTAACCTCGCCTGATGGTCAATGCGCATTGTAAAACGGATATCGAGATGTTCCGTCTCCGAGGAGTAGTTTGTATTCGCTCTCAACCTCGCTGTGATTTGACAGGCGTCGTATGCTGCACAATGTGCAGGCACCAAACTTTGTTATAAGAGCCACAAACACGAGAGCCCGCAAAGAACTCCAGAATTGTTTCACAGGCTTCTATAGCGCATGTCAATCGAACGAGATGCTTTTTGGAGGTATGAATGCAGCTGCGAGAACGATGAATTTGTTCGGAAACGAGTCGACCGAAAAGTACTGTGTAATGCATTTGAAGTGGCAAAGCTGGCACGATGTTTCTTTGCGTCGTGCTTTTCGAAGAAATGCAATGTTTGAGGCAGCCTTTACCCCGCTGTCATGCTTGTCAATACGGAGGTATACAATGCGAAGTGCGGTATGAACCGCCGCCCCGGACTCTACCATGCCTTCTACCACGATTCGAGCAAGACATAGTAGGACTCGATGGCCTAACACGAGCGCTTGGACTTCAGCGATTGGCGCATGGCTGGTCTCTGAACATGTTTCAAAGCATCAGCAGACGAACAACTCTGTACCATGGTCGACCTGGTGCATTGTCAATGTGGAAGCTGCCGCTTCGTGGATGGCGAACGACTTCGTGTCTGGCACTCGACAGCGTAATTATTGCCGCTACATGTTAGACTCTGGCATCTTCGACATGGGCACCCTCCGCCCGTTCATCGGGCCAACCGCTCCATTCGGTACCGCTCAGTGTGGGGTCCATTTGGGTTTCGATCTTCCGCACGATACGAGCCGGGTTACCTGCCACAACCGTGAAGTCGGGGACATTCTTCGTCACGACACTTCCAGCACCCACAACACAACCTCTGCCTATCGTGACACCGGGAAGAATCAGGGCGTTTCCTCCGATCCAGCAATCTTGCCCAACGTGGATCTCTTTCCCGAGCTCAGGACCGCGCGTTCCCTGGCGGATCACTGGATCTAGGGGATGCGTGCCAGAGTAGAACGAAACATTGGGGCCGACAAGCGTACGGTCACCAATCTTAATCAAGCAAGTGTCAAGGAACACTGAGTTGAAGTTGATGAAAACGTTCTTGCCGAGACGAACGTTGTAACCGTAGTCCATGGCCACTGGAGGCTCAATCCAAGGATCATCTTCAAACAGCGCATCGTCCTCCTCGGGTGTTACCGCTTGAGGTGGCAGTGGGGTCTTGTCTTGGATGATGCTGTTGAAAGATCAGAAAGAGTATTCCCTCCGAGAGATGAGGGACTGTGAACTCACTTTCTGAAAAGCTCAGTCAGTTTTCGGCGCGGCACTTCGCCAGCATTTGTGTAGCGTGCACACGCATGTTTGCAACGTGCTCGTTCTGCAATGAGCCCTGGAGTGAACGCTATGTAGAGCTCTCCACGAGCCATGCGCTGCTTGTTCTCTGAGAGAGCCATAATGGTGACGTGCGAGTATACAACGATCTCAAGGGTCTCGGGACTATAGGTGGGAAGGTGACCCTGTTTATCAAGGCCAGGCAGGAAGTCGTCCGTCCGAGATCGTGCCTATCAGACGAAGTCTCAGGTCTACATGCTGAATGTAGAAAGAAGCTCCGATGGTGGTGGGGCGTGAATCGTACCCGGGGCAATCGCGACTTATTCGTGATTATGTAAGGATACCATGAGACACTAGTCTAAATAAAGCTTAGGCTCAATGAGATCATGCGGGCGCGTTGTTCGCGAGAGCGTCTGAACAATGGCAGGACAGCCCTTGCGCTCTTGATATTGTCCGCATCTATTTGCATTAACTTGCGCTCCTTGCGTGCGCTTCTGCATCTTCTTCTGATTATGCCGTAGGCTTCTTGTACCTTTTTTTCAGCCGTGGCTTCCTCACAACTCGTGCAAACATGGCATCGAACGGATCAGCGACCTCGTCACACGACATCTCGTTCCCAGTGAACCGCCCGGCACAGCAGGTTCAGTGGACTCCAGAGTTTGACGCCAGTGTACGCGCACGAGAGGTCTCGAGTGTACAGATCGAGCCTGCGAACTCTGTACCGCCAGAATACTATCCGAATGGAAAGCGCTCACTTGCAGGCATTGGGCTGCGTGCCTTCTTCCTGGGCAACGCTGCGATAATAGGCCTCTTTTTCGCCGTACAGCTTGCATACCATGGCAGCCATTTATGGCGACCGTTTCTCTTCCTCGGCACTCTCTCTGTGTTCCACTTCCTCGAGTTCTACACCACGGCTGCTTACAACACACCGGACGCAAAGATAGGCTCGTTCCTGCTGACGAATGGCGCTCAATACCGAATCGCGCACACAGTGGCCTTTACCGAGACCATCATCACCTCTTGCTTCTTTCCTGGCTGGCAGTCGAAGGTCCACTCGCCGGTGGCTATACTTGCAGGCATCATCACGGTGTTGATGGGGCAGGTGGTGAGGAGCATCGCTATGGCACAAGCAGGCACAAACTTCAACCACCAGGTCCAGTCAAAAAAGAACGAAGGTCATGAGCTTGTGACTCGCGGCTTGTATGCGTACTTCCGTCATCCGTCCTATTTTGGCTTCTTTTGGTGGGGCATTGGCACTCAAGTCATGATCGGGAACATTGTGTGCACCTTGGGCTATGCTGGAGTCTTGTGGTTCTTCTTCAAGACCAGGATCAACCGTACGTGTCCACTCATATGTTCAAATTAGAGATACTGTGCTGACACAACGCAGACGAAGAGAAGCATCTCATCCAATTCTTCGGAAAGAATTACGAGACATACCGAGTGAACACACGCGTCTGGATACCTTTCATATAACATCAGGTTGGGATAATCGAGGGGTTTTATAATAGTTTTCACAAGCTCGAGTAGTACTTACGTCAAGCTACAACAATCGAGCAGTTGCACCTGGTCCACATTTGCGCTATCGATGCCATCGACCGACAAAGAGAGTAGCGGCCTTCGAATGTACACAAGTCCTGAGGCTATGCGGAACCTGGTCGATATTCTCGCGGCCTATCATCACAACCTGGCCAATAGTTACGAACCTTATCTCAAATAGAACGATCAACGACATGAAGAGCAGCGATGAATAGGATGCCAGTGATTAACGTAGAGGATGGGACAAGTGGCTAAATGTGTCTCGTAGGACAAGCATTGGACAACTGGGCAGAATCTAGTTCAGATAGTGTACGTCGAACTTGGAGTATACACGAGTGAACACAGGGCCTAAGGCGTATCGATCAAGACCGTATGACACAGACGCACACCAAGTTGATTAACGAACATGGGCAATCATCCACTTTCATGTTTTAGACTCGCCGATATCAGGGTTATTATTACTACTGCAAGTTGTACGTCAACATCAAGATCAGACAGCCGGTCATATCATGCCCGTACGAACGACCTCTGTGCCCTACCTCTAACCTCAGGTTCTTGGCTACCGTGGACAATGTCAATGGCTCAGATTATCACCGCAATGAGTCTGTTTACCTTCGTCTACACACAGATGCTCTCGATTCGGTTGAACGCCTTGATTACAAGCACCAGCAAAACTACCCCTACCTGCCAAGTTCATGTACCTTAGCTTCGGCACTGGTCGCTGCGAAACGCTTTTCACACTGACTTGTCTCAGTAAGAAGTCTGTAAGTTCTACGTTCCAGCCCTTATAGACCATGTCCTTTATTTCTCTGACCTGCTTTCGGAAGGAAAGCTTTGCCATGACTTGAACTTCATTGCAACGTCGAAACAACGCAAACACTAAGACATGGGTATGAGCTAAGCTCCAAGAGTAGTGTCTACGTTGGGTAAAGCAGCAATAGACCATGACCAAAAGCATGGATACAGATGAGTTGACGGTTAAAGTCAGTTGGGTGAAGTCATGAATTGCCAGTGCCACCCCAGGAATAGCTTGGACAAACAAAGAAACCCCCACTTCGCAAAGTAATGCAAAAGTACCCGATCTGTCCGTGAAAGTGAACTTGCCGTAAAACCCAGGCAATGCTGACGTTAGTCTGAAAAGCAGGCCCAATCCCATGCAAGACCTTGAAAGAAAAACCTCCATATGCCCAGTCTCGGTCCCCCAGACGCCGGCCCGACCCATATCATCGTAGAAATTGTCGAATCATATTGCTCGAAGCGCGATAGAGTTTCTCAATGGAAATCGTCTCGTTGCCAGTGTACGGTCGATCGCAGTGGAATGGGTTGCTGAATTGAACCATTCACGAAAACCTCGCATTCTCCTTCACATTCTCTGCTGGTTCGTTGTCCTCGAAACCGACCAGCTTATCCGATACGGTGTTCATGTTCAGGCCGATCTTATTCCAGTTGAGACGCTTGCCACCCTCTGCGCTATTGCAGAGGAGACACTTTTCTAGGAGATTGACAGGCGCCGTACCAACCGATAGAATCTACGAAGCCCAGACTTCCTTGCGTTCACCGATGGTTGGATCTGGCTCGGTGTAGCCGATGAGCATACGACGACGTCGGTTGCTGGAGTACTGGATGGTTGCGCGTCCTTGTTGGATGTTGAGCGCCTATCGACGAGATCTCTAGATTCTGAAATCCAGAGCTGCTCCTGAAACCTACGGGGGGATTGACCCCAGCTGCACCTTTAAGACCTGATCCAACATTGTGGGCGGGCCAAATTGGATCGTCCCAAGCTGCCGGGCGTGCTTCTTCAAGCCCTTCGTCAGGACTCGTGCGAATTCAATTGGCGTAGTGTTCAGGTCGATTGGATACTCGGTCTGGAGTAGTCTGGCGGCTTGACCGGGACCATCGTATAGACGCGACATTATTCCGGCATGCTCCGTCGAGTACCAGAAATACCAGAGGGGAACGCATGCATCTCGTTCTTGGTGCGTGACGATCTTGGAGTATCCCACAAACATGCGATTCGTCCCGTCATCCCTGCCAGAGAGTAGAAGACGTCCTCGCGCGACCTTGTTGAAGTTAGAACGTCAGCAATCCGGCACTCTAATCGGTTGGAAACTTACACGGTATATGATGGGTGGAGGTGCCATATCGGGATGTGAAACGTTGGTCGAAGTGACAAATGCTTGTGGTTTGGGAAAGAAGGAAGGCGTTACTGCGCCGAAGGAATTTTCCCTTTGTATGCAGCAAAAGAAGGTAAGCGACGGACATGGTGAGAGAAGTCACGATCTTACGCAGAAGAGCCTCAAAAGAACAAAGGGTAAAAGTGACCGGAGCTGATGGCGTGCACCGATGTTGATGAAGCACCCTGCACGAGTCGAACGGCATATGCGAAAACCATACATATCAACTGATGTCGAAAGCCTCATGTCACGATGGCCCTGTTCTGAGCAATGTGCTACGCCATTTTCTCGATGAGGATTGCCGTGCCCGTCAAATGGCGAATGGATCTTAGTGCAATATGTGCCAAGCTGATAATCGTCTCGATACAGCCTGAGGAGTAGCAAAAGCTTGTCTACTTGGGCGTTCGAAACCTCAGGCACGCTCACTTGGTCATGTTTCCGGATCCTCAGGTTCCGTTCATTCGAGGGATGGGCGTCTCATAGAGGCCTGAAAGTCTCATCGTCGTGCCAAGTATGAAACCGTTACACAGGACGCAGTTTGTCACGACTCCTCTTGCAGAGCAACATCATGCTCTGAATCGCTGCACGTGAGCATCGAAGCTCCTTTGTTGATGTTGCTATGAAGGTAAGGTCGAAGTCGGCTCCCTGCATACACCCTAGATCGCGTGACGCGCTTGACCGCCCGTGCGTGCCCCTCACGTAACCGTGCAGCACATGTCGACAAGCTGCGAGTTGGGAACCTCACATGTGCTGTCTCACCGAAGCCTGGCGAGCGATGCGAGGAAGCCCAGATGCACGCTGGTGATGAGCTGGCAACTGATGACGCCGCCCCAGCTGAAGTCGCCAAGCGCTTGAGTCGCTGACTACATACGAGCAGCTAGCTCGTCACCGCCAACAAGAGAACTGGCCTAGAGCGCCCTTGATCAGGCTGCGAAAGTCGCGTTGCAATGGCAGAAGGCGAGCGAAGTAGTGGCGTGCAGGGTGATCTCGAGAAGGAATTGACGTGCTCGGTGAGTTGGTGCTCGTTTTTGGAGGTCGGAGTTACGAAAGAAGGCGGGGGAGAAGCGGTGGGAAGGAACACTCAAAGAATAAGAAGGAAGAACGATGTACTCCAAAAAAGAAAGATCAGTGGGTTCAGATTGGAGTCGTTCCTTTTGCGGTGCTTTTGTTGTGGAAAGCTGGGATGCGCCTGCTAACAAACCCCAGATCTGCACCGATCTCCTCTACCAGCCGCTCACACTCCTCGATTGCCTTCACACCTTCTGTGGAGCTTGCTTGAAGGAATGGTTCGCCTTTCAAGCCTCAGCGGCGACGTCAATACACCCGTATACCTGTCCATCATGCCGCACCTCAGTGCGCTCCACACAGCCGAATGCAACCGTCACTACGCTACTCGATATCTTCTTGAAGGCGAACCCAGGCAGAGGAAAGAGCGATGAAGAGAAGAAGGCAGACAAAGACAAGTATAGGCCAGGTGACAATGTACTACCTAAGCTACGGCGACGAGGTGGACTGGAAGATGAGGGCGACCGCAGAATGCTCGAAGAGGTGCAGCAGCTCAGCCTGAGGGAAGCTGGCATATCGAGCGGCAACAACAACACCTTGGAGCCGCCCAGAGAAAGACGAGGGCACGAAAGGAGCCGTGAAGGCAGTAGAGAGTCGAGGAGAAGTCGAGATGAGAGACGGTCTACGAGTCGCAATACCTCACCAACACGAGTCGTCGTACCAACCAGAGCTATCGAGCATCAATCGAGTCTGCGATCGCTGCTTAGCGCATCAGATCTGGGCGCGGAGGATGTCGATGAGGACCTCGTGCGCCACGTACTGGAGGAGCTGCTCGCTGAAGGCGTGGATCTGAATGACATCGGCACTACGCAAGAGGAGGAAATCACGGAGAGGATCGCTGAAGCTGTGCGAAGGCGCCAAGCCGAAAGACAGTCAGAGCGGCAGCGGGAGCGGCGCGAAAGACGAGATAGGCTAGCAAGAGAAGGCTTAATGAGCTCGTCTCAGACATCATTGCCTCAGCCACTGCGTAGCGCACCTCTGCGCGAGGAAGACGCGTCGCGAAGACGGGGTCACGGGCGCTCAGAGAGCAGAACATCAACACCACAGAACGGCACAAGGCACGGCCCGCCAATATCGCGCCCTGGTCTGATCGATGCGGCGAATGACGGTGGCCGGCACCACAGACGCTCTTCGAGCCAAGGTAGTTCAAGATCATCGAGAAGGGCAGACCGGCCACCACCTCTTGCCGTCTCGTCTGCCAGACAGAGCAGCAATGGGCAGGAACGAGCCTCAACATCGGACAGTGCGCCGGCACCAAGACGTCGACAATCTGACAATCAACAGAGCAGCACTGTAGACCAAAGACAACAATTTCGCCGCAGTATTTACGATAGCATGGCTGCTGCAAGTCCGGTCTCACCCCTGACGACGGGCTTCAACATGCCTTCGAGCGACAGCCCTACCAGCACATTAGCAACGGTCGCCTCGCCATTGCACTCATCGCCATCATCGACCCCCGCCGAGACACCCTTTCGGGCCCCATCGTTGCGTCGAATCACAGATCCGGCTGGTGGACGACCACCTCGTGTGTCCCTCACAGGCACTCCACCGCTGGTGTCGCCACCATCCTTCCTGCGTTCGACGACTGATCCAAACATCAATGAAGCTCGCTCACAGCAAGCTTCGGCATCAGCTCTTTCAGCTCCCACTCTATACGCCGAGCCACATGTGTCATGCAAATCGTGTGGCAAGGATCATATAGAATACGAGTTGCACTACAATTGCCAGCGGTGCGACGATGGTGACTACAATATTTGCCTGCGCTGCTTCCGCTTTGGCCAAGGCTGCAGGCACTGGTTCGGTTTTGGCTGGGCTGCATGGTTGCGATACGAACGGCAGGCCCCTCAAGGTGGCTACCCTCCGAACAGTGAGCACCCTCATGTTCTCACTGGGCATCGATATCGAAGGCCACTTGCCCAACTTACCGAATCGTCGACGCTACCACATGTGCTCATGAGCGAGCACAACCCCGAGCAGCGGAAAGAAGTAGGCGTGTTTTGCGATATCTGCAAAGCGTTTGCAAATGCATGCTACTGGAAGTGCGACTATTGCAATGAAGGCGAGTGGGGCTACTGCAACGACTGCGTCAATCAAGGTCGTCATTGCACGCATCCTCTCCTGCCGGTTGCACACAAGTCGCAAACAGACACATCAGACAGCCCTGAAGTGTCAGCACCCTCGACTCCTCACCACAATACCGACAGTCTTGCACCGCCTGATCACGACTACGAAGCCACGACGCCTCCATTGACACCAAAGACCGCATCGCTGATGCGCGGTCCCATTCTCTTCACTATAGCGAACCTTACCTTCCGCCCACTGACTTTCACGACCTTGTGTAACGTCTGCAGATATCCCATTCCACCCTCGAATACTCGCTACCATTGTCTTAAATGTAACGCAGGCGACTACGACGCCTGTATGGCTTGCTACCACAAGCTAGTGGTCTCGAATCGAATCAGCAAAGAAAACGGTGTCAATGGCTGGCGAAAGTGCTTCCGAGGCCACCGCATGGTCGTTGTTGGATTTGAAGATCGCGACGGCGGGCAGCTGCGTATCGTTGTGCGTGATCTGGTTGGCGGCTGGGCGCTGAAAGATGGTGATGAACAGGCAAGGTCTCCAGCATCAAGAGCGCTGCAGAGGTATCCGCCAGATGGCGGTACTGGCCTCAGACTACAAGCTCGATGGGGATATTGGCCTGAGGACGGTGTCAAGGATGAGCTGACGTTCCCAAAGATTGCGGAGATAAGAGAGGCAGCAGATGTCAACGGGGAATGGTACTGGGGTGTGTATTGTGGCATGATGGGCTTGTTCCCTGCAAGTCATGTTGCGACACTTTAAGGAAACAAAACTCAGTATCAACGCAAATCAAGATGAACACAACCACAGAAGCGTGACCGGCACCGATGCCAGCATCCGTATACGAGCAGCTCCTCTCTCACCTGCCAAAATGATAGTTGCGCCAAACGCCTCCGCACTTCTCTCACTCGCCTCCGCTGCCGCGACTGCTCTATATAAGGCCTTCAATCCGCCTCCACTTGCCTTTACAGTTTTCTCTGCTCCCCACCTTCGTGCAGAACACGGCCCCTTTATTGCTCGTCTCGCGGCATCTCCTCACACTTCACACATCACACCACGCCGCAGTCGTGGACAGTGTAAGTTTCATTGTCTTCCTGACCGGGCCCTTTGTAGGTCAACGCCAGCTCAATTTTCATTGTTAGCTAACTGCTCGCTCAAGTCTGCGATAAGCTCGGTCGAGTTCCTACCCCGATGCATTCTAACCACACCACCCGGCGCCTGCCTTGTGGTAATTCCAAGCTCAACATACACAATGTCCGTCAACCACTATTGTGCATCTGGATTGACGCCGATCTGGATCCTGATGACGAGTTGCTATCGGAGCGCGGAACCTATAACCAGTCGAAGGCGGCGACAAGCTCGATCACGACGAATCGCCCGTGGACCGAGATATCCTGTCCGAGCAATGCTTTGCCAGCATGGCAGCCGCTCAAAAGAAGGATGCCAAGGATAATGCCGCTCAGAAGGTTGGGAATTTGGAGCTCCAGATCAACATCGTCAGCAAGGACCCTAGCAGAGGGATTGACCCGGAAGCCGCTGCAACACTTGCTGATGAAGCAGCTCGCGCCTCCTACTACGCTCTCTTGCTTCTCTGCCCGCCTCAAGTCCTCGAGCGTATGGCCCATCTCGCTCCAGCCGACTTGAAGCTCAAAACGCAGCCAACTATCGCGAAGCTACAGGATATTTGTGAGAAGCAAGTTATCTTGATGAAGCGTTTTCTTGCGAAGTCAGTTTGAGGATACATGCGAGCTCTTGAGAAGGAGATAACCTATTGTCAGGGCCTTCGCAGGTCAACGTCAGAGCCAGGTCTGAAGATAATGCTGGCGCGGGATTGCGCGTGGTAGTGTCGCACACAGTCTTGTAGGGAGAGACTGCGGTGAGCACATAAAGACCGGAGACACCAGACACTATGGATTTGAGGATGAGCGGCGTTTGCTAGATTGGATAATTCTCCTGCAGCTACATAGAGGAGCCACAATGAACGATGAACATCAGCCGGCAACCCCCGGAGACCGTCAACTCCCAACAAGCAAACAAGACAGAATCATTTCAAATGCTCCTGGGCACATCATACACACCGAATCTCAACAACGAACGCATCACACGAGCGCACTTACTCTTCCGCCAACATTGCATTCTTCACCTCCTCGTCGATCTTCTGCTTGTCTTCGACCCACTTCTGCACTTTGAACTGCTCAGCGTCAATCTTGAGATCTATCTCTTCGAATTCAGCAGTCATCTTTCGAACCAAGTCGTTCTGTGGTCCGCTGGCACGTAGAAGCTTCTGCATTAGTGTCTGCTGCTGCTCGTTCTTATCCTTCATCTCTCGTATCTCACCTTGCCGGCCTTGGATGCTCCGCGAGAGGTTGGTGGATCAGTTACGACGGGCTTTGAGCTGTGCTGCGGTCAAGGCTGTAGAAACTGGAGTCTAGGGAGACGCCTTGGCAACCTCAGAGATCGAACCAGAGTAGGGGCCTGGTGTGCTTTGGGGTTGATTCTGAGTGGTAGTATCAGTAGTGGAGCCTGCGTCAGAATCGGAGAGACGTGGTGTGCTCTTAACTTTGTACGAAGCGACCCACTCTTCGAGGCTCATGCGGGTGTTGGTCTGGGTTCCCAGATCCTTTGTCACCGTAGGACGTTCATCCATCTCGGTGCCTTGATCTACCATCATCACGTCTCGTTCTGGCTCGGCCTGCGTCTCACGATTCACAGCCTGGCGCTTGGGTTCTGGAGAAGTAGTGTCAGGCAACGAACGGTTGACCCCTGCAGCCATATCTTCTACGCCGTTGCCTTCTTCGGAGCACATCTCTGTCAAGACGGCTTTCAAATCTGTCCCAGTCGGCACACCCTCAGCAACCAACCCCTTCAACTTCGTTTCCCAAGTCAACAGGAAGCAGTATCGTACCTGCGCCCGCAATTGTTTCCATCTGGTCATCGCGGCGAAGCACGGGAAGGAAATAGACATACTCGGCGAAGACTTCCCACTTGGAGAAGAGGTCTTTGCCCTCGACACCTACGACACCTACAAGATAGTCCCCCACAATATTGACAAGAGATTCTTCAGCAACGATGTCAAATTGTATGTTTGGATTCGCCCGCATTGTGTTGTCCAGATAAGCGTAGATTGGCAGAAAGCTGTATGGTGAATTGTCGCTTGGAGAAATGCAGTAGCCGACCAGGAGGGCTACGGACAGCCAATGTAACGACCGAAGGCCCTTGACACAAGAGAGTGTGAGTTGATCGGGCTGGGTCACTCTTTTACGAGGGAGAGAACGAGAGTTTGAGCTAGTTGCACCGCGCCTAGACCCAACGCAAGAAGCTCATGAGCAGCTTGTCGCTGCTCAGCCTTTTCGGTGAGAAAACTTGTGAAAGCGAGGTGATTTGAGCGGATCAAGCTCTACGAACCACGTCGAGGCTTACGTTGGACCTGTAAAAGGGGCCGATACCGTGTATTTTGCTTTTCAATACACTTCCTTTTCTGTTTCTGGCTTCTGCTCTACAGCCTGTGCATTCCTCTCTTTAGCCAACCTCTTCTGCTCCGCCTTGTATATGGGTAGCGTCATTTTCGGTGTGTACTTCCGAGGCGCATCACCGTTTTCGTTGACTCCAGATCCCTCGTCCATTGTGGTTGTGCTTTCGTTCCGTGTCCGCCTTGTGAAGGTCATCTTAGGGATGACACCAATTCTCCGCATTCCATGCTCTGTTAAGCGTTATTTTATCCTGATTTTCTCATAACTCATCCTTCCATGGCTCAACCTTCCATGGCTCCACCTGCCTTCTTTGGCTTCCCCTTCCCTTCCACGCTTCCACCTAATCCCATGATTCCACCTAATTGGACCACACCTTTCTTGTTTCATCTCTCCGAGCCAATAACCAACGGCGAACGCACAGCACGGTGGCTGGGGTCTGTCGACTACGCGCATCAGTGTCGGTGGGTTCGCGCAAGGGTTAGAGCAGGACATATGCGTACAGAAAGTGAGATGCTTCGGGGATCTCTGAAATGGTATGAGGGCTACTCAGATCAGTTTTTGAGACACTCTGTCAGAGCGATAATTAGAGGTTATGATGATTTTCAGGCGCGGGGTGCTGCATGCTACGTGAACAATTAGCGTGGTGGGCGAGACAGCGCGGAGCTAAATTGAGGCCAAGTTTCGATAGAGACGTCGGAAACATGGTATGAGTGAGAAAGACGATATGGATGGGCAAGGCCTTACCGCTGGTAGGATCGATGGATATGTGCCTAGATTGAAAATTCGTGATCTCAAGTTATTTTGGTCTGTCACTGTTGTGTCTGAATCTGCACTCGTACTCGAGCTTTCAGGTTGCCACGCCCTCCCGCTTGGATCTCCATTTCCATTCAAACTCAACAGATCACACACCAAGTCACTGTCCCCATGAATGCTACATATCACCCTCACACTTGACGCCTCCACGGCAGACCATGTATAAATCCTCTGTGTGCCTGATTGCTACTCCGCAACATATCTCCCACAACAAGAATAACAGCACCCAACCATCAGACCAACAACAGCTCCATCAAAATGTGTACATGAACACAGAACAACTACCTCTGCGGTTGCGTACTACGAAACGACGGGTGGTACACGCGGTGCGACGACGTGAAGTACGGCGTCGCTGGGTCCTGCCCAGGAGGACTGAGAATCAAGACTATTGAGAACTCGGTGAGGTGTAAGAAGTGCAAAGACCATGATAAAACGTGCGAAGCGTGTAAGGCTGACAAGTCGTAACAAGGGGGGGGGGGGCTTCAAGGTAGCTTTTCACTCACTGTCAATTTAAAGTGGTCATGATCGTACATTCATGATTTCATAACTCGACTGGCAACACACTCTAAGATGTGAGGGGTGTGGAGGCACCAGTACCCCTCGGCGGTCTCCAATCAAACAAATCAAACGCTTCCGTACTCCACGGCCCAACATCTTTATCCACCACCGGACTCACCAACGGCGAGTCCGCATCGTTTTCAACCGTCACATTCGTATCAACATGTAAGCTCTGCGTCCTGACAAACTTCTTCCGTGGATCCGTCTTCTTGATGAGTGCCGCTAAACCGGACTTCTTTCTAGCAGGTACGGCAGCCACGGCTGGCACCTCGGGTGCTTCGACTGCCATGGTAGATTCTGTGTCAGTGATGGTTGGTGTGGGTTTTGGCAGGTTCTTCTTTTCCCAATCCTCGCTTGTGCTGGGGATCGGTGCATCGTTGTCGCTGCGCACGCGTCTGACTTTAAGGTTCGGAGAAATCCCTGTTGTGGCACCTTCGTCTTCGATCGGATCGACAGAGACGTTTGGCTTCTTCTTTGGCTTCTGCAACATGGCCGCGAGCTCTGTGGTGGTCATCACGGGGCCCCTTTTGTTGGCGCGCAAGGGGTGAGGTGGGAGTGCAACGGTCTCATTGCGGGGTGCTGATGGAGGCTTGTCTGACGCTGGTGTCGTTGGCTGGGGTGTTGCGCGCTTAGATTTCTTGCGGAAACCACCTGTTGATAAGGCAGCGAGCTTGCGCGGTGACAGTGATGTAGTTCGTGACCGTGACTCCGAAACAGCACTCAAAGCGGGCGAAGCTGCTCTGCCTATTATCTGCACGGGTTCGGCAATTGGCACAGCTGGCGGAGGGGGTTTATGGACTGGCTGCGACTTCTCTACTGGCCTCCTTTTGGGTTCTGACGCTTTAGGGATTTGAGCTGGAGGCAGTGTCGCTCGCAGGGCCCCCCCTTCCTTTGTCTTCGGTGGAGTGGTTTTGGGGGCGTTGCGCGCGACTGATTTTGATGTTCTGGATTTAGACAACATTTGCTCAGGGCTGTCAGGTGCTAGCATAGGCTCAGGGTGTGGTGTTTCAGACACCAAGAGTCGCTGATCCATCAAGCCATGAATCACTTCCTGGTCACTCTCGAAGATTTCGAGTGCATTATCAGGTAGTCGCCTGGCCCGTTTCGTTGCATCGCCACCATCCGTGTTCGCTTTGCGCTTAGGCTTGGGTGCAGCAGACACGCCCTTTGTGGCTTCAGGGACATTCGCAGTCTCTGATGTGGGCGACAGGTCTCGTCTGGTTGCCTTGGGGGCTTTTGCTGCCTTTGGTTTCGTGGCCGCCACTGGCGCATCGCTAGATTCTCTCGCACGTGGTGGAGGTGGTGGAGGTTGAAACATCATCAGCGTCCCTCGCTTCACGCCTTTTGAAAGCCGCAGGGACTTTGCTTGAGGATTTCTAGTTGGAGATTTCGAAGGTGGTGCAGGCTGTGGAGGCGAAGGCTGTTTGGGTAGTCTCCTGGCCGGCTCTTTGGCTGGTGTTGGCTGTACAGCAAAGTCGACGTTCGTCAGTCTGTTCGAGGCACTGACTGGTGGCGAAGATGCTGGAGGCGGAGCCCTAGGCGCCTCCAATGCCTTTACACTGGGCACTGGCACCTTTCCCCTGCGTAGCTTGGGCGTTTGCTGCACCGGCCTCTCGATGGGCGCGGGTCTGACAGGTGGTGCTGGTGTAACGGCAGGCCCAGTTGCTGTCTTGCTGACGCCAGGCGGTGTACTGGGCAGCGAAGCGTCCGAAGAAACATGCGTAATGGTGTCGAGTTCGTCCAAGGTGATCACGGGGGCTCCTGGCGGTATTGGGTTCGCAGGCTTTCGAGCCGTCCTCGCATCCGAGGTCTTCGCCCATAACGGCAGGGCATTCTTTGGTGCAGGGCTCTCTTCCCGCACTCGGCTAGACAATCCCAAGGTAGCAGATCTCAGAGGGTTGTGTGTTGTCTTCTGCCTCTTCGCCGCCCTATCAACCGCAAAGTCATTCTCCTTCTCCTTCTCCTTCTCCCTCTCTTGCCGTGCCTCATATGGGGACTTGATGGGCAGTGATTTCCCAATCGGTCCCTTGGGCGTTCCCAGCAGTGTGTTCAGTGGCTTGTGGCGCAGCTGCTGTGCATTCGGGCGTGCGGTGGACGTGGAAGGCGCAACTTGCGGGCGAGCGACTTGTGAGGGCGGCTGGAAGCGTCGTGGCGGTGCACTTGGAGGCGGTGGAGCTTCCTTGGGCTTCTTCTCGAAGAGCGGCGCCAGGTCGGTCTGGGTGACGCCTATGGCATCGGCGACCTCGACCATGACGCCCTTGTCGAGTGTGAGCTCGTCGCCTTCGTGCAGCTCATTGCTGTCCTTGTAGTATGTGTCGCCGAGGAAGTTGCGGGCCTGGTCATAGACCATGACCCGGCTGTTGAAGGTGTGGAATGTGAGGTAGCCATCCTGCCATTTCTTCTGCTTCTTGCGGATGTCCGGCGTGTAGAGACAGCGGAACTGGGCGACGGGCGCGGTCTGCGATGCGGGGAGCTGGGCGTGCGGCGTGCTGCGGAGGGGTGTCGTCATCGCTTGTTTCTGGGTATGCGACGCGTCAAAAGAGCACTGCGAGACATGGGCGGCGGCCGTCGAGGGACTGCGTCGAGGGACTGCGTCGAGTCGTCAAGGTATGACGGCGACGCGTTGGTGGGACGGCGATGCCTGCGCCGACCGCGAAGGCAAGGCGCGACCGCGTCAAAATCCCCGTGATCTAAGCGCCACCACGGCCACGCTCTCAGCCAGCCCTAGAGGCATTCCACCGGTCACCCAAGCTTGCCAGAGGGTGTCTGCAACTGCACAAATCTCCGCTCGCTGGCCATGGCTCACCTTCGTGTCGGGATGTCTGACCTGGAGCGTGCCGTCCTACCCACAGCTTCTCGTGTACTGAGCTGACCAAACCCTCCCAACGACCCCCGCGTCCCCAGCCGCTTGGCCAGCCCTTCACCAACATTGCCGCGAATCGTTAGCTGACACAGCCACAACTGGCGCAGTCGTCAGCAAAGCTTCCCCTCCCCTTGGCACATGTTTGGAGCTTCGTTTCTTGCACTCTGTATTTCATCCTAGTCCTGGACTTAGCAGCATTGCACGCAATTGCTGCCCACCTGCACCATGCAGCGCATGCAGAGGCTCACCGGGCGGTTCCTCCCCAGGACGCCCAATGAAGCAGATATCGAAGCTATGCTGCGCGACTTCAAGGATGCCGAGACCATGTTGACAAAGGTATGCTTGCTGCTGTTCATTCAAAGTGCAATGTGTCATGTAGAATGGTGCGAACCAGTGGGGCTGGCGTATCAAATATGCAATTCCCCGTCACGCCATTCGAAATACCGCCAGCTTCACATGCAACTCATGGCTGACCAGCACAGCTCGAAGAGTCCTCGAAGCAATGGCGCGATGCCTGGACCAACATCCTCAACCACCAGCTGGCCACTGTCGAGCACCTCTACACCATCTTCAAGCCATTGGGCGCTGAGAAGGCCGGGCTGAGCTCACATGTCGCTGTCGAGACACCCCAGGCGACCTTGGAGCGCGTCGCGGCGCTGCAGGAGGCTTTCTCCGAGCTCAAGACGGACATGATGGAGGAAGTCAAGGACATCGACAGGAAGCTCATCATCCCGGCCAAGCTGGCTAAAGACGCTCTGAAGCCTATGCATAAGACGATGAAGAAGCGTGAAGACGCAAAGGTAGGCTGTCCAAACGGTTCACCATGTCCCAAGCTGACAGTGAGGCCCCAGGTCGACTATGAGCGCTACAAGAGCCGCTGCGACGCACTGCAGAAGAAGAAGACCCGCTCGGATCGCGAGAATGTCGCGCTGACCAAACACGAAGCCGATCTCGAACGCTCGCAACAGGCTTACTGGAGCGCCGACGAGACCCTCCGCAACTCACTACCGCGCCTCAACGAAGCGACCTTCTCCATCCTACCCCACCTCCTTGCGAACCAGATTGTGCTACAGAACAACCTGATTGGCAACCTGTACACCGTACTACACCAATATTCACATGAGCAAGGGTACCCAGACCCACCGCCAGAGCCAGAGGAGGTCATACCCGACTGGGAGGGAGCCTTCACGCCCCTACGCAAGGAGCTGGAGACAGAATTCACACTCATACGAACGGGCAAGGCGGTCCATCAGCCTATGCGCCTGCCTGACAAGGGTGATACCTTGACCGGTTTGGGCATTAGGAACAAGGTTCTGCCTGGTCGACGAGCAAGCAGCAACGATAGTGTACCCACCGTCTCTGGCGGCAGAGCATCGAGACCCTCGACAACGCTGACTTCGCCTGACGAAGACGGCCCACCTCCGCCCTCGTACAACCTGGCGACCAAGCCTTCGATTCAATCCCTCAACGCGTCGAAACCCAAGCCATCGAGCTCGCCAATGCTCACACCTTCCAACGGCGACCACTACGGGCGACGTGCTTCGTCGACTTCCTATGCATCATCGTACTCCAACGGCACGACCCCAGGTGCAGAGAACGGCACTGGCGGGCGCGACTACTTTGGAAAGATCCCATCACGCACATCGAACGCTTCTACACCAGCATACACGCCAGCTGGCCTTTCACCGAACCCTGCAGCAGGCAAGAAGAAGCCACCGCCGCCACCACCGCCAAAGAAGATTGCGTCGTTTCAGGCTCAATACGTCACAGCCATGTACGACTTTGACAGCCACACGGCAGGCGACTTGTCATTCAGGGAAGGCGACCGCATCCGCGTGATCAAGAAGACAGACAGCTCGCAGGATTGGTGGGAGGGAGAGGTCAACGGGCAGAAGGGCAGCTTTCCAGCAAACTATTGCAAGTAAGGGCTGGAACATGGCGATATGATATCCAAAACTGCATTAGAGGAGGCGTTTGGAGTTTTACTCATCAATGCATGATTCTTGAAGAATTGATAGTGAAGTCTCGCTGCCGTGTGTATATTTTAGCTGTTTTGACCCCCCCCCCCCCACAATCCGGCCCGCGTTCGCGCCCGCTGCTCAGTGCATGTCAGCTACTCAGGTGCACCAGCCTCAGCCATCAGCCGCAGCGCTCAGCAGCCTTGTACAATATGTTAATCCGCACAACCCTCTTCAACATGACATCCAGTGCCTCTCAGCGATCAGGACAGTATGGCTGACAAGACGATACAGCAAACTGTACGTGCAACCGCCCACTCCTCGCTCCTTCCTTCGCTAACAATCCAGCAGCAGCGGACACCAACACTTAAACCTCCCTTCGCACCGCGACCTCTCCCACACTCTCACGCCACCTCTCTCACATCTTCTCCAACAACTGCATCGCAGCATGGCACTGCCAACGGCAATCCGCAAGTCGTCATCGACGCAACGCCGCTGCCGCCGCTCGACTCGCTGCCTACCATCGCTGGTCGCGGCAACGATGCCTTCCTCACGAACAACGACATCGACAAATTCTTAGTAGAAGACCTCGACCTCTCGCGACTGAACAAGATACATACTCACCTATGGATGGCTGGGCGGCCGATGCGCGCGCGAACCCTGCATCGATACAAGATGTACGGCTACGAGCTGCTAGGCACTCAGCAGATGGACCTGCACCTACTGAGATTCTCGAACAAAGTACTGGTCAAGCCGCTGCCGGAGTATCTCCTCGATGCGTCATTCTGGGAACAATATCTATCCGCGAATAAGGCGCTGCGTGAGAGCGCAACAGGCTGGCTGCTGAGCTACGTGTGGCTCGTCACGTCTCCCCTCGATCTCAAACTCGCGCACGAGAACGCTCTGCTCCCGGCCGCAGTAACCTGGACGTGGTGGAAAGCTTTCGTTACCGACTTCGTCAACAACATCGACATCAACACCCTTCACCAAGTCAACAAACGCTACCACTTCGGTGACCTCCGCCTATCACGCATCAACTCGATCTACCGCACCCGCTATTTCTACACTCACTTCGTGCGCGGCTACCTGTACGGATACAACCGCTACGTCGTCTTCTTCGAGCGAAATTTCTCCTGGATACTGATCCTGTTTGTCTTCCTCAGCCTTGTGCTGAGCGCTATGCAGGTTGGCACTGCGCTTAATGAGCTCAGTAGCAGCAGAGCCTTCATGAAGGGAAGCTATGGCGTCGTGGTGCTGTGCATGGTCAGTGTGGCCGTGGTGCTGGGCGTTGTTGGAGCGTTCTTCGTCGGAGTGTTCTTGTTCAACATGGTGAGCGCGATCAGGCATGCGGGGAGCGAAGAGAGAAAGAGGGAGAAGTGGAGGGAAGAGAAGAATAGTGGCGGCAAAGACGTCTGATGCGCATTTTGAATCAATATCCACACGGGTTGGCACACGTCGCTTTGGTCTGTTGCCCACCGTGGCACCACCTACACATCGCCGCGCTCCTCAACGCGGCCGTTCGACGCGCGCTGATATACCTCGCTAACTTTCGATCGAGGTCTGGGATTCAAGCCAGCAGATTCATGTCTATCTGCACAAGCCGTTACCTTTTATCGTATTCTCCAGATTGCTCGGCGCATGTTGGTAAGCATCCCCGCTCAGAATATTTCAACTCGACCGGAGCCTACAGCTGTTTGCAATCACAATCCTATCTAAACACCACCACAGTGGCAACCTGACGGAGCGTGTTGCCTTACTGAACGACCCTCAGGCATGTCCTGGAATACCTCGCCCTTTCGTTCGCTAGTGCACCGGCTGTTGTTTGGGTTGTACCTCTCTTTGGTCATGCCATTGGTATTGGCTGTTGTAATCATAGCGTGTATCTGTCTCATAGTTACAAGCTTCCCAATTGCTCGTGTCCTTGCTTTCACGGTTTTGTTAACCACCATCGTGGCGGTTTGTGTGGGTAGGTTGCCCCTCCATTCGAATATACGACTGTCTGCGGGTGGCGATGTCATTCGTCTTTTGGAGGTTCTCCCTGGCGACAAGATTGGCCCAATGAGATGTCGAATCGTCGAAGGTCACTGGCATACTTCAAAATACGAGACTCTGGGTTATACTTGGGACTGTGAGTGTGTCTGGGATAAGCAGTGTTTCATTGACAATGGGGTGACGCCGACATTGGAAAGAGCTCCGCGCGCCATGCGCAGAGTGGATTCGGTGAAAACGGTGTGGATTGACGCTCTTTGTATGAACCAGAGAGAGGCGCTCAGGTGCACCAGATGCGCGACATCTATGAACGCGCGCAAAGAGTCCTTGTTTGGCTTGATGTGGACTCTTGGGCCAAACATCCGCCTGGATCGGTCGAATCTGCGTTCAACTTGATGAATCGAGTGCTGGACAGCGGTGAATCGGACACACACCAAATCTGAGAACACCATAAGTCAGCAATAGGGCCGTTGAACACGATCTTTCAACTACCTTGGTGGAACCGTATGTGGATTATGCAGAAGGTCGCCTCCAACCGCAATGTTGTGGTGCAATGTCGCAATTGCACAATCTCCTGGGATCGTTTTTTGCCACTTCGTTGTCTCACCCACCACATTTTGGTACCTGGATCTTCCAAATGGTCTGACTGATTTTATCCGGAAAGTCCAAGATTTCCGCTACGCCGAATCTCGCGACCGTTCACATGGTCTCTTACCCTTCACTCACGATTTTCGGTACTCGCTAGCGACTGAGTCCAGAGACAGGACTCATGCTTTGAGAAGCCTTATCAAATCAAACTCAGATCTACCCAATACCAAAGTATATTACGCTCAAGAAGAATCTCTCTTCTGGACCAACTTCAGCAAGGACTGCATTGTTCGATACAGTCCCTAAATGTACCCTCGCTTTGTGATTCCAGAGATCGTCTTTGGTAGGATGACAAGAGATCTACCTGGGTGGCGAATCAATTTGGACATCCTGGACTACTGGCTAAAATACGTCTAAGGGTAACGACTGTGAGAGAACCGTTGTGGCTAGCAAACCTCGGAGGAACAATCTCCCTACTCTGCCTCAGGCCAATCTCAAGCAAGGTGCAGAACAAACCTTGTTCACCCTGAAGTGCTAAGGATTCATCTATGACACTATCGACGATGTCTGCAACATATATTTTTCATGATTGATCCACCACAGAAGGAGCAGCACGTGCTGGACCAATGGAGAACATCCGTTCAAGATGCCAGTATAGCTACAGCGGATTCTCACACTATCTTTGTCAAGACCGTCACAGCGGGTGAATCCTAACGACGCCAATGTACGTCGACTTCTCCGAGATCAGGCTGCGAACACGACCTTCCAAAGCATGGACATCGACTATTGGGCCATAATGGCAGCTACGCTTCATCGTGCGAGCAACCTGCGTCGAATCTTCATCACCAAACAACATCGCGCTATTGGACTCACACATTCTCAAGCGAGGCCGGGCGATGCTGTCTGTGTACTCCTTGGTTCTGATGTGCCATGCATCCTGAGGCAGTCAAAGCACGACCAAATAGGTTTCTCTCATCTAAGCAGATGTTGGTTAGAGGGCTGCAGTAGGCAAAGGCACTTGGCTTGCTGTGTATCAGAGCTTCATACTTTGGTAGGACAGGCTGACGTTTATGAAATTATGCAGTACAAGGGCGACATTGATCAAGACATTGAAGACGGTAAAAGGAAATTGACAGAGTTCTTTTTAGAGTAAGACCATAAAAGCGACGACCTGTAGCGCCACCAATGCAATCGCCCTCGACCTTCCGCACGCCCTTATAGCTCGCTCCTCTCCCCACCAGCCTGCAGCTTAACCTGCAACGCCTCAACCGTAAACTCGACCTCACCTTCACCACTCTCCTTATGGCTGACTTTCCCAATCGTCTTCCCATCCGCCGGCTCATTCGAATACGCATCCAGTCCATCAAACACATCTGCGCATCAATCAGCATCTCCGTTCCCCACAATCCACACAAAGATGTGTACTTACCGCTACACTCCACCTCATCCCCACCTTCCACCCACAAGGGCAGAATCGGGTAAATGGCTCCCGGCGCAAAGAACACAATGTCATCATGAACACTATAATGTCGCTGCGTACTCTCCTTCTTAATCCACTCCCGCACCTTCCACGGCAAGTCAGTCATGTCCATCTTGATCAGCTCCCTGTCGTTGCCGTGCTTATCGATACCGTCCCAAGACCCAGGGTAGAGCTGCTTGTTGTAGAAGACTTTGAGCTGGGGCGCGAAGGTCTCGAGGTCGGGGTACAGTTGGGCGAGCTTGTAGATCGTGCCTTTGTATGTTGAGCGCGAGGCGCAGGATTGCGTATATGGGGCGAGCGTGGTACTGTTCCAGGATGCTGTCCAGAGGGCGCCGACGGGGGTTGGGTCTTCAGTGGGTGGCGCGGAAGCGGCTGCTGGGCCTGAGGATGCTGGATTGGCGGCTGATGCTGATGGAGGGGAGGCAGAAGAGTCCGTGGAAGCGAAGGCAGCTGTTGCAAGGAGTGGGATGAGTGCGAGGAGCTTCATTGTGGTTGATTGGATTGTGATGTGCTGTGGTAAGGAGGGACTCGGTCAAATTGGAAGTGAGCTTCAGGTATGGGTTTGACAGACATGCTCAATCGCGAGTACCATGCGTATGCTATATAACCCAGCTTTTGGTTTTTGCATGTTGTCCTCTTCCCCAGATTTGGCGGTTCCGCGTCCATGTTCCGCATCCCATATTAACCGCAGGGTTTGTCCGGAGCGCGACATGAACGCGATAGATTAAAAGGCCACAGTAGCATGACGCTCATTACCGAGTGCCATCAAGCTCATCAAAACACGGTCAACACTTGTCTCGTGATAGTATCATCTTCATCCAGCAGAGTCGTGGAGGTAAAGGTTGGTGTTGGTGTCGAAGCCTTGCACTGAACTGACTTAGAGCTCAAACCCTTGTCTGTGACGCATCCGCGATCGGCAATCTTCACCCCTGTTTCGGTAGCTTTCAAGCTCACAACTTGCCAACGGCCATCTCAGAACAAGCTTCACTGCCGTTAACCGAGCCTGTAGCGTCCGCTGTCAGATTCACGCCACCGCCATGAAAGATTCTAGAGACCAACGAGCAGGTTTTGTACCTGGCAGCATGCCAACAATGGATGGGTAGGCAGAGGGAAGTACAAGTTGCGCTGAGATCGTGCACAATACCTCCAAACCTGCATTGACCACCAGAACATTGTCACGTTCTCTCTAAACCTTATCGTGCAAATGCACGTTCCTACAAGGACGCGCAGAGCATCGAGTGAAGACGAGATGGCGCAACGAAGCAGCTCCATCCCAGCACCCAGTCGCCATACATCGAAACGCACACCCACCTCACCCATGCTCGAGCCCATCAATACCTGCGGGTTTGGTGAGTACGCTTGCCAACGTGCATAGTGCTCCAAATAGCAAGTGGTCTCCAATGAGTTTGAATAGGAGTACTGACGACCAAGACAGGCCAGTACTCGGTGACCGCGAAAGTGACGGTTGTGGTGACCTCAGCATTCTCAGTCGACGCTGCGGCGTTGTTCCTGTTATGTAACACTATGATGTTGAGATTAGTGAAGAGGAAACATGAGAAGGAAATCAGAGTTGCAGAGCGGAATGATGGAGGCAATGATGTATAATCATGGATTGTTTGCTGTGGCTCTTACCACATGTGAATAGCGCAGACGAACTTTTGGGATATGATACATGATTATGAAATGGCCCATAGCTTTTATATAAAATCAGACAAGGCGGAAACAATATGCTGTAACTTCAGAGCGTGAGCTCACCCGTGTAAGACGCCGTTGCAATGCATGTGTATATACAGGTCGGAAAGATGATCAAAGGAGAGCATTGAGCTGACTCTTGACAGTCTTTACATCGAGGTCAAGTCCGTTCTTTGCGTCGGCCACTGTAGCTTCGGCGACGACGTCCTTCTCCGCAGCAACGACCTCGATAGTGGGCTGCGGTTGCAAGCTGACTTGAGATGCAGACGCGCTGACTGCACCGGCACTGAGAGGACCTGTTGCAGCTCCAGCAGTCGCTGAGGTGGTAACAGAAGCCTCTTCGTCCTTTGCAGCGGGCCTATCGTAGTGTCGAAAGACGGCGTAGAAGATGATGATTGTCAAAACCATTGCACCAGTCAATGAGCCGTAGAAGCCAACCATCAACGGGTCGCGCGCCGCCGGAGTTAGTGCCATCGCAATAGCGGAGCCAACACCGGCGATAAGGAGGCTTACTGCTTGCACGATGACCTTCATGTCTTTCGGCGAGTGGTCGTAGGCATACTCCATCGCGGTGACCATGGCAAATACCTCGCCGATGGCAAGGAGGAAGTAAAGCGGGGCCTGGATCCAGACATTGACCTTGGTGTCAGAAGAAGAGTAGATGAAGTGCTGTAGGACAGTCGCATACAGCATGGATGATGCGACAAAGCAGAAGCCGATGGTGATTCGTGTTACAGGTCGCAAGTAAATACGCCGGCGGTGGAGGAACGGATAGAGGACTTCCTGGATGAGTGGCGCAAAAACGATGCAGCCAACTTGGTTCATGGCCGGTACGAGATCGTTGGGAGTGCCGTGAGTCTCCATCTCAGCAGCCTGAGAAATCAGATTGTTCTGCATCTGGTCAAAGCAAACATAGAAGACAACGAAAGCAATAAGAACACGGCAAGCTTGTAGACCCCGGGTAACTTCGTTGACGAGCTGACTACTCCACGAGACAGCGCGTTGGCGGTGTTTGAGCTGGTACTCGGGTTGAGCGTGGGCCATCTTGAAGCCATTGCGACAGGCACAAGTGATGATTTTGGTGGCTGCAGGGAGTACGTCGCCTTCGTGTGGCGTTTTGGTGTACCACCGCTGTCCAAAAACGAGCATGATGGCCGCAATGACCATGAAACCAAGACAGAGTGCGTATGCTGAGGTAAAGCCAGTGTGCAACTCGAGGTAGACAGTCGCGAACCAAGACAAGGAACCCAGGTTGCCTACCCAAAAGTACAAGTTGTAGATGTACTGTAGAGTGAGTTGTCGATCCGTGATGACTTCTTCGCCTGAGTTGAGTGTTTTGATGGTTGGCTTCTCCTCAGTGTACTGATCGGCGATAAAGGGCACCATGATGGCACGGAAGCCGCCACCTCCCAATGCAATAAGTGCCATTGCAATGATGAGACCAGGCAGTCCCCAGCCTTTGTCCAGTTGACTAGGTATTGAGCTTACGGTCAGTGCCACACAACCAAGGCTGTAAATGACGACGCTGATGACCAATGTTGTAAAGTGGCCAAGCCAACTGTCGGCCAGAATAGCGAGTAGGGTTGGTGTTGTGTAGTAGAGAATGTAGAAGGCGCAGTACATCCGGGTGGCCATTGACTGACCAAGACCGAGAGCTCCAGGTGTCTGACCTTCCTCGTAATGGGAAGGGTGCTGCATGTAGTTTTCTGTATTACTACTGTTAGCATAGAGTCAGAATTGACCCAATTGAGCACACTGACGCCATGGACCTGTTATACCCCAGAAGGCCGCCCGTTCCCAAAACGCAATAACTGCCACTACCCATAGCTGCCACGGCATGTCATCTCGAACACGTCGCATGTCGTTGGTATCGACGAATGTTCTTGAAGATCTTGAACTTGTGGTGACCGACTCGCTTGCAGAATGTCAGCATAAGACAGGAGTGGTGTTGCCATGATAACATACCCACTGCAACATGTGATGTTTGGCGACAGTGTTGCCTTTCGGCTACAGTCTTGGTGAACCATGGTTCCTAATGAAGGGTCCTCCCTGAAGGCCACGAAAAGTGTAAGGCTGCCTGACAAAAAAGCAGTGGATTTGTCGGTTTGACACTGTGTGAGTCGCAATGAACTGAGGTGGATCGAAAGGTACTTGAAGTTTGGTCCAGCGGTGAGGGTCCCTGCAATCAGAGTATGCGATTGTAAAATGGAAAACAAATGTCATACAGCCCGGCACACTGCGTTAAGTACATGGGCAAATTTATTTTTGTTTGCTTTAGACAAGCTTGGAGATTCGATGGCTGCGTCGAAACTGTGATGGAGGGTCTACTTTCGATGCGGCGCTTCCGAATTAGTGCAACAAAAGTCTGGTTGATGCTGTCCTGTACGCTGCAACAATCGTTCAAGACTTCACACAGGATGCGAGTAACGGATACCACCCAATATGGTGGGCTACTGCTAGGCATTTCCACAATTGACGGCGCCCACGTTGCACAAGAGCCGTTTTTGCTATGCCCAGACCTGTCGGCCAGCCTTTTCACGTGAGGATAAGGTTCTGAATGGTCAACATGCGTACAAACGTCTGAATGACTGCCTGCGACCAGGCGTATGGGCTGAAGAGGCGGCTGAAGAGGCGGCTGAAGCGAGCCATGGGGCTTGATCCAATCCGGGAAGTTGGTCCGTAATTCTACTTCCGGTACACTCAGGTTTTGGTGGCTCTGGGCAAGCCTACACATGTTGTGTCGCAACAGCGCGTGGGCAGATTGACGGTCAACGGGTTGCGGCATTGGTGTGCGAAGGCGTGTCGCTGGCTTCCCTAGAACTTCACCACTAGCTGAGAGATGAAGGTGGTGCTGCTGCGCAATGCATAAAGCTACGCAAGCCTTGCAGGAGAGCTACTGTAAAGCGGAAGACTGCAGCTGATTGATAGCTAAGGTCAAGTGCTCAAGGGTGAATGTTTTGCAGGCCATGATGTTGATCCGTCCGCAAACAAGACATTTGTGCGTCGCATATCACACGTGTGTGATGCATCTCGCCGTGTGTGATGCATCTCGCCGTGATTGATGGCGAGCTGCATAGATCTTACCAGAGATACGAAGTTTGGGCGGTCTGGGGTGAGGAGCCCGGCAAGCGACATCACCATCGCGAAAAACATTCCCAACCACTCATCACATTTTCATCACATTTCCATCTCAAAACGCAAGTCACGCATCGCCGATACTTGTATGGTGCTGCCGTTTCCTTCGCTGAGCAGCATGCCCCAAGATCCCCATGATTCCCACAAGTTTCACGTCTTGCTTGTGACCAGATCTGACGGCCATGCAGATCCGCCTCAAACAGCCTCACCATCTGATTCCAGCCTCATGATCTACATGCATATGCAGCAGCAATCAAGAAAGCCATCCAACGTCGTACGGGATCTACCAATCGGTGAGTGGCTGAAACAGGAACACAGTTGTGACGCTCCCACCCAAAAGGGTGTCTTCGCCGCATCCTGAATCGAAAGAGCTATCTTTGCCGACTTGACATCGAATTTTGTTCGGCAAATCGAGTCGTTAGTCGCGCAAGGAACACCTCGCGCTCATCCATCATTGGAAGTCAGAACATGCCAAACTCGAGTGGAATAAAGGGTGTACACGGATCTGGTTGGTCCGCGTCGCTCACAGACGTCGCTGTCGCGCATCTGTGGTGTCTTGATACACCTCCATGAAGCACACGTATTCATGTGAGCTTCATGTACGCACCACTACCAGCTTGTTGGGATCTATTCCATGACCACCTGGTAAAGAGTTGAGAAGCTGGCGCTGAGGACGGATCAACCGTGTAGTGGCATTTTTGGTCGACATCAATAGCAGCCGTGTGGCGACTAGGAATAGGTGAGCGTATCGTACTGTCATTGTTACTGCAAGCCTGTTCTAATACGTAGCCTGAGCATTGATTGTGAGGCTGCTTCGTACTTTGCTCTCGCTTGGCTTTATTCGTGGTATTCGGCAGCACACACGACAACCTTAGTAGGCCAATCGTCGAGTTATCCAATAATTCCTTCTCCACTCAAGCTCTAGGAGTGTCACTGTTTGCCAACGGACCGTTGCAGTGTTTGCCAGCGGTCCGCTGCACTGATTGTCCAGCTCATTCGGTTAGTTCGGTTTGCTTCCCCAACCCTTCACTGCTATCTCCTTCTACTATGTAGTCTCAATCGATTCCAGCCAGTAGCTCTCAAGATCAATCAAAATCATCTCAACCCTTCCACAGTCACCAAGACGAAGACTCGATCAAAGCGACTGTCTTTATCGGTGACTTTCACAAGTTGCTGATCCCCCTTGATAATTGGAACGATGATGGGATATGGCTTTTTGGCCCAAAGAACAACTCTGTGGGTAGATGACCTCATGGTTTCCAGGCAACTTGTGAAAGTCATTATATAACATCAGAGTAACCGGCCAGAGATATGTCCGAACCATTCCCACGACTATGAATTCATCTTCCTGAACAAAACAGTCAGTAAATTCGGTTCGGCTTTCACGACACACCGATGGCCTGAGTCATGCGAGACCCACTCGCGTGCTGTGATTGGCAGATTCGATGGCTTGATCCCTCCCGGATGCATAGCCTCTGTTTATGCCAGGCAACACTTTCAATGACTTTGCCTGTCAGGTACCCATCACTTAATCAATTTCAAAATAAGTCCGCTACGACAATTCAATGGAGAAGTTAAAACCAGTCGTCGTGGACCACGCGATGGACCCATCACAACTAGAAAAGCTCCGCCCGTGTGGCCGACTAGAAACATACAGCACAGCTCGACACCAACTGGGCTTCTACAATAATGTCGGCCTGACTGCGACCTACACGACTTCGTCCACCCAAGACATTCCCTTCGAAAGTTTGGTTTCTGCCGCCCTTCACCATGTCATCGCAGAACATCCAAACCTAAGCGCCATACCCGTCAACGAAGAGAGATCATATCCTGATGTCTACTTCGCGCGGCTACCTGAGATTGATTTGCGTACGTGCGTAGTATTTCGCCATCGCAAACGATCTATACCGAAGAATGATGAAGCCGATGATGAGCTCGACAAATTATTACGCGAACAGCACGACCGCAACTTCAAAGGGGATGTCAGGTCGAGGCCATATTGGCGACTCATTATCGCCTCGTCACCAGAGACACCAGGAGAGTTCACTGCCTCGTGGATCTTCCATCATGCGCTGAGTGACGGTGCATCGTCCATGCTGTTCCATCAAAGCTTTCTCGAGGGTCTGAACGCGGTTTCGGTACAGAAGACGATCGATCCAGTAGTCAGAACGCCTTCGACACAACTTCTTCCCCCACTAGAGGAGCTACACCCCATGACGATCTCGTGGCCAATCTTCTTGCGTGCCATCGCGGGTTCTTTGCTCCCCTCGTACTTCGCGCAACATTCACCAAATCTTTGGACAGGCTACCCCGTCGACGCGATAGTCCAAACACCCACTTCGTCTCACAACACGAGCGTAATCCTCACCGCCGAACTAACAACAGCATTCGCCAAAAAATGCCGAGCCGAGGCAACGAGCGTAACAGCAGCAATCAGCACCCTCCTCGCCACCATTCTGTTTCGTGACACGCTCCCACACAATGAGCTTAGAATCGGCACACCGATCTCTCTCCGTCCTTTCTTGTCTATACCCAAAAGTTGCATGGTTAATGCCATCACGAATCACACGTTTATCTTCAACTACAATGGCAACAACAGCCGCAGTATTGTCAGGACCTTCTCCTGGGACATAGCGAGGCAAGTGAAAGCCGGAATATCTCAAGAACTCGCCAAACAGGGCGCAGATAATCCAGTCGCACTGCTCAAGTATGTATCGAATATGCAAGATTACTTCCTCGAGAAACTCGGCAAACCACGAGACTCAAGTGCAGAGGTGTCAAATCTTGGCGTATGGCGTCCTCAAAACTCTTCAATTTCACACGAGGGCGAGGCGAAGTGGTCCCTCGGCCGCCTGACTTTCAGTCAGAGCCTAAACCGCACCGGCCCGCAGATCAGCCTCAGCGCTGTCACAGGCGGTGACGGGTGTATGGCGTTGAGTTTCAACTGGCCGGAGGAGCTTGTGCAGTATGAAAGAGAATATGGGGAAAATTTGTTGCATATGATTCCGGGGCGGATGAAAGAGGGAATCAAGGCACTTTTGAAGGAGGAAGTGGAGGAGTAGATGAACTCTCCGGATAGGTGAAGAAAATGTCTAATATTATAATGCAATAGTCAAGGGTACATATCAGCGCCTCAACCCCTTCGTAACTCCCGGCGTCCACGCAGGTTCTGCCACTACACTCAGCAATTGTAAACACGCTAAGAGGTATGGTCCTCATGCGCCATGTTGATCCAGTTCTTCAATGGATATCCCTCACTTCTCTTAAAACTCCATCCTCAAATCTCATGATCATCGCCCATACATGCCCCTCTCATAAACCCACACCTCTTGTGCCTTGTCCTGCCCATCGAAGCGCCTTACACCATCTGAACCAAGCATCACCCTCCTCTCATGCCCTTGCCCGTAGTAGTTCGCGTATACGGCGTTCACGCTTTCATGGTGCTGTCGTACATGGCGTTTGACGGACTGCCAGATCTTGTTGGGCTTGGACTGTGTGGTGTGTATTGATAAAGGGGCGATGGATGTTGTGTGGACTTTGAAGGCAGACTTGGTGAGCTCGATTGAGGAGCGTGGTGTTGTTGCTGTTGAGGATAAGGTCGACATTGTGGTATTGCAGACGACCGTATTGAAGTAATAAGATAGAGCGGTGTTATCCTCAAAAATATCGCAATTGTCGCGTAGAGTGTTTTCGATGGCGATGATGTTGACAGTCAATCTGAGGAGGGGCGTGATGTAGGTGCGCCCGAGGAAATGGTCGCTGGAGATCTCTGGAATGCAGAAATGAGGATCTTGATCTTGTTGTTCGTTTGCTGGAAGGCTGAACTTGATGTAATGTGCTTGCTCTAAGAAGAGCTCCGACTGACTGCACTTATACTGTTACTGCCTTGATGCTTGCTCATCCGACGACGGTATTAGGGGCGGCGTCATGACTCCATCACAGACATCAATAATACTTCACATCACGCCTTGGACTTACAAATCCACTTGTTTTCCGTATGCGCCCTGCGCCCTTTGCATGTTGAATGTTAGTGTTGATGCCATAGCTGAGCTCAGTGTGGAGCCAAGAAGGGTCAAGAACAACCGATAATCGAGCCACATGTGTCCCCATTGGGAAAGGTGGATGCAAGGCTTGGCACGGAACAAATGAAGTTGACGGAACATGTCAGATGGAACTTGCTGTACGGATGATGGTATTGGTAGCAAGTAAGCTTGACATAAGTGACTCACTGTGTCCGACTTGCGGTCAACTGCTGTAGCTATTTTCGCGGCTTGGAATGCGTCAGCAATGCGAAATTCGACATCTGCACGCCCTGCGCACTGACCCCACATCCGATGGTGAGAGCTGGGGAATGCCGAGCGCGCCCTGTACATGTCAGGAAAGACTTTTGCTGGAACACATTTTGCCGAGCGATATGGCACCTGGAAACAATTTTCTGAGCTGTTCATGATGATTCTATCGCTCTCAAACTGTTAAGCTCAAACTTCTGATGAGAAGAACGCGGTTAAAGAGATGGGCGACTGGCAATGAGACATGGTTGCTATTGGGCTGAGCATGATTGACTAAGAACCAGGTCGAGTGCCCGCAAATCCTTACGGCTTCACGATGAGCTGATACGGCAGTGTGTTATCTTGGAAGAACGTCGCAGTCGGCCTCGCCGCAAAGCTGGAATCAGTCGTATTGCAGATTTTCGTGAAGTCACCAACCGCATCGACCTTGCTCTTGATAATGCTCTGGTACTGCGAGAGTGGGCAAGACGATCCAGGACCGCTTGTACAGTTCACGACTGGGTACACGACCTCGTTCAGGCGAATGCGCATGTAAGCTTCGCTCGTTGAGTTGCTGGTGGCATAGCCGTTGGACGCAGTAGGGCAAGACAGGCGCTCGAACGCGACTGTGCCACGCATGGGTACAAGACGGCTTGCTCTGAACTTTCGGTCTGGCAAGGTCTTGTTCGCAGGAAGCTGAGGCTCGTTGTCGAAGACACCAATTGCGGCAATGATCTGATTGATCTGGCCATCGTTGGAGAAAGAAGCGATAATCTTAGGGGGGACAAAGGTCCCGTTGCCGTTATTATACGTCGCATTGGGTCCATCCACGAAGCGCTGAACTAGACCTTCGACGACTGGCAGCATGTTGTACTTCTCGATGTCGGATCCCAGGCCGGTGCCGTACCAATAGCGCAAGTCCTGGGCGTATTCGTACTGCAGAACCTCCTCTTCAGTGTAGATGTCACAGAAGCGGCTTCGGCGGCCAGTGATCTGAGTCTCGAAGCCACACAAGTACGGGATAATGGACACATCCCCCTGGGTGAAGTTGAAGCCGCCTTGGATCTTAGCATTGAGGCGGGAGCGAATCGGTGGCAGGTAGATGTTGTCCCAGACATCCTTGTAGGGGCTGCCACCTTCGTCGTTGTATGCTTTGCACAGGTCACTCGTAGCTAGCGAGTTCATCCAGGATGCTGGGTCGGTGCTGTTCAGGGCATAGATTGTACCAAGGTCAGTCGCATTTGGACCGAGGAAGCCGTGAGAGAAGAGACGTGCGCTATCACGCACACGAGGGCCTGACTTGTAGTAATTCGCCCACATGATAAAGGGCGTGTTGTAGTCATACAGGTCAGGGTAGCGAAGGCGCCATGTCGCACCCATCTCAGTGAGCTCCTTGTAGCCAGTAGTAGAAAGCTGGCTGATCTGGTTGGAGGGGTCTGACAGCACAGGCTTCCAGGTCTTGAGGAAGTTCAAGCTCTCGTCGCTCACTGTGAGGTTTGAAGCTGCTTGAATGCGAGTATAGAGATCAGTCCACTCATTGTAAGCGCCATTGTCAGGGTAACGGCTGCCATGGCGAGAGAAGAAGGCAGCGAGCTCGACCTTGCATCCAGCGGGCACATCGGACGAGATGCCAGTCACTTCAGGTCCTGTCAAGCTGTCAGACTCATTCTCAATCGTCAACAGACCAGAAGAAAGTACCGGGAAACCATTGACCATTTCCTCCAATGTGCTGTAGAATGTTGAAGTCGTCAGCTGCTACGATGGTGATGGCCGAGACGGCGGTGAGAACCGTGGTAAAGCGTCCCATGATGCAGGCGATACTGTGCAGTGTCGAGTACCACAACAACACATCTCAACACCTTCGGTCACCTTTATATCCATCTTGAATGCCCAGCACCAGCGATGAGCGTTCGGAGATGAGCTTTGGCAATGTTTCCCAAGTGGGCAGCTCGACAAGGGTATTTGCGGGACCGTTCAAACACGTGGGCCTCACCGGGTGAAGGAGAGGTTATCTCGTATCACTAACTTCGACGGCCAAATTGATGCAGCGGAAGAATCCTTCCATCGCGCCTCGTCCTCAGGAACAGTCGAGTTGAAAGGTCGAGGCATGACGGTGAGGCTGAAGTTAACCTCGGAGTAAACGCCCTCTCAAGAAGGGCCGATTATCCGTGCCACGTGCGCTTATCGGCATCTAGAGAGGGGCGCATCTTCGCCTACCAAACACTAATCCTTCACCTCCGCCCTCTCCAATAATGCCCCGGTGGTGATGCACGCATTCTCGCCCATGGATAATTGACTATCCGACCAACTCCGGGACGAGGTTTTCCAATTGCCTGCCGAGTATGGTTGAGCCGAAGCCACGCCAGCGAAAATTTGCCCCACGCTCCCGGACAGGATGCTTGACGTGCCGTGCCAGGCGAAAGCGCTGCGATAATCGGCGTCCGCAATGCGAGAACTGCACGCGTCTGAACCTCTCCTGCGAATGGCAGGCGCAGCGAAAACTGATTCAGGATGCAGATTCGAATTCCAGTTCGAGTCCCGAAGAAATTGTCGAAAGTGTGCCGGACTCGCTGGGTTGCTGGGATATGCTTCCTGGCGAAGCTGGGGCTGAAAGACAGCACCTGCTGCAGTACTATATCGAAAAGTTCGTACCCAGTGTATCAGTGGCGACAACACCGACCAGTTTCTACACATCGCTGTATATGCCGTGGGCCTTTCAAATTGATGGCATGCTGGATGCCATTCTTGCTTTGTCATCAGCTCAGCTCGCACGGCGCACTGACGATAAGGATCGTGAGGCGCATCTTCGAGCGGTGTCTCTGCGACATCAAAGGAAATGCAGCGGATTCATCAAAGAGCGTCTGTCACCAACGGGTCAACCTCTGCGGGACACTTACCAGGTCGTTGCCATCATCCTGCTATTGGTGGGGCTGGAAGCACTCAAGGGCAACAAGAGTACGACATGGATTCAGCAGCTCAAGTGTGTGCGCAAGATTCTGGACACATTGTCTCCAGAGCAAAGTATTGTCGATTGTATCGAGGTTGACTCGTTGCATCGGCACTTCACGTACCACTACGCAATGGCATCGGTCATGTCTCAAGTGTCAGCGTCAGCAACTACTTCGGCGCCCGCTCTTGAGCGTGATTTGTTGCCCATGCTCAACGTCGCCATGCCGTTGACCATTGACCCCTTGATGGGTATCTCATATCAGCTTTGCGACCTTATCAGCAAGATTCAATACGTTGTCAACCCGGATCCAGCATTCCCACAACTTACGGAAGCAACGTTCAATGCGATCGAAAACGGCATCCAGACCTGGACATACGAGAGCCCGTTCTCTTCTGGGGTCGACCTTCCAGTCGCACTTGATCTGATTGCGCTGGCTGAATCGTATCGTCTGTCTGCACTGATCCAGCTGTATCGCAACTCGAAAGCACACGCATCGCTTGTGCCAGGATGTGCTGCCCGCGCAATGGAGTTCATCATGAGGATACCCTCCGGTAGTCCTGCAGAGTCGAGTCTACTATACCCCATCTTCATGGCCGGCGCCGAGCTGGACAGTGAGGTGGCTATCGACCGTTTGACAAAGAGGCTGAAGGACATTTCCGACCGCAACCGGTACGAGAATATTGATAGTGTTCAAAAAGTGCTCAAGGAGGTCTGGCGGCCGAAGCTGGAAGGCGGGACACGAAGATGTTGGGAAGATGTGCTGCGAGAATGGGAGTGGTCTTTCACCCTTGGATGAGAACTGGATCTTCGAGACGACACGGCAGACAACGCTTTCGAATCCGGTGCAGGATGTGGCGCTGAGATTAGAACAATCCGCAGTCAGTCTTTCAGCTCCACATCAACCGTGGGTCGGGTGTTGCGGACACTTCGGATACCTCCCGGATCTCGTTGAGCAGAGACCACCTTGCATCCGCTGCCGCGTCTCCACCAGAAACGCACCATGATACCCCACAAAACTGGTCGACTCAGATGAAGCGACTCTTTCACGACTATCGATTGGCTGCTATCATGTTAGACTTGCAAATTTATTGGATACGGTCAAGTCTACTCAGATTGACATCGGCTTCAGCCATATATACAAGAGGGGTAGTTGCGCGGGTATATGAACTACAGGACTGCTGCGAACTGTCGGCCATTGACATCAATTAAACAGTGTTCCGGCATACCAATGACTACAAAAGCTGAAACCACGCCACTGAAGTCTGTATCTCTCGACTTCGGTCAGACTCCATATCTCTGGAAACTCAAGGGAAGGTCAGTCCTTATTACCAGGTCGGCGAGAGACATTGGTCTTGCATGTGCGACGAAACTGGCGGAGGCTGGTGCGACTGTCACCATTTCTAATGTCCGATCTGAGACTGAAGAGGCTGTGGCACGAGAGTTGACTTCGAGGGGCTTCCAGTTCAATTTTTGCAGAGCGACGTGACTTCCTATGAGTCACAAGCTGCGCTCTTCCAGAAGGCCATAACATTCAGCGATGGCAAGATTGACGCCGTCGTGCCCAACGCTGGCATTTGCGCCTAGCAAAATCTCTTCGACATGATACCAACCGAAGCGCCGAGCATTGACAGTGAGCCGCCAAAGCCAGGCTACCGCCCCATGGACGTAAACCTTCGGGGCGTGTATGACACTCATTATCTTGCATTGTGCTACTTCCGTCTGCCTCGGGACTCCTCCTTTGCTTCGCTCGCAGGCTATGTCGGCTTCCCATCAAGCCCAACGTACAGCATGTCAAAGTTCGGTGTTCGCGGCCTGTTCTATGGCACACGAGACCGCGTTGCTACCGCGAACCCTCCAGTACGCGTCAACCTCGTTGCACCCTGGTTCATTCCTACCGTAATGACAGCACAAGATGATTTCCAAGCTAGTGAGGCTGGCGCGATGATGAAGGCGATGGGCTCTGCACAGCTGGATGACGTGCAGGTAGTGCACTTCATTGCCGACAAAACTGCTCACGGACGAGCTGCTGGCATCTTTCCGCAAGGTGTTCAGGATTTGGGAGATGATCTCGAGGGTGATTTTGCAGGACAGAGAACACAACAGGGTGTGCTCGACATTTTAGCTGCAATGATAGCTGCGACGGGAAAGCAGTGTGAGGGACTGATGAGGCAGGATAGCGCGACTGGAGGGGAGAGTGGTCAATTCATGGGTGTCGCGAGATGACCAGTGGGAGTGTACGTGAAGTAATTGCACGCAATGTTGTTTGTTTTGTATGATTATAATCGCTGATTGTAGTAGTCATTCATGCCTTGCACAGACAAGCTGTACCAATGTGACAAATATCATGATTTGACGAAGAGCTAAAGTACATTAAATACCTCCAGCCCTGATGTCGCGACCTTGAGGTGGTCTTCACATACAGCTAGCAACAACTGGGCTTACACACCACTCAAGTCGAGAACGTGGGTAGACGGGCGTTAGACCCAGCACCAGCACGTAATCCTAAAAGCAACCTCACCGTCAGCCAAAACTATGCCCACGTTGTATTCGACTGCACGGTGCGAAGGAGATTACAATGCCATATATGTACCAATAATTGCTTAAGGTACACGTACCCGTTGTACGTCTTCGGCAACTTCGCAGGTGCTGTCCTCAGGAATGGTTCAGTCAACCAGATCTTTCACCAGCGGACGCTTGCTGCTGTTAGCAGTTCTGCGGCCATCGATGCTAGTATGGATATGGTCTACTCTCGTGTTGTACTTGATTTGTCTACGCACGATGTTGTTCTAAGGATCCCAGAGGTCACCGATCGCTATTAGATCTATCAAATTTAACGGTCCAAGCTGAAGGAAATGCAGCTCCAAGCGCGAGACCAATCACGACAACCATCATGGGCACAGAATCTGGGGAGCCGTAAAATGTCGCACGGTGAGCGATGCCTCGATTGGTTAATCTTGAGGGCGGCATATACTTCCACCACATCCCCCATCAGGCATTTGAACTATGTCATGTTCCGCTTACTGCCTGGTCCTGAGCGACTCGAGCCAGCGAAAGAAATCAAGGGGACAAGGAAGCTACTACGTTTTCCAGACCTGCCTCTTAGCCATGAGTAAAGCCGGCCACACACAGAGACCGGATTGCTCGCCCCTCCTGACAGTCGCAACGATGCCCCAGGATCCCCTTTCTTCCAGCTCGGAGCACTGCAGTACACCTGCAACCTAGCCTCCGATCCCACCACAACTGACGCCCAAGCAAGACAAAGAGCTCGATGGTGAGGCACAGACTTCGTGCTCGTCACGCTCATCAACTCCAACAGGCGAGCTTCCGACGTGTACATTATGCGCAACACTTGCCCAGAGGATGAGTACGGTGAGCGGCACTTCCAGGCTGCATATAGCTGGAGCGCGTTACCGGGAGATGCGTCGGAGGTGTGGAGGGTTGGGGCCCGGATAGCGGCAAAGTACAGTGAGCTCGGGGTTGGGTATGAGTGGAGACTTCCTGATCACGACGATGATCCGGAAGAATACCATATCGAGGGTGACTTTGAGCCGGTACCGTGTATTCAACTCGAGGACAAGAGTGTTGTTTGGGCCTAGGCGTTAGAGAACGATAATGAGTAGGGGGATTCGCGATATTTTCTTAGGCTGCAGTGTACACCTGGCGTGCGGACTACATAGTCTATTTGCGCCAATAAGTCTGCACGAACTCGTGCGCCCAATCGATAACCCCGGCCTTCCAATCGCCCATGCTCTCCTCCACAAGCCGGTCGAACATCTCTGCTGCCTCCCCTTCGCTCTTGCCCATCCACATTCTCTCCTGGACCTTCCTTACCGACCCTTCGCGCTCAACCTTGATATCAGGGATATTCGCGCCCTGCATGAGCGCGAACAGGTTAAGCAGCAGGTTGGAGGACTTGCGGAGCGTAGACCAGGCCGTGAACGCATACTCCTTGAAGCTGAGATAGTTAGGATGTGTAGCACCGCCCATGCCCTCGATCATCTCGCGGCAGAGTTTCATTTGCGGAGCGAAAGGCTTAGGGTCGCGGCCGAGGATGTATCCGAAGTCGACGTGGAAGAAAGCGCCAGTGGGTGCAATAAGCAAGTTGTCCAGATGCCGATCTCCTACACCCAGTAGGTATGTAATGACACAGTAGCCTGCGCAGGACTTGATGTACGTGTCCATTGCCTCTTTCTTAACACCTAGATCAGCGTGTGGGTCGGGGTTGTTGGCGCGCAGGTATGCGAGCAGTGAGCCTTTATGTTTCTGGCACGCGGCTGCGATGCTCATCGAGGGTACAAATTGGAAAGCACCCGCGGAGGTGGAGGTGGCGAGAATGCGATAGGGTGTAAGTTTTAGGTCGAGGTTCTCTTTGCGCAGAAGTCGATCCATGAGCGTGATGATTTGGATCACGAGTTGATCCTGGCGCAGGTCGTCGCCGAACTTGAAGATGATAGGATACTTTTGCGAGTGGCTGGTGCGCAAGTTGAGGACTATGGGCAGGAGTGAGGACTTCAGCACGTTGCAATTTTCGGGGTCGATGCCGGTGATATAGACCGAAGGATCGAGAGGGAGGGGAAGGGGGTCGAAGTTTGTGAGTTCGTTCTTGGGGTCGGCGAGGGCTTTCTTGAGACGTGCAAGTTTCGTGGGTCGATCGCCGCCGCCGAAGCGTACGTCTTTCGAGATCTTGGCCAAGATGGTAAGCAGCTCACCTTGGCGGCGGAAAGTGTTACGAGTCTCGACGCCTTCCGGCGTCTTCTCGAGCTCGACCATGAAGTCGTACTCGACTTTTGCGAAGAGGTCGCGGTGCTCAGGCTCCTGGTCAGTGCTCATATCGCTGATCTCGACCATCAGGTACCAGTGGAAGAAGTTACCCAGCGCGAAGCTGCTTGCTGCTCGGGTAACCAGAAAGCGTGCAAGGGAGGAGTCGTCGCCTTCTCCGGCCGCTTCATACTTCAGGGCTTGTACAAGCTGGAGGAGGTACAGCTGCAGCTCTTCATCGTCCGCCTTCTTAAGGCGTTCGACAGCATAGCTTCGCACTACTGGGTGGTCAAAATGAGGACCAAGCAGCTCAAGTGCGTCGTCCACGTCGATCTCGGCCCACTTGTCGAGCAAAGGAGCTGCTTGGCGTGCTTCCCTCGGATTCTTCCAGTTTACGCACTTGACGAACTTGGTCAAAGCACGCTTGTCGCGGAGCAGGAAGTACCTGAACTTCCAGATATCGTCTCGTTCATGTGATGTGATCTCCTCGAGTGGGCCCTTGGCCATCAACAGATTCAACTTGTCGCGGACATGGACGTTAGGCTTCCTATCTCGATCCAGGGAGTCTGTCTGTTGACTGCGCATCAGTTCACGGTGTTTGTCCTCGGCAGGGTTGACTCGTCGTCCGATTTCAGGGTCGTAGATCTTGATGAGCCTGCCGGCATCGGCGTCTCCATAACCAATGCCATCGACATCAATGCCGGGGCCAAAGGATACTTCCGGTGGCGGCCGTAATCGAACATCTGACTCTGCTGGCAGCCGTAGGTCTGAGACTGGAGGTGGCGGATACTCAACATCGGTAAAGACGATGGCGTGGTCGAACCGTAGAAACTCGATGTCGAGGTAGAACAATTCCAGGTCTTCACTGCTGTCAGTGCTGCCGCTGCCGCTGCCGCTGCCGTTGCCGTTGCCGTTCATGTCCTTCTGACGGTTGAGCGCAGCTGCTTCGGCCTTGAGCGCATCGCTCCGAATCTTCATCATCTTCTTATAGACGAGGTTATCGAGCCACGTGTTGGTCGGCAGGTCACCCATCTCCTGCTTCTTCAGCAGGTCTTCCAGCCTCTGCATCTCAGCAACCTGCTCGTCCACTGTACCCTCCAGCGCAGGCGCCTTTCGACTCTTGCGGGCAGGCGCTATCACCGACGGGGTAGTGGTGTTCGACAGGCCATCGGCTGCCTTGTGACGGTGTATTCGACATCGCTGCCGGCCCTTCTGCAGCGTGTTGTCCTTGTCGAACAGCGGTATGGTGGTGCCGCCGAAGGGTACAGCGTGCATGTTCGAGTCGGTGTCTTCGAGGGGTGACAGGTCCCAGAGTGTGATGGCGAGCTGCGCCGAGGCGGGGAGATTTGCATAGGTGACGGGCAGTTCGAGCCACTCGTTCCATATGCGTGCGTTCTTAAACGACTTGTATGCGGTCTGTACGGGGATGGTGAGGGGCTTGCTGTCTGCCCACATCTGTGCAGTCGCATAGAGCTCGAAGTGGGGGCTGCACCAACCGTCAGCGCTTGCTTCGCTCACCTGTAGTTGACACTCACTTGATGTTGGAAGCTCGGTGCCTGAGCTCTGGCCGCCTCAGCAGCACTGAATAGGGTATCTGCTTCTGGTTTCCATCTAGACGGTCTCTACCATCTCTTAGCTGACGTCTAGCACGGCCGACCGATTGCTCACATCTTCACATGCACCGACAGCTCCGTCAGGTCGAGTGACGTCGCGAAGTTGAAGGCTTCCATCGTGCGCGCTGAGGAAGCTGTTCACTACCGCTGTCCATGGGCGCGCAACATCGACAAGCTTCACCGAGCGCTGCGTTTGCACGTGAACAGTAAACAGTGCACAGTGCACAGTGCACAGAGACAGTCTCCAACTCTCCAGGTGATGGTCGATCAGACGGGCGAAACGTGGGGTGGGGCTTGAGCTTGAGCTTGAGCCGCACGGGTGCACCTGCTGCCCCACTGGTCGACAGGGGTTCGCGTTCGAGCGCTGGCACGTGACCAGTGACGGATCGCACTTTCCTCGCGGAATCGCGCTAAGCAAAACGGGCAGTCGCGTCCTGGCCGTCACCTCCGCATGTACTGTGTCTCAACACCAAACATCAACACCGCTCTTTCTCTGTTCGTTCTGACGTGAGACAGCCAACATGGCGCGTTTCAACACACATCTCTCGGCCGCCCCCCAGCAGACTCGGTCCTCGACTGTCGACTCGCTCTATCGCGACCCCTCAGTCGCGCCTCGCCATGCAAGCAACACGCGCGGCTCGACTTACTCTTTCATGAGTCCCTCGCAATCGTCCGACAAGGAGAACATGGACGCGGAATCATGCGAGAGCACGCCGCAACCAGCGAAACGAAAAGGCCTCAGTAACGCGTCTGGACGTATCCCCACGCCTGATACAGGCTCCACTACTGGCGGCGCAGGCAACAAGCGCAGAAGGACCGGTGACTACAGCATGAACGGTGCGCCCGAGATCTACGAGGATGAAGGCGAAGAGGCGGAAGAGGATGAGCAGTTGGGCCAACCACAGCAGTGGAGAGAGGCGACCACACAGTCCGGAGAGGAGGAGGACGGCCAGAGCAAGCTATACAATCCTAATCAGGATCCTGAGAAGCGCCGGGAAGTCCGCTACCAGCTGCGCGAACACCATCGTCAGTTAGAGGGTGAGTGTTCCACGGGCTTCCGCACAGGACCAAGAGCTAATCGATATCAGAGAATCGCGGCGAGTTCGTCAAGTCCAGGAACAATGGCTTGTTCGAGCTCCTCAGGAGGAACGATGCAACTTTCGGCAAGGTACGACAAACGGCAGATGCTACCGTGGACTCGAGATTCCTCGTCACCGCAACGGAGCTTGCGAACACAAAGCTCCAGAACAGTTTACATGGCAGCGGTGGCGCCGGTGTTGATCTTGACCAGTTCGTGTCAAAATGCATATACTTCATGAAGTCTGGCGGCTACAGACACGGCGAGGAGGAGGCGCCGGCGATAGCGGTCGCAGATGAGGAAGAGGAGGACTCGGGCGATGGTCTTGACTGGGCCTTGTTCGGGCGACAAGCTTGCTTCCCCAGCAACAGGCGACCACCTGTATCGAGCTTCCTCCTTGGGCCTTTGTCTGTCCAGAAGCGCGTCAGAACCACGCAACGGCGAGCCACACAAAGAAGAGCGCCTGTCGGCCCTGCGACGCGACCGCAAGAGGTCAGGGAGGGCGACATCATGCAGTCTGAGAACTCCAATCTCACCCATCTCGTCAAAGGTATCAAGTCGAAGCTGGAAAGCCACCTGGACGCCGCAGCGCAGGCCGCCAGCGACGAACTCGAACAAATACCCGAAGGCGAAACAACGGATGAGGATTACGCCGCTGCGTTCGCCCGACATCGCGTTGCCCAGACACCGGACGGTGAACCTGCAGTCCACTTGTTCGATTTCGCCATCAATCCACGCGACTTCGGGCAAACGGTCGAGAACTTGTTCTATGTAAGCTTCTTGGTGAGAGAAGGGAATGCACAGATCGTCAAAGACGACGATGGTCTGCCATTGCTCGGTAGGTCTAATACTGCCCAACTTTGACCGTCCACTAACGCCTCACAGCACCTGCAGCACCACGAGGCGTCTCAGAGCAACGAGATCAGGGTGCGCAGAAGCATCAAGCTGTCTTCAGCATTGACTACCCAGTGTGGCAGATGTTCATAAAAGCGTACGACATCAGAGAGCCCCTGATACCGCACCGCGTACAGGAGGAGGACAACGGCGGTGCTCGATGGTACTGACCTTGGCAACACTCCACACTCTTCAATTCGCTACGTTATTCGCGCTTAGCGCTGTTTCTTACGTCTTTTTGGAACCTCGGCCATCGCACCGATGGGCATATTGGCCAGCTCTGCATCTCCGGCGCAACGTTTTGGCTGTCTAGCACGGCGCACGAGTTCTTTGGATGATATCACGATGGGTGGCTTCTTCACGCCCTTTAGCTCTTTATTTCTTCTGATACCCCAGATTTCATACTCATCTTATCAGGGCTTTAACATGGCCTATATAAAGGATCGATGGGTGGCTCTTTGCATCGTAATACCAGGCATGATAAGTTTGATGCAAACTCGCGACCTTGCTACCTTTCTCATATGCTCTGGAAGGCTTCTTTTGAAGCTTTTCGAAGCGTCCCATCATTTCTGCCCATGATTGTTGGTAAGGTTCATTCAGATGTTGATTCTCTTCGCACAACTGGACAGCAGACAGCAGACAGCAGACCCTGAGAGGGTCCAGCGATCCTTTTGATGTGTACACGAAATCATCAAGGATCTTGTTCTTGCTTCATGCATGAGACTAAAAGGTGGATGGAGACATCGTGTCGTTACCTTCGAATATCGATATAGGTAGCGCAGTCTACGGAGCAACACATCGGCCTTGAGCTTCAGCACTCTTCGATCTTGAGCGCAGTGTAAGTAGTGAAGATGACGAGAAAGACGGAAGGGAAGAGATGTTTTAGGTACGTCTCCTCCAAGGCTGGCCGGACAAGCTGGTCATGCCGAGATCTGAGAGAAGTTTTTTTTTCCTGGCAAGAAGATATGCAGCTTGACTTTTCGACTGTTCTAAGCAGGTCAGCCACTGGAAAGCATACCAGTTGATGTTGCTCCTTTTGATGGTGAGTTCAGCAGGAGTTGGACAGATAGAGGATCGCAACGAATCGACTACGAATATATCTCTCAGAGACCGGCATGGAACAGCAACAGCATGCCACAATGGGATAAACTTTCTGCACCAAAACATGTTTTTGGCCATTAGGACTCTTGTATTCAATTGGAGTGAAGGGAAATGCAAAGACATCAAATTATGAACTCGTTTTCTGGATCAAGATTCACGGGGTTTGCTACAGAATTATAGCGTCAGGTAAATGCACAGAACCTGACGTGCCGATTGCAAAGTGCAGGATATGTATTTTCCAGACGACTTCTTTGATGGCGTTCACAACTCGGAATGGGTGTGTATACCTCAAGTTATCGAGTTGGCAAATACAATTTTCCACACCAAGGCTTTTGATCACATGAGCAGGTGCGAAAAGGTTTTTGACATTGGCAAAGTTTACATATGCAGAGCGCGCAAAACATGAAAAGCATCGGAGTTCGTTTAGACACATGTTGAAGACATTCGTCTTTGCCGTGAGGGGCAAGGAGGAAGCAGATATATCGCCATCGTGTTCTTCTAACATGTATTCAGGAACAGGAAAGAGGGGACAAGAGACTACATCATCCAAAGTAATAGCTGCTTTTGCGAAGCAAGATCGCGGGAAGCTTTTTCATATGGGAGAAAAAGTCGGCCAAATAACCAGACTGCTCCTCTCGATTAGCGCGATCCTCAAAGACTATTCTGCATTGCAGGCAGATACAGCCGGTAAAAATAAGATGGCTACAAATGGCTCTAAGAGATGATAGTAAATGTAAGTGTCACAAGAAGAACATGACATCTTACCTAGCACTCTTTTGATTTAGTGTTGCAATTCTTGAAGGATGTTGACTGAATTCTAGATTGGATGGCTCTATAGGGTTGTACTGCTGGCGTCAGCACATGGAAATAGACGAAGGTGGTTTTGGGCAACTTGAAACCCTCGAGACACCAAGAGAAGATACATAGATGGCGGCTATCCAGATTTGGCGTTTGTAGTCAGAAATGCATTAGGTTGTGGAACAGCAATGTCGAAGAAGCGTGAAATACTGGGTTTGCTTCAGCAATCACTCCACGAGCAAGAGGAGAGGCGATATCCAGACACACCATTAGAGTTTGCAGTCCATTTCGGTCCTCAACAAAGAGAGAACATGGGTGGGTTTCCTGGGTCTTTTGGTAAGGGGCAGGCTGACAGAAAGACATTCGAGAGTCTTCGTCTTCTTTCCTGTTTTGAGGTCTCCAGAAGGCCAACGCTTTAGAGCTGAAAGCCTTGGAAATAGGGAGGACAGGAATTTAATTTGAATACCTTCCAGTGCAGTCCACCGACGCTCCAGCGTTACCCAAACTTTAGACGGCCGGTGGCTCGTATTGAAAAATGGCAGACTAGAAGTCGTTTCACAAGGCACTGCAGGGCGGCCTCAGACACAGAGAACACGGCCCGCGGGCATCGTGATTTGGAACGTATATTCAGGCGCAACTCCAGCTTTCTGGACACATAGATGCTGGCGGAGCCTTTTTGGAGAAACTTGGGTGCGGCGTGTTATGAAGTGATCGTTGAACATGGCCATACAAGCCTTTTATATACTAGCTAGCGTCTTTGTCATGGAACCAGACATGCAACTCTCCTCCATAAGCTCAGACGAATTCCAAGCACCCATTTCTGTTGCCAATCCTCTCATCGAGGTTGAGTGTCCTCGTGTGCCACGAAGGACCAAGCTCAGCCTCGAGCTCCTGTCCACCACGGCTCAACCTAACGTTCCTCGCTGACGCACCGAAGTTGCCTCCACCACGGCTACCGCCACCAGGCACCTGCAAGTTCTGGCCAGGCCAGATCTGGTCAGGGTTGGAGATGTTGTTGTGTCTAGCAAGGTCCTCATATGAGCAGTGCGAGAACCTGCTCGCGATGGCGCGGAGTGTGTCGCCCTGCTGGACGGTGTATGTCGAAGCGCCGTTGCTGCTGCCCTGCGACCAGCGGAGGCTACCGTTGTCGTTCTCGATGATCTGGTTCAGGCTGATGGTGCTGGACTGGTAGGAGCCGTCGGGGCGGCGGCACTGGGCGTGGAGATTGTAGTCGCCGTGGGCATCGAGGCGGATATCCCTCGATGAGGCAGTGAAGTTACCGCCGAAGTCACCACGGGAGCGCTCATCACCGCTGTTGCGGCGCTGCTCGTGGTGCTGGGGTGGTGGACCGCCGTGGTGTTGCTGGTTGTACTTCTGCTGCTCCTCTTGCTCCTTCTCCCACTTCTTCTTCTCATCGTGGTCATCCTTCCAGTCTGACACTGCATCCTGTGCCTTGTGCCCTGCAAAAGCACCGGAGATGGCGCCGATGATGGTACCTGCGGTGCCGTGACCTGCTTGACCACCTAGCTTGTGGCCGCCGAAAGCACCTGCGGCACCACCAGCGATGCCACCCATGATGCCACGGTCGCCCTCTGGGTCACCTTCGCCATTGTACTGATTCTGGTAGCCCTGGTTGTGCGAGTTGCGACCTGAATTCGAGGAGTGTGCTGCAGCAGAAGGATACTGCTGGTACTGAGGAGGCTCCTGACCGTAGCCTCCCTGGCCACCGCCATGCTGCTGCTGGCCGTAACCGTTGTTCCCGCCCTGGTTATAAAATTCGCTGGCCTCACCACGGCCTTGCTGCTGACCATAGTCACCGCTGTTGTTGTAGTTGTCCTGACCGTAGCCGCCCTGCTGGCCGTATCCGCCTTGGTTGTAAGACATGTTGATGGTTTGTGGTAGTAGTGAACGGGTCAAGAGGTTATTCAATCTGTAAAAGCGCAGCGAAGTCTCTGTCACCGACCCATATCTTTATATACTGCCCCTCATGCCCCCTCTCTGCGGTGTCATCATACGCAGTGTCATCATACGCATCATACGAAAATTGTCTCAGCAACAAGCCGACACCGCCACTTTCTGCGGCGACTTTGTGGGGTTGAGCTGCGGTCCATCGTCACAGCAAATCCACCTCAGCCACACCTTGCCCAATAGAACAGACAATCTGAGACTGAGGTCGCGTTCTGCGGTCCATGCAACGGAAGAGTCGGCGTGAGTTGTGGTCGAGAACGGAGGCCACGTAGCGGGGCAGGGTTGGATATGCAGGGTCTCAGGGGTGGAGCCTAGCGCCGTTCTTATTTTTAGTCGTGACAAGGAGAGACTGGCCGTGTCAATTGCGCACCTCTTCTATCTCCACAAAGAGCTTCACAGTCTTCGACATCGATCGCGACATTGGTTTGCGCAGGTAACGATGTGTGATAGGCACTACAATCTTGTTGGTAGGCGCACGGGCGATGTGTGGAACAACGCTCGTGCGTGCGGGACGAAGGACCGTTGACAACGGTGAAGATTGGCGAGGGTCCGGAGCAGACGAAGAAGGTCGGTGTTGCTGGAGAGATGTCCAGGTAACCAGAGCGAGGCGCTGTTGTTGTTTTGTCTTTGTCGTAGCTTTCTCCAGAATTTCCTTTGTCAATCCGGAACTCTCCCGTCTTCAACGCCGTTTTATACCATCTCCTCTTTTGTCCACTTTTCCATTGCGACGACATCTCTTTATTTGCTGGACCTCCCAGCCGTTGTCCCAATTTCACACGGTGCAAACTCGTACGTTTTCTAACGCGGCGTAGATCCCGTACGAGAACAGCGGCTATTGGCCTTGGAAGAGCTGTAGATAACTGACGCTCCGTAAATGGCAGTTTCCGGCTCTCGGCCTTGTATCGTGGCTCAGATCCTGGAATCAGGACTGAGGTGAGGCTTTGAGCCGTTCTGTAACCGGCTCGGCAAGCTCTGGGCTGGCAGAGTAAGGTATGGCGAGCGTGCACGAACATTTGCGCAAATGAGATGTTTCACCGCCTATCTCCTTCCGAGACTCACGTGACAGATCTGCTGCTTATCTTGAGTCCAAAGCACACTTCTGCTGTTTTCAGTACAATTTTTTACAGGCAATGGATTCAAATGTTGACCGACAACTGGGCGTCAAGCCCACCTTCGCCCGAATGGATTCGCACCAGAACGAGTTTGTATATCACAACTTTGATTGTCCACCTGTGATTTCAACGGCACTTCACAGTCCATCACCCATGAGCCGAACCCGGGGTCTCCACCTGCTCAGCCTTCCCCGCGAAATTAGAGATCATATCTATTCCTACCTGCACCAGCCACTGCAGCTAAGATGGGAACTCAACAAACACAACATTCACTGCGTAGCGATCAAAGTGCCTAAGGCTCCAATCTCAGCTGTGTTTCAAACATGCACACGTTTGCATGACGAATACCGAGAGTCGCGTCTGTTGCGTACATTTGCTGCAACAATAACAACAACACGAGCAACGAACCACGAGACTACCGCTTCAACCAATCTGCAGTGTCATGCTGTTGAAGGATCAGTGATCATGCACGTCGAGCCAGCACCGATTGATCATGTCGCAAATCTACTGGCATCAATAAGAGATATTACCATATTGATGGACAACAAGCGCTCAATGACCGAAGACTCTACAATATGGAACGAATTGCGAACACTCGAATCACTGCTATCTCCCTTTCACCAAACACTGTCCACCATCCGAATCGGCATCCACCAGTGGCAGGACCCCCATCCACTACAAATGAACTCCCGGCGCGAAACAAAAGCCTACGCAGACCCGACTCTCAGCACATCATCATTCATGCCAACGCCAAACACCACATTCATGGGCAGACCACTCGTCCAACAAGCAGCTAGCTACCGTCTACAACTCGTCCTTCTCCGACTCCACCCATCAGATCAGAAAGACCTACTTGAGCGCTTCCACCGCCACAGGACCGGCGTTTATGTCTACAGCAATAAGCCGTCCCTGCGACTTGCCAAGGACGGCTTGTACTGGAAGAAGGATGAAACTGTGCGATCGTTTCCGATGAATTGTAGTTGGTTCAATATGCAGAGATCGATGAATTTGAACCTCAGGGATCGGTTTGATGCTTTTGGCGTTACGGATGCGTGGATTCAGAGAGAGTATGGGCCGAATGCAAGAAAGATGATGGAGTGGCGGGAGAAGAGGGGATCGGATGCTGTTGAGTGGGAGGCGTGATTGTTGCTGGTCAGCGAAGTGAGTTTGGGAGTCATTCAATTCTATGCGCAAAGGTATTTCGTAGATGTAATGTTTTTTTTTCACTGTAGACTTTTGTTCGAATTAGACCAAGCCTGACTAGACATAGAATTGTATCTTGAGGGCTTTGAGCACCAATTTCTACTTGACAAATCTTCTCAAAACTACTTCACCTGCACTCAAAACCACCATTCTACCAGGCCAAGCTGACTGCTTCCAGCTCACTTTTGAGTATTCCAAAATCGTAAGCCTCTCATTGGCAATCATCGATGTCCAGAAGCGTTCGAATACCTCCGGCCTGTGACTACCAAATCATGAATGCAAGGTATCATTCGGCCCCAAACCCTCCCATTCAGCACCCAAAGAGTAGCGCGTGTCGTTTTTGGCTTCCACAGCGGACCTGTAACCTGCCGCTCATGTCTCGTCTAAGTTGGGTCTCATCACCAATCTTCCTCTTCCAAGCCAACGGTTGACCAATCCGAGCCATTATCCTAGCAGCTTCCGTGTCGCTGAAGCAATCAAGCACACGCTGTATGTACTTTTCAAGTGTTTCATCACCGAGACCGACGTCCGACTGCAAGCTGTAACTTCCCAACCCATCGTTACATACAAAAAGATGCGCACTAGTGTGTCGCAGATGATGGATCCCCCATAGGTCGAAATTCCCCGCTGTATGGAACGTGGCAGATGGTCCACTTACTTCGTCAAAATCGAACGTGAATCTGCAAGCTCTCTGCCTGAGGCTGAAGCAGCCTAGCATGGAAGGCGATCCCAGATCGTGGAAATCTTGCTTTTTGCCCATTCGCCGCTCGATGCTTTTTCTAGTCGTCGTGGTCCTTCCCGTAACACTGGTCTGTATGGTTTGCGCGACCACTACTCCCAAAGATCGATGGTTGCCGATAAGTTTCTGGAACAAGGAGCTTCTCGATACTCTTCATGACCGTTACAGTCATACATCATCAGCTTCCCAATCATAGATTTCTGCTTCTCGGAGCCCACATTGAGGTTTTGGCGACTAACGTGGAAGTGCCGCTCCAAGTTGTTGCCTTCCTTGCACCTGAGTATGGCACTCCATACGTGGCCCCATTAGCGCTTGTCACGTACAACGAGGCTCAGAAATCCTGTCTCCGGCTTGCAACTACTGAAGCTGTGGAAGTGTTTATGCCGGACATCATGTGGGTGCCAGCATTCCAAGTCATTGGTACGGTCGAAGATCGTCTAGCGCTGGTATCGCTTGCAATTCTTTATGCTGCGGATAAGGAGTTTGAGTTCGTGGAGCATAGGGTTCCTGTCATTGTTTGGTGTCGGGTCCATCTGGCGAAGATGGTGAAGCGGGATGGGACGAAGAAGCGAGAAGCCGAGCACGTATTGCAGCTGAAGCGGGCCCAAGCACAAATGGTCAACCAGGCTGTCTCAGTTGATCAGGCGGAACAAACTTCGCAGCCTGCAGCGAAGCGCGCAAGGCTCGACAATGTATCCAGCAACGACGCTGCCCTTATCCCAGCCCCCTTCTGCGCTAGCTCTTGCACCTGCCAGCCAACTACTGAGCCGCAATGGCCAGCTCACAAACGCACAGGCGCGCCAGCAAGAGCAGCTGTTTGTATGGTAGAGCCAGAACACAGAAGCCTAGAGGATGATGGATGATGTATTCCGCGAAGGCAAGGTTGGTACGCAAGAGTATATCGATTTGTTGGCTAGCGTTGATGCGCGAAATGAGCAAACGAATGACCTCATCGTTGCAGGCATATTCATAGCCAACGAGCTGCATACCGAGATTAACGGCGAACTTCAAAAACTAATCAGCCATAACGAGGACCTCAAAGTTTGGATGCGGTGGTCTCTCAAGAAAGTTGGGGTTGGTGATCTGTCTGAGAACTTACATATCGTGTCAGTGCAAGATTTGCCTCGCCTTCTTGGACACTTTTTAGGTGACGCGAGACTTACTGCTGCAACGACTTCCAATCTGTCTGCGACGAGTAGTGTGGGAATGGTCCCAGAGTCGGCTCGTAGGAGGTCACGTGCGTCGACTTGTCTATGGATAGGGCTATAGACTAACCCTCGTTGTTTGGATTAGGGTCAAAGACAGTGTATATGATTCAGACTGGCAGCAAACACATATGACCGTGGAATTCGACCTGATGGGCTCTCATGGTGCTCATCTCCAAAGGTCGAAGTTAGAGATACGACATTCACCACTTCGCAGTAAACGCTGCCTGCTTTAGTCTTGCCCTCCAGATAAAGAGTTGTGTGCAGCATCTGCTCAGTTGCTATTGGTGATTCGTGATGGCAGTGCGAGGAAGGAAAGTGGAAATGGAAGGGAAGGGTGAGCTTTGGGGAAGGACCCTGAAATTCCTGGCCAATCACGTTATACCAGGCCAGGTTCCTTCCTGTAGCAACAACCAGCTCGCCCGTCTTCACAACACACTCACGATGGCTGGAACACGTCGATCCACGCGTCAGACGACTAAATCTACTCCAAAGTACAACGACGATAGCTCATCGTCGTCTGAACAGGCAAAGTCGAAGCGCAATGTCAAAAATTCGATGCGTCAGAAGCGCGCACGTCAAGAGGATGCAGATGAAGACGTGAAGGACTACAGGTATGTTTCCTCGGCTCTGTCTGTAAACCATCCATATGCTCAACACTATAGCAACCCACCTCCAGCCAAAAAGAGCACAAAGTCGAAGACAGAAACGAAGAATACCGTAGTCGAACCCAAGCCCTCGAAGATCACAGTACCGCCTGCAGCCCCCTCGAGCGACTTGAACCGCGACGCCAGTGGCAATCAAGAAGTCTTTTGGCTACTAAAAGCTGAGCCCCTACCACGCTACGAGAACGGCATCAATGTAGCCTTCTCGATCGACGATCTGGCCGCATGCACGAAGCCAGAACCTTGGGGCGGCGTACGCAACCCACAAGCACGCAACAACATGCAAGCCATGCGCAAAGGTGACCTGGGCTTCTTCTACCACAGCAATGCAAAGCCATCAGGGGTCGTGGGTATACTGAAAGTCGTTGAGGAGGCAAAGGTCGACGAGACCGCGTTCGACAGCAAAGACCCATATTACGATTCAAAGAGCAACAGAGCAAAGCCAAAGTGGTACTGTGTTGGTGTCGAGTTTGTTAGGAAGTTCGACAATGTTGTGGATCTCAAAAGCATCAAAGATAACGCAGCGGCCAGAGGCAAGCTGGAAGACATGCAGCTGATCACAAACGGACGGTTGAGCGTATGCCGCGTGCGCAAGGAAGAGTGGGATTTCATCCTTGACATGGCTGAGAGCAAGCACAAAGGAGAGGCGAATACAGATCGAACTCTGTGAGAGCAGGTAACAGTCTCTTTCATGTATGAGAGACAAGTCTCGGTTCAACTATACGTATTGCAGAGCAGCAAGGACCAATGCTCAATACTGGAGGCCCTCAATGATCTTTGGACTATTGAAGAATGCACACCTCTCGACCAGCTTCTGCTGCTGCACAACATCTGGCGAACCCACACCGCTCAACGGCCACCAGCCCTCCCATGGACCACCAATCGTCATGACGTGCGTCAGATTTGGAGCACTGTACGCGCCAAGCCAGCCTTTTACAGTCACCTCACCCTCCTGCGTTGGGTGACCATTCGTCGCAAACGCACTCCACGATCGACTCGCGCGCTCCTGCAGCGCATAGTCCGATGCCGTCAAGTTTATTGGGTTTCCGGAGTTGTTGTATGCTTGGATATTGCCAAAGACATACGCGATCTCAGACGTATGGACTACTCCCAGGTGCGACACATTGATGGTATGTTCCAGAATTGGATCCAGGATGGTTTGGTTGAAATCGTAGTGAAACACCGGTGCGGCATACGTCTTATGCATTGCAGCGCCCAGGTAGATCGATGGACATACCATCAAAATATCTCTGAAGATGCGCGCCGATCGATAGAACTCCGCTGTCAAATTGGTACCAGACGGTGGAGCAAATTCAGCAACGGGGTACAGATCCAGGAGGTCCTCTAGGGACTGTTCTGACAATGCTGGGAGGTACGAGCGAACAAAGACATATGTGTCCTCTGCTGTTGCGATACTGACATTGGTGTAGAAATTCAAGTCGTCCTGAGTCCATCCTGTCATGAATGTCGCTTTGCCAAATCGACCTTCATCGATCAATTGACTCGGCGGCGCAGGCAGGAAGTCGCCATCGACCACCGGCAACCAGATGTCACCGATATTGTGATTAATATCGCTTGCATACGTGGTGATTGAGGCATTCAACAACGTCTCTGTGTCCATACCACGCAGACAAGCAATGGTTTCAGGAGTCTGCAGATCGGTGGTATTGCATCCAACGAAGTCTACCAACGCAGACAAGGCATCTCTTGAGAAGTTGCCAGTGATACCTGGTTCGAGGGACTGCGACTCTGCGATGCCTTTCTGGAACGGAAGTGGTTTCGTTCCTCCGTACGCAAGGATGTGCATGCCAACCGCGAGCCCACCAGATGATTGCCCAAAGATGGTGATGTTTTCCGGATCACCACCAAAAATCTCGATGTTGTCGCGAACCCATTCTATGGCAAGGCGTTGGTCTCGAAGTCCGGCATTCTCGCTACCCTCCCCCCTCAGGTAATCTGATTGCACGAAACCGAAGAAGCCCAGACGATAGTTCATTGCAACATGGATAACTGGATTACCGCCCTCAACGGATTGCTGGATCAACCCATCGGGCTTGAAAGTTGGTTCCATGTTCGAGCCCCACCAGAAGCTGCCTGTTCTCTTGTCAACTGATTCAACGACCGCGCTTACACTGAAACTTACCACCGTGGATCCACACCATGACCGGCAACTTCCTATAGCCATGGGTATCATTGAGACTTGGTCTGATGATGTTCAGGTTCAAGCAGTCCTCCGAAACGTCCGTGACATTGCCTTGTCCTAAGGGCGGAGACGACTTTCCGAGCGGCTGCGGACAAGCGACCCCAGGCTTTGTGGCATCGATGACTGATCCCGGTGCTGGCAGGTACAGGCGCGGTGGCTTGAACCTGTTCTCTCCACTCGTGTCTTGTCCATATGGGATACCAAAGAAGTGTTGGATGCCATCGCGCTCAATACCACGATACGTTACGCCACAGGATGCATCATGGACGTGGAGTGCGCGCGCTGCAGCGCCGATGCCACAGACCAGGCCGGCCAAGAGACAGGTCTTCATGTTGGTGCCGAATGCTGACTGCCTCTACGTGGGCTCAGAAGGCCCTTTTGAACACTGCCTCTGTTTATCAGTTCAAGTTTTACACGTTTGCCCTTCCAACACTGAGCTGTTTGCTAGGCGCCGCGCGAAGTAAGGGAGCCAAGGCGGACGTTATATGTCTCATAGTTTCATTTCGCCAGCCGTCTCTCACTATCAAGGCAACGAGTGAGTCCAAACCAACGGTCTGCTGCCCGACGAGATTAGAAGGTGCAAGTCTGTGTGACATCAGCACCGGCGAAAGTCTATGTGTAGAGCTGATCGGACTTGCCCCAGTAGGCATCGAAACTGGGAACAATGCTCTGTTGGTGGAGAGATCTCTGAACGTCGAACTGATCTCGGCACCTATGCGTTCCCTCCTTAACAAGCAGGTGCAAAGCCTCCGCGGAGTACAGCAAGGCTTCGGTGTCCCTACGTGCCTCAAACGGCCCGTTACTGTCGTACACAACGATTTGTGACACCTTGAAAGCGTTGGGCCGACCAGGTACCGGGCTGAGCTGTCACATCGGATGCACAGCTCATGATGTAGGTGGGGTTCCGATGCGGGGATAAGCATAAGCATGGAGCGCATGCTGGCGAGGTTCGTCATAGCGATCTGCAAGGTTGTTCGCCTATGCACAGGGCGACCCTTTGGGAGGACGTAAGGTCTCCATCCATCCACCATTGTTCACACTCAGCATGGACATATCTCATTTGAAGTTGATTGTACCCGAAGAACACAACCTATGACATCATGCAACAACTCAAAACTCTGCCACGGGCCTGCTGACGTGTTGGGCTACACAACTAGATTGATCTGAGACATTTACGATCCGTCGACGTTTGGATCGCATACGCTTCTGCTCCACCGTCTTGAGCAACAAATTCCTCGGGTTTGCCGACGAGCACGTTGAGTGCAATGACGCGACCAACAGGCATTTGGACGGCGAGCGCATGAGTCATGCAACAACCTCTCACAGGTGGTCAATAACCACCGTCGGCAACTCCACAGGCCCGAACATGAACCGAGTCCCCATAGACGCGAAGAAGCATGCGCAAGCTTTCCAATGGGCGTCTTTCCATCTTTTCTTGTGTCTGACCATCTGTCACCAGCCGACCTTGGTGATGAGCGCATCGCATCCTACGATGTCGTGACAACTTCCCCTGCCTTGGCCAACGACAACACCTCAACCCTCGCACTAAGGTGCATCCCTGAGTAGAGACACCGTGTAGCAAGACAGGTTCGCCTTTTGGACCTCCGGCGTGAACGGAGTCTTGCGATGCTATAGTTGTGACGTAGAAGAGCTCGGTCCTGTATGCCCTCCTACGTTTTTCACTTACAGTGACTGCACCTACCTTCATGCTCACTGTCGTGCTCGCTGCCACCCGGTCGTTATCGTATGCCCCATCCTGTCTCGCGGTGGCCCTTCGCGCTGTTGTTGTGCCCAATTACAAGGTGACTATATCTGTAACAAGCCAGATGTGCCGCCTTGGACATCAAGAGTCCAACGCGTAGGGCTGAAAGAGCAGCCAACACACCCGCGCAAAGGGCTGATGGTAGCGCACCCGAGGAGGGGCAGCCGTGCGATATTGCATAGTGGTGGGGGCTGTCGTCGCTGCGCAATGTGCAGTTCGTAAGGCCAAAGTGTTTCTTGGCGCAGACCAGCGCGCTGCACGGACATCTAAAGCATTGCTGTCCACCAAGTTAGCTCTCATACTTCTCACAAGTGCTTCGGAGCTACGGCTAGACGTAGATCTTTTGTTCATACCTGTTGCCCTTTGCACATCATACATCGCATCCACGCGCAAGCGCTGCCTTCCTGGTTGCAGTCGTGGCTAAAAGCTGCTTCCCTCGCGCGATCATGACTTGTCAGCCCTGCTTCAGCCTCACGCCATGGCATAGGCTGCGCCCCCACTCTGAGTGTTCAAGTGACAGCCTGCCCTAACCACCAGCTTTCTACTGTGCAGCTCGTCCCGGCCCTGTTCTTTTCTATCATGTAGTCAACCATATCTTTTGCTTTTTTTTTTTGCATTCACAACAAACTCGACAGCTAATATTCGTATGTTCGGTGTGACTGAGCCACTTTGCAATACCAATTCCTTCAGCCTGCCTCGAGGCTACGATATCTTCCTCTATCGCTCGCGCATACAGACCGAACCACGACTCGATGCGACTGTTGTATACCGCAAGCGATGGGAGGCTCAGTTGGACGAAGGACTATATTGGTAACGAGGAGATTCCTCCCTATGCGATCCTCTCGCACACCTGGGGGGAGCAGGAAGTGATCTTCGATGATCTGAAGAGCCTTACTAGTGTAGAGGACACTGATGCAAAGAGCAAGGCTGGTTGGGACAAGATGCGCTTCTGCGCACAACAGGCAAAGCGTGACAGTCTGGACTACTTCTGGGTAGACACCTGCTGCATCGACAAGTCAAATAGCTCAGAGCTCCAAGAAGCGATCAACTCCATGTTTTGCTGGTACCAGAACGCGAAGAAGTGTTATGTCTACCTTTCAGACGTGGAGTATAACACTTTAGATGCGGATAGTGAGTCATCCCGGAGGTGGAAGCCGGCCTTCAGGAAGAGCAGGTGGTTTACCCGAGGTTGGACACTCCAGGAGCTACTTGCTCCTAGATCGGTCGAGTTCTTCTCTAAAGAGGGAGAGCTGCTGGGGGACAAGAGGTCGCTTCGAGATACCATTCACGAGATTACAGGGATACCTATCGAAGCTCTGTTGGGAAGCCAGTTATCTCAGTTTAGCACAGCTGAACGTTTCTCTTGGGCGGCAAACCGACAGACAAAACGTGAAGAAGATGAAGCGTATTGTCTGCTGGGTATATTCGGCATCTACTTACCGCTCATATATGGAGAGCAACGGCTCGGTGCGATGAAGCGGCTGCTGAATGAACTTGAATCACCTGCAATGTAAGCTCTGGCACTGGTGCTCCGGCGCAATACCGCTTACATGCCCTAGTAAACTTTCTCAAGCCATCAAGGAAGACACCAAGATCGTTAGAGGCCATGTTCCTGCTATTATGTCTGGGATAGATATGGTCCGACAAGACCAGGACTCGGCAAAGTACCGCAGGCTTCTGGACTGGATATCAGCTTCAGATTACCCTACCCAGCAATCGGACATCATAAAGCGAAGGCAGGAAGGGACGGGCCAGTGGTTTCTGGACGCGCCTGAAACAGCACGGTGGCTCAACACGGCGATGGCGACTCTCTTCTGCCCAGGTATCCCGGGGGCCGGCAAGACCATGATAGCAGCTATCGCGATCGATTATTTGCTTGATACAGTGCAGAGCGACTCATGTGGAGTCGTCTACGTGTACTGTAACTACAAAGCTCAGGAGGAGCAAGATGCTTCAAGCCTGCTAGCAGCCATTCTTAAGCAGCTAGTTCAGGGTCAATTGTCGACGGTGAACCACATAGAACGGTTGCATCAGAAGCATGCCAGCCGAGGGACTAAACCATCACTCGACGAAATCTACAACGCGCTCCAAAACGTGTTTGCGTGCTACGCTTCTGTTCATATAGTGATTGATGCACTGGACGAATGTCAGAATGCTACTCGCCGCCAACTTCTCGCAAAACTCCATGATCTTCAGGCGGGAAGGGATGTTCGTTTTATGGTCACAGCCCGGTTTATGCCAGACATTCAGGATGACTTTGAAGGAGCGCTGAGGCTCGAGGTGCAGGCTAGCAGAGAGGACGTCAAGCGTTTCGTGGCCGGCCAGATATACCGACTGCCCACATGCATACAGGGCAGCGATGCGCTTCAGGAGATGGTGCAGGAAAAAATAGCGGATGCGGTGGACGGCATGTAAGTCTCTCATCGAACTCAGGTAGTGATGCGCACTTACACGTTCCTAGGTTTCTTCTTGCCCGCCTGCACGTAGACTCGCTGCTAGACAAACGAACAAGAAAGGATGTTAAGACAAGTCTTGCGAAAATTACAAAGGGCGCAGCCGCACTTGAAGACGCATACAGAGAGGCTCTTCACCGAATTGAAGGTCAGCTGGAAGGTGACTGCGGGCTGGCCAAGAAAGTCTTGTCGTGGATCACGTTCGCGAAGCGACCGCTTACTACTGCTGAGATATGCTGTGCCCTGGCGGTAGAGACCGGCGAAGCGGAGATCGACCCTGACAACGTACCCAATATCAAAGACCTAGTATCTGTATGCGCCGGCCTTGTCGTTGTCGACAGAGAGAGTGCGATCATCCGTCTCGTACACTACACTACACAGGAATACTTCGAGCGAACCGTAAATGTGTGGTATCCAGGCGGCCAGCTGCATATTGCTACCACATGCCTTACGTACCTTTCATTCAGCGCTTTCCAGGGCGGCAGCAGCTCTACTGACGAGGAGTTTGAGGAAAGATTACAGCAAAACAAATTCCTGGACTATGCGGCCAAGCACTGGGGACGCCATGCGAGAACCGTTGAAGCAGAGGTTGCCACTTTCGCCTGTAAGCTGCTCCAAGGGAAGTCTTTTCCAAGTGTTATACAAGTTTTAGGAGCCACATACTTTAGGTATAGAGGGTATAGTACGAAATATCCTGTGATTACAGCTTTGCATTACACAGCACGGTTTGGGCTACCTGGCATAACTAAAAAGATTCTGGACGCTACAGAAGATCTCATTCCAAAGGCAGTGAACGTTAGAGACAGTTATGGAAGCACTCCCTTGATCTCCGCAGCAGAGAACGGCCAGTATGAGGTGGTCCAGTTGCTGCTCGACAACAACGCCGACGTCAACGTGCAGGGTGGACGCTACGGCAACGCACTGCAGGCAGCTTCAGCTGGAGGCCACGAGCAGATAGTCAAGATGCTGCTCGACAAAGGCGCCAATGTCAACGCG